TTACTTTCTTAATTTAGTTATAGAAAGCTACTTAGTTATCCTATTAATCTATAGCGGGGGCTATAAACCTTCTTACTTTATCTTATACCTCCTTAACGATATCTATCTCTAAATAGTCGATCTTTATCTATCTAATCGGTATATCTTTTAGGCGGTTATAGAGTCCGGTAAGCTTTAAGGTATATTAGTATATATCCTAGTACTTAGCTTACGTTATCTACTATTAGTTATATTTAGCTTCTCGTTATATCTCGATAGGGTTAGTAACTTAAGCGAGCGCCTATATTTTAAAGACTAACTAAGTAAATATTATACTTAGATTATTCTTATAGTATTCTATCTACGTTATATTAACCTTCGGCGTTAGGAACTTAGTTATTTAGTCTATCTTATATATATTATTAGCAAACTAGTTAAGGTATTTATTCTAGAAGACTTCTTAGTTTAACTTAAAGAGATTATATTCGCCTAAACTCTCGACTCTAAACGTTATTATATTATAAGGTATATATAGTTCCCTCACTTTCTTCTAATAGGATAGGTAGCCTTCGGTACTTCCTTACGATATAATCGAGTTTATATAGGTAGTATCGGGTAGTTAGTAGGTAGTTTAGCTAGTAATACTACCTAGTAAACCCCGATAGATTCTAGATCCTTATATTCTCGCCTATAGGATTACTACGTTTTCTTCTTCGTCCTATAACTCCGCGCGGATCCTATTTTTCTCCTTTACTAGAGCTAGACGTCTTTTAAAGGTCTCTAACTCTTAGAGTTCTACCTCCTTATCTATCTTAGTCGGGGTTATTAGATCCGGTAGGTTTCCTCCCTAAGGGTTATCGTCGACTCCCTATATCTCTACCTCTTCTAGTAGGGGTTATAGGGGTCCTAGGACGTCGTTCGTTTCCGCGATCGGGGCTAAGGTTCCCCTTAGGCGGTCGCTCGTACGTCGAGTCGTTAATATTACGTATTCTAACGGTCTAGTTTAATTAAGATTTAGCGATTAGAATATTAGGACCGGCGTACTAGCGGGTCCTAGTAGGTAATGTAGAACTAGAGTGAAGGAATAGTAGGGTGCTAGTATATTCGTAAACTAATCGCTAAAGAGCTAAGTTCCCCTAGTAGTCTCTATATAGATAACCTTTAGCGGGTCACGGGACTAGGTCACCTGACCTAGTAGGACTCAGTCTCCCTAGTACGGTCTCTGGCGGGGGGTCATGCTACCCCTGCTGGGTCACGGGTTCTGGGTCATAGGACCAGGCGGGATCCAGCCTGTAAGGCACTCTCCTAGCAGAGGGTCGTAACACTCATACGGGGTCTAATAGTCGGTAATAGCGGTATAGTAGATTAGGTCTAAGAAGGCATAAATGTGGTCATTCACATCAGAAAGCCCTTTTATCTCCCTATCCCATTTCGATTAGTCCACTTTAAAGATATCCATTTCATCTCTCTAATCTCTTTTGTCTAATTCGGTCCCTCCGTAGGGGTATTCCGGCCTAATAGGCTCTTCTTTCCTAATCGGTCTCTCCATCGGGGGGGGTATCTAGGTCACAGTGCTTCCAAACTTATTTTTATATCGCATATAGCTTTACCCGGGCGAACCAGGTACGCCATTAGGGCGAGTCCTTCAGTTTTTCGCCCTTTGTGGCGGAGAGAATTATTAATACTTCCATTGTTGGGGTTAGGTGCTATATAGCCTCAGCGGGCTACTATGCAGCTTTTAGAGGTTTTCAGGTGCTGATAGGCGCTATATCTTGTGAATAGCGGCCTTATTTCGTGCGAACCGGGCTCATAACTGTCAACTGACGTGGTATTCAGTATAGTAGGGGTCCAATCAAGGGAGTTGAAATCTCTGTATTTCTGTATCCACTATTCTAGCAGGAAATATGACTATCTGACTAATATCAAAAATACTGCGTGGACAGGATAAACTAAACTTCCGGTATGCCGATCTCATGCTCCGACACCTGGCAGTGCAAACAAGACAAAAAGGAATATACTCCCCTTTTCCCCTTTTCTCTCTGTAATTGCTTCCACCCTCGAGCGCAAGGTGTTCGTTATATGGACGACATTTCTCTTCTGTAATGTAGTTTGCAAGTTGATATCATTGTGAAGGGTGTGATAGGTCCACAATTACGGGGTCGCAATCAGAACCCTAGCTTTGACTTCCAGGTCACGCTGTGGCCTCTCTTGTATTTCCGTGGCCAGAGGACCCGAATTGGAAGCTGACTTCTCCGAACACATGGCGCTCATAATCTGTTGGACTTGCAAAAGCATGGAGAAGGTTATGGGGAGGCTTTGTATCGGGAAAAAGGAACAACCCCAGAAGCGTCTCGGTTACCCAGGCTAGTATCACAGACATGTCCAGACGACTTGAAGGACTTGAAGGACTTGGGTCTCCTTTGAGGATTGTCCGAAGCCCAGTGCAGAATCTCCGCCATAACATCATGGCCAGTGTTGAGGTCCGTGGTTTTGCATTGTGAATGGGTTTCCTGGTCATTATTCTGTTATCACGAAGCTTAGCGTGACCTCTCAGAGGGCATATGTGTATGTCCGCGACAATATAAATTCCAGGGTGAGACTCACTCCATCATATATTTACCGAAAGCATGACAACGAGATTGTTATCAGCATATATAAAGCTAAGGCCATCGAATCGTCACATTTGTCGAAGGGCATGTAACTATAGTGTAGTGGGGACCCATGTCCTCACTACTGTCCGACCCAACTTTTGCGTATTAGGGTTTTTGTTAGATAGGCATGATGAGGATATATATAGCAGATAGTGACACATTGGAAATACACATACCTATACCTCGCTGATTTGGCTCTATGGACCTTGGTCTACACCCTTTTTCTCTGTACGGAATTTGGTAAGTTGTAAGATACTGCTGCTGAATCGGCCCGTGTACCAGAGATTACACTGCCTTCGAGCGTTCTCCTCTCCAATCTGTATGCTTCGTAGCCTGAGTCAAGTCAGTTGAAACAATATTACGAACGCGGATGTTCGAGATATTTGCTCATCTTTGGTGTTCTTCAATATGGGTGTCTCTGGACAGGAGCACACTCAACTGGATAGCTGAGAATCAAGGGCTTTCCAGAGATTTGTTTAGGCTTATATCTCATAGAATATCCAGTAGTTCGCCGTCCTTTGGCAGAAATATGGAGGACTAGGCCCTGCAGGCATTCGCAACTATTCAGCATATCTTTGGATCACCGAGAAACGTTCAATCTGAGGAAGAAGGAGAAGAGGGAGAAGAAGGAGAAGAAAAAGAAGGAGAAGGAAGAGGAAGAGGAAACTGGTTGGCATGGAAAACAGGGGGATATCTACCAAAAGCCATGTTCAACCTTCGGATATTTGAACGGATTCTTGGGTCCGTGGAGCGCATATGTAGAAGATATACTGAAATGGTGACGGAACCATTCAAGAAGATACATGGTCGTCTCCTTTCCCTGCAGCTTTCCAGTAGAATCATTGAGATCCCCAACTAACGCATCGGCAACCCTTTCCAAAAGAGGCCGGGGTGCAAGAGTGTGATGAATTTGCTTGAGCAATGCGTTCATATATCCATTCGCGGATTGAGGTCCGGTTAAATCCTCTCTAAGCGCGGAAGTCGCCTGTCCCTTCGAACTCGATAGTCGCTCAATGACCATCGCCGCGATTGGACCAATGCAATGGCCTTGGGATTTCGATCCATGCTCCTGAGTAACTCCGGTGTGTTCACAACGTATACGCGGCCCCCAAGAACGGGCAAACTGTATATGGGGAGGTTGTACCTTTTGCTGGTCATATGTTAACTTATATAATATTTGGTACGTGAATGTAGTCAGAGAACTTACCCAATCTCGACAAAGTATCTGGAACCCTGTTTGTAGATGTTGATAGCATCGCTTAGGAAGGGGAGACGTGCAGGGACGTAAAAAGGCTCCTTCGGATCACTTGAAGGCCAGAGAATAAAACGAGTCAACAAAAGAGTGACCAGTCCAATAACTATCCATGTCTTGAACGACAACAACGTTATATTGAGTCCGACTGTGTCCATCATTCCAATGTCTGCTTGCAGCAGATATCACCCAGCGAGATGATAAATAGATATAAGAGCTAATTTGGAAAACAACGGTACAGGTCCCACTATATTTGTCGCAGATATCCTTACCCAAGTTCGGGCGACTTTGCCCTTTGGATTATTTATTGAGGTAATATATCCGATCTGTCTACCTGGGTGGGAATGAAGGCTACCGGTGGAGGGATGTTCTCGCCTCTCCCAGTTTTCACGTTTTCTCCATCGCCGAGAACTGATTCTCGACGTGGTTGCCGAAAAGGGAAATTGACTGAAAGTAAGCAGACCCAGGTAGGTACCTACCTACTATTACCTACATACATAAAAGATGTCCCTAGCATGGGGTGACGACAACAGTCCCTCTTGGGTCGAAGGCGAAGCGTCTGAAATAGAACGGGACTTCTTTGATCCCTTGACATCCACATGGTTTGGACGAAGAAAACGATTTGTCGCACATCGCACCTCGATACGAAGTCTCATTGGCATTTGAAGATCACATCTAGGGTACTCTTCCCTGTTCCTCCAAGAATCAATTGTGTATAGAGAAGTATCCTATAGAGATAAATGAAAATCAAGTTCGTCCTAGAAGCCGGTCACCATTATGGGGGTGCAAGTTATCATCAAAAAGCGAGCAGGAGATAGCCATGAAGGTTTGACTCGACTCATTCATTCTACTGCAAGCAATTTCTGTTTCTTTCTGGTTGGATTTCAATCCATGGCACAAATTCTACGCGTAAATCTGCTATCTCAGAGACAATGGCTCACTCCAATGGCTCCTCTACATCTCTATCTCTCTCATCCTTTGAGTGTTGGATCAATGGACATAATGCGGGATGAACATCGAAATAATATGCACAATCTCATAAAAGCAAAGCAAAACTGAGAAAGCGTCAAAGCGAACTCATCAACCTGTCCTAGGGCTTGGGCAGTATGCAACGCTGACTAATCCAACTTGGCGTATCGGAGCGTTGTGCGACTCCACATCTCGTTCCCGCTCAGTTGATATTCCAGTCCTTTCATATATGCCTTCATAGCCTCACTACAGCCTGTTGCGACCATCTCTGCACAAAAGTCATCATGGACAAGTTCCCACTCCCGAACGATCAGCCAAAGAATGCGCTTGGCGGCATCGAAACTGAGATTGGTCCCTGTCGCGACGACGATGACCGCAGAACATAGAGTGGAGCCCTCCTCGTGCCCGAGTTGAGAGGCCTTGAGCTCTTTCTCCCAGCTAAAAATATCGTTCACAACGATAAGATGCTTGGCGTAGTTTTGCTCAAGTGGCGATAGTCTTTCCAGTTCGTCGGCAGAGAGGTGAATTCCCATGACAAACCGCATCACGGCAGATAGAAGCCTGAGCACGACCATTGTATTAGTAGCCGGCCCCATGGACATGCAAATTCAATGGATGGATAGATCGTACGCTTTTCCAACATCTTTCTCCCGATATTCAAGATATTGGCCGAACTCGTTGACTCGGAGACGGGTGTTGTCTGTCTGGGCTCGCATGCAGGTAAAAGTGGGCTCGAGAATCCCATCGGCCAGCTCCCTATCATGCGTTCGCATTTCCTCCCAGACGTCATACAAGATGTATTCAACCGGAATAGCGCCTGTATTCAAAAAGATGACATTATTGTCATTATTTCATGCCCATGTTGGTGGTGACTACTCACGGTTAGGCAGAACCTCGCCTCGACAAATGGGCATGAGGTGCTCATTATATGCCTTGCCATCGGCAAGAGACATTTCCTCCAACAAATCTGATCGTTTTGTGTCAATGAACTGGTAAGATACGTCCTACAGAGGGCTACCCCCCGTGGAGACCGTGGGCTTACCGTCGATAAGGAAAAGTACTGTTAACAGAACACATGCGGACTTGATGCGATCGTCACGAGCCAGAGGGTAGTAAAGAGCTGTCATTTTAGAAAATCCAGCTTCGATGAACTTCTTTCTTGCTCGTTCGCTGGGAAAGGGCCAGTGGTGCAAGAAGTACTCCTCTACTTCGCGAGCGATAGCGTCCCCCTGAGGTTGGCACTCGGCCACCCAGTGAGAGGGAGGTGGCTGCCATGATCTTGCCTTCGTGATGGAATGATTCGAGAATGAGATAAACGGCGACGGGCAGGAAGCTGGCTCTTCAGTTGTATGGTTACTGAGCGTCTGAAGAGGGTCCTGGGCGGCAAGTGAAAGCATATTCGCCATGGGGTATTGCGTAGAGCAATGTCTGCTTAATTATTGTGTCTTCATCCCTGGTGATATATATAGGGTGTTGGTCCAGAGTCCAGACACCCCCACCCAGCGTCCTCGCACATTCACTACATGAATTCTACGTCATGTCTGCAGGTGCATGATTGTTACCTCATTGATACCTGACAAAATGATTCCTAAAAACTCATGAACCTCGCTGACCCCTGTTCTCACCGGCTTTACGGCAAAATCACTGAAACCCTTTTGATACTCGTGCCCGGATATTCAGGCATCAGATTACCCAAAATGGAAACATATGTTGATTCAAAAAGAGTGCAGTAAACAGCTAATCTTCATCTTCACCTAGTAGTAGCCTGGGAGGACGTCTACGAAGTCAAGAGCCCCCCCGGAGCTTGACCTCCAACGACCTACCCTCCACAGATGGCTCGCGCTCGGGACCTCGCATGGTGACTTTGACTGGTACCATAGGAGGTTCCGACACGACGACGCCAAGCTCACTTGCTCGGGCGGGTCAAGGCCCCCGAACATCTGGCAGTGTGCACGAAATCACAGCGCAGCTTCACCCGCTGGTCCGAAAGGCCGCAGAACCCACCCTCGGGCAGGGCAGAGTCGATACGCTACCTCCGTAAGCTCTGCCCAACTGACTTCAGCAAGCTGCTGGAAGTGACAAACTTCTACAGCAAGATCTGCACAAGGCAGCCCCAGCCACCGACGCTCGCTCAACACCTAGCATCTTTCCTAGAACCCCCACACTCTCTCCGCCTCTCCTCCCCTATGTCAGCCTCACAGGCACCGGAAGACCCGGCCACGACGCCGACGCGGACTAGGCACCCAGCCCCACACCAGAGCACAAGTCACAAAACCAACACCGGAGCGACGCTCCACCAAAGAAACACTGCATCCATCCCACAGGTCGGGGAAGGACGGGCAGCCAACTGGGGCCTAACCAGCCTATCAATTAGAAGGAGTTGCTTGCTATGGGCGAACAATCATGTACATAATTCCATAGCTTAGCATGTCTCAATACCTCGCGGGAGGTAGCAGAGGCACGGGCTACGTCCATGCCTCGACGGACGTTAAATTAATACAACAACAACAACCACCTAGTACCAGCCTTCCTATTCTTTCTCCTTCTATCTTTTATGTACCGGCTTATCTCTACCTTTCCTACCACCATATACCTATACCCGCTCATAGTCCTACTTCTTCCCCTAGTCCTACTCTACGCGCTAGACGTGCTACGAAAATTGAAATAAGGAATCACTCGGGGTAGATGGAAGGCTCGGGCCGGTAATTGAGATACAGCTACTACTAAAGCGGTACGTCGTCCGCCGAAGCGGAAGGCCTCTCGTGCGATTGTGGACAATAACGAGGATAAGGATCCTACTAGTGATATTAGGGGTGTAGATGTAGGTTAAGAACGGGGTACTAATGGGGACAAGCGAGGCAAGAAGCGGAATTGACAAGTTAATCACAATAATATAGCGCTAAAAGGCATTGTTTATGTAGAAATGAGCGCGTTTTTCCGATGTGAGAGGTACATTTTATCCTACACAAACTAGGGCTTGGAGCTACCTGGCAGGAAAAGCCTCTCATTTTGTCAGGCACCACTCAGATATTAATCAGGTAGACATCAGATATTGATCAGGCAGGGGAGGTGCGAGGACCAAGAGGGGGAGTGCGAGGACGCTGGGGGGCGGGTCCGGACCAACACCGTACTTTTGCATTTGATTGACAATAAATTCGACAGAGTCGACGATACCCACCTTTTATGTCTGAATCGGGAACAAGCTCCACCGAATTCGATACGTCATGGCCGGAATCAGCCCGGAGGCAACCTACATGGATTGAAGGAACATTCAAGCAAACTGTTTCATCGTTGAAATACAGCATACGGATTTCAAATTTCTCACAACATTAACGCATATCAGTAAGCCGTTGCTGGAACACTGTAATATTCGTATTCCATTCCCCAAACCAGTGCCGCCGTAGGTCCGCGATAGGCTCTCTAAGCTCCGGCCACCGGTCCACCGGAGTCAGGATCACACACCCATTCCAACGGCCATTGCTGTTGAGAATCTCCGGCGTATCCTTACCATATCCCTCGACCTGATGCGACTGTGAAGCTACTGCGGCATATGCTACAGCCAGCCCAACGTGGTGAGCACTGCTGACAGGAGCTCCCGCTGCGATTGTAGGTTTGGCAAGATTTTGGGGAAGAAGCTTCGTGATAGTAGCTCCAGGTGCTACCGCGTTGATTGTTGCCGCGATCTTTGGGACTGTAGATCGAATAGCGCGTACAAGGCCAATTAACTGGTAATTTAGTCAGGCAACAACATTCAACAGGGCTGTGACTTCTTCCAGTGCGGTATCAGTTGACTCACTCCGAGTTTGGTTGAACTATACACAGGCAGACTTTGTTCCGATGAATACGCTGTCGAACTGCTGGTAATTACCAGACTCCCTCCAGGACCCTGCTGCCGGAATGCACGCAGTGCCAGTTTGGTAAAATTCAGTACAGCTCTGTAGTTGACATCGATGACCCGGTACTCTAGCTCTTCTAGTTCTCCATGCTCGTCATAAGTATCGATGAAGTAATGGCATTCTTGGGATACACCCGCATTGGTTACAGCGATGTCAACATGTCCGATGTCGTGGAAAGCTTGGCGTAGGCTGGGTCAGAGGGTGACATTGCAGGGTCGGTAGTGGATAGTGCATGGGGACTTAGCTCCATCGACTCAATGGGCACTTTCTGTATCAATCGGGTGAAGATCCAGCGCATGTACGGTGGCTCCCTTGCTGGCAAGTGTCTGTGCCGTAGCTAAACCGATTCCGGAACAATTGCTTTTAGAGAATGACTGGCTATTAGACGGTTCTCTCTCTTGTTGACATCGGGGGCTCTGCAATAGGAGTGAATATCGGTTATGATTGCCCCCTTCCCACTCAGATCGGGAATTTGCTCCACTGTGATGTTAAGGGAGGCCATGGTCAATATAAGCTTGTGTTCCTTAATGTTGTAGAGTTGCCCCGATCAAAAATATAGTCAGATTTGTTTGGAGTCGGGTGACTCCTCCTTCCTCGCCGTGCTATAAGAAGCTCTTTCTCCTAGATACTTTCCTTCCCTTCTTCTCTGCAGACGAATACCGGGTTTTCCAGTCTCTCTCTCTCTTCGTAGCGTAGAGTCTGGTCCTGTCTCTCAAGATTTTCATATAAATTGGTCTTGAGATAGTACCATGTATCAAATACCAATGTTCCATACGGCTTCTGACATCATACATATGGCCCCGGTGCTTCTCCAAAAAGAGTAACATCACGAGTATCCACCTCGGGCAGCCTTTACGCTAGCAACAATCACCAGGAGAAAGTCCGAGGATAACCCACTTCCTTCTCGGTCAGTTTCCATCCCGATTCATCCTTTTCGGGGGACCACTTGGAATCGCAACTCCGGCTGCTTCCATAACAGGTGCATGCGACAGTCCTGTTGGAGGTTCACATTTTCATTGACGCATGCAAAGTCGTGCTTGAAATGCAAGTTCGCAAGGGTAACCTGCAGTTCCAGCCAAGCCAGGCTAGACTCCGGTTAGAATTGTTTCTATTGGGTGTTTCCTTGTCTGCTTGGCCCGAAGGCCTCCGCACCGGCCCGCAGAGCCCAAAGCCCAACCCGCCCCAACCCGAAAATGGGCTGGGCTTTCGGCCCGGGCCCTGGGCCCATCGATGGCTATGGGCCTAGTGTAGAAGCCCACTGGGCTTAAAACAATACAAACATGCTAATGCTTGGCAGATACACCGCAGTGGAGTCTAGGCGAGCCACCTACCCTTGCAGTCAGAGACACGACAGAGGACTGTAGCACCGGTTGGACTCTGACATATGACGAGCTTCGTGCACGGGGATTCCCCATGAGTCTCTTCAAGCGAGAAGTTCTCGCCCCGACTGATCCCTCAGCAGGGGGAACCAGGCTTCTAGCCGCACAAGCAAATTTCATTCCTGGAGGATGTTTGTTATATGTCTCAACCTCCCACGCTTTCGCCGACGTATTTGGGCTTTCTACTATTCTATGTGCGTGGAGTTAGCATTGTCGAGATGTCCTTGCTGAGATGGACAAACTTCCAACTCCGAAAAACCAAAAGAAGATATCCACCGCAGTGGGTCAGCGTACACGCATTCCCAGTCCTACCCTGAAACCGCATAAGCGCTTACCAGAAGTCTATGGGCATCTCAAGTCCAGACCGATTCTCTGGCATATTTTGGGTTTGGATTGGCGACCTAAAGAACGAAGTAGTCAAATCCTAATGTCTCAGCTCTCCCCATCAACAGTGATATCCTGTATCTTTTCAATCTCTGCGACTGCAATCGAAAATCCGAGAGAAAGGCTTTTGGGGGGACAATCCGGAGTTCGAAACGTATCCCCGTCGATTTCCACAGACGACGTATTGGGCGCCCTACTCTAGAGCTGTGTGATGAGAGCCCGGTTGGCAGAACGAGATGCATTCGAGAATCCCAAGGAAGCAACAATGATGCGAGCTGTCAATGTGCGCAGGCTTCTCGCGATTCCCGAAACATATCTCGGCAATACAATTGTTTACGCCGTAACTAAACTCTAGATCGATATGCTAGCCACTAGTGCCACATACCATTTAGGTACTGTTGCTCAAAACCTACGGGCATCGCTCGAAGACTTGCGTGATTCTGGTATGGTTCACGATGCGCTTGAATTGGCAAATAACATCCCCGATGTCCGCAACCTGGGATTGTCATTTCCCATCTGGGCTGCTGGGAACATGGTCTTGAGTTCTCTTTCCCGGTTGCCTGTTTCAGACTGGGATTTTGGATGTATATCTCACGGGGGCTTGGGAAAGATGGAGATTATGCGATTTCGGGACAAGTGGTTTGAGGGTATCACATTCACGATGCCCCAGCGACCAGATGGATCACTAGAGATTATCATCACAATGAAGGCCCCCGATATGGAGAGACTAAAGGCAGATCAAGTGTTCATTGAGTTTTTCAAATTTGTGTCTCAGTGAAACCCTCCTTAATCAGGGTTCTCAATGAGTTGCGCAAATCTAGGCTCTTTTCGATTTCATTGTTCCACGTCCCAGGAATAGGTCTTTCGCTGGCCATTGCCACAGTTCACCTAGATTCCGAGACATTATTCATAACGGCCTTTGCAAGTTGAATATCATTTTGTCTTCAACTTTCTTATGTGGAGGATTCCGATACTCCCGACTCCTTTCTCATTTTGGCCCAACCCCGTCTACCTGAAAGTAAGATGTCACGGTCTAGATATATTTTACAACGATATCGCTAACCCAAATGCCCCAATTCGATATGAATCTCACCTATGGAGTAGAAATATGCAATCAGACTCTGTCACCCATGGTAATAGGCATTTCCCTGAGGTTGGGATATGCCCTGGGTACTTGAAACTATCACCTCGGTCGTGTAAACAATACCATCTCCGGGAACTGGCAGGATCTGCTCCTCACTAGAGTTACTCTGCTCGCTGTCCAGGAAAGTCCCCGAGCGCGTCGTAGGCGTAACGTGGGATCGGGGAACCTTCAGGTCCATGTCATGCTTGACACTGCTGAACTTGCCACTGTGTGCCAATGACTGCAGCGGTGTTCCCCTTGAACGAGCTATCGTGTCCATCTTGTATCTCTTGGAGCCGAAGTAGTCTCGAGTCATTTTTGACTGGGAACCGTAGATGTGGAGGATTGATTTGAAGAGCGGTTTGAGGGTTGGGAGGCTACCGGCGATGATGCCTATATTGCATTCCGTACTATGATATGTTAGAACGCCATGTCCATAGGAGTCATGCTGCTTATCATAATACAGACAACTTACACGACCCAGATGGTGAGATCTGTATAGTCCCAGAGGAAATCACCTGTACGACCATAATTGGGTATGATGGAGAGCTTGATGAAGGCCGCCGCACAAGCACTGTGGTCGAGGGTCAACGATCAGTATCTGTTCCGTATCCAGATCAGACTGCTCGTCACTCACAAAACACCTAATCCCAAGATGCAGATCAGGGATAGTTTCACTCTGATATTAACTTGAAGGTGTCTATCCATGATTGTGTCAGCCCAATATCCAGCCAGAGGGTACCAATCAAGCATACCTTAACATAAACACCGGCAGGACTGCAAATATCAGATCAGTCAAGATGTTCAGAGCTATTCAAGTTAGCACACTTCAATTCACGATCGATCCGTATCTATCTCACCAGTGTTTGTATAGCTCAGTGCCAGAAGTTGTTTGGTAGAGAAACATTTTGACTGTACCGAGCTGTCCCAATTGGATCGAATGTCCCTGCATTGGAACATGAGAGTCTGCATGGGAGAATCAGGTTAGATTGTCCTTGGCTCACGGTGCGCGTTCACGTACCAAAAAGCAAATCGTGGTATATAGACCCATGAGAACTAGAATCCGTCAGGTCAGCCAGTATTAGATGAAACCAATCACTCAGGGTCGCTTACCAATAACAACCCAAATAAAGATTTTATATCCCTTCCGGGGTGCGAAACGAAGCAAGAATAACCCAATCGATATTTTCACCAGGCCAATTGCCCACAGGTAGATCCCCTGAGTCGCAAAGTTCAATCGCATGGCTGTAGTTGCCGTGTGTTGAACGTATATCATATGTCTTCCCGCGCCATACTTCACCTCAGGGATGATAATTGCGAACCCACAGGCAGAGAGCAGCATTGTAAAACCCATGATATAGTCGTCCCATCCAATATTGTGAATAATGAAAATTCGCACGTAGAATCTTGCCAACACGGTAATGATCGCCGCAGCCGTAGTGATAGCTGTAGCCACGAGAATTCTAGTTCCATGATCGACATCAGGAAATTCAGGCTGTGTCATAGCATTGTCCGACATGGCCAGCGCAAGATGAATTGAGGGCGGGACATTGAAACGAAGGACTGGCCCTGGGTTATACTCAACTTTTGGGCAAGGTTGCAGTGTGCTTACAAGTATGAGCCGATTCGTGAACTATTCAATAGTGGAAAATTCCCAAAATTTAGCATTACGTTACAGTCCAATCGTATAGTTTCCAGAACCAGGGCAGCCGGCTAATTGGGGTTTCACCTATAGTTCTCTCCCTGCACCTGCGTTTTGATTGACGGCGCAGGTCAGTGCACCATTGCCATTCTCGGATTCGGGTCCGAGACAATAGTCTATGTTTATGTCGTTTTCAACGCACAAGCCGCGTAGGGGATATAACATAAATCCACTGTGACCCAAGCGAAAGACAAGGCCAGCCTGTGCACAAAGCTTTCGGCAAAATCTTTGCAGAATTCCTTGAACCCAAAAACCAGATGGCCACTCGATATGTGGCCAATAAGCACAAATGGCCCCATGGATGATCGAATGATCGGGGGCCAGAGTTGTGTGTTCACAGGCCTCACACCCCGCGGGTGACTAGCTGCGTTAGTCAGTTAGACGCGGTTTGTTTTAAATTGAATCAGACACTCGGGTAGAGTACCGGAATACCCTTCTAGATTGATTGTCAGCCACTTGGAGCAAGATCTGACGTTGATTGGATCTGTGTCTCCACCGAAATGCACAAATCGCCAGGGAACGAGGGGGCGGCCCAAAGTGGCGGCTGTCTAGTGTGATACCTGCTACATCCCTGTGGAGTTAATATAAATCCTCATCTTGCCCTTGGCATTGCACGTTTGAGACTCAGAGAAGGAAGGGTTCACGGGAAACAAGAACCGGTGCACGATCTAATGGAACAATTCGAAAGCGCGATGATCGTCGAAATATCTTCAATTCGCCCCGAGTCTCCTGGGTAGAGATCAAGCGAAGGGCGGGATCTGGCTCGAGACCCTAAGCCATTACTAGTCTCAGGGGACGTCGGTTACCAACGCGGGAAGATGAATATGGCACGACGGGACTTCGATTTCCTAAAGCTATGATTCTCTGAGTGAGGGCTCGGCAGTTGCCCCGGCTTCTTAAATAGTCATGTCCCGGTATCTTCGTCGACGCTCCTCAACTTCTGGTGTGGAACTTACTGGTCATTCAGAGTTTCAATTATTCAACTTCACCATGCTTGCCATTCAACTTCTCACCTTGGGGGCTTTGTTCGCGCAGGCGTGGGCTTTGCCCGCTGTCGAGGAGACCTCTGTCCCGACTCCCACCACGGCTTCTTCCTCTCTCCCTGTCGCTGAGTCCCAGCTAGACATTCTAAGTGATTTGGCATACGAATCTGCCGTTGATAATGTTGGAAGCGCCAACAATCTTGAGAAGCGCGGGGGTTGCTCAGTGGGCAACTTGCGCATTCGTCGTGACTGGAGATCCTTCTCAAGCACCCACAAGAAGTCCTATATCAAGGCCGTGCGTTGTCTCCAGGAGCTGCCATCGCTCAGCCCCTCTGAGCTGGCTCCTGGTGCACGCTCTCGTTATGATGATTTCGTTGCTACCCACATCAACCAAACCATGCAAATACACTACACTGGTACCTTCCTGGCGTGGCACCGGTACTACATCTGGAGCTTCGAGGAAGCCATGCGCAACGAGTGTGGCTACACCGGAGACTACCCGTGAGTTTTCCAACCATCGTCCTAGAACTGAACCAAATCACTAACGCAAGTACAGCTATTGGAACTGGGGCGCTGATGCCGCTGACCTAGAGAACTCCCAGGTCTTCGACGGTAGCGACACCTCGATGTCCGGCAACGGCGAGTACGTCGAATCCACCGGCGACATCGAACTGAGCATGGGCGACTTGCCAACCATCTACCTGCCCACCGGCAATGGAGGCGGCTGCGTTACCAGCGGCCCCTTCAAAGACTTCCAAGTCAACCTCGGTCCCATGTCACTGATGCTGCCCGGTGGCAAGACAGGGACCTCGGAGAACCCGCTCGCATACAACCCTCGCTGTCTCAAGCGCGACCTCAGCACCCAGATCGTCCATGACTATGCCAACTTCACTGCCATCGTGGACCTGATCGTCCGTCATGATACCATTAACGACTTCCAGATGAACCTGCAGGGAGTTCCCGGTAGCGGCAACATCGGCGTCCACGGTGGAGGTCACTACTGTATGGGTGGTGATCCTTCCCGTGATGTGTTCGTTAGCCCTGGCGACCCGGCTTTCTGGCTTCACCACGGTATGATCGATCGTGTCTGGTGGATCTGGCAGAATCTGAACCCTGGAAAGCGTATCAATGCTATTTCTGGCACGGGGACTTTCTTGAACAGCCCTGAGTCTCCTGACACTACACTCGACACTGTCATTGACTTGGGCTATGCTGCGGGTGAGCCTATCGCCATGCGGGATATCATGAGTACCGTTTCTGGTCCCTACTGCTATGTTTATCTGTAAACAAAAAAACCAGACGATATGGATCGGTTTGTCCCGGCTATGAGGACATTGGCCAGTCGCGGTTAGCTTACTTGCGACAGTATATAAGAGATGAAACTGTATATAACCCATATGTATTATAAGGGATGACCTCCATGAATGGCAGAAAAAGCAAGAATTATATGTCATTACGAGTGCGCAGATCATTTCAATTCAATTAATAGCATAGCGATTCCCACGCCTCTAGGAAATAGGAAAAAAGAAACACATTACATCTTCCACCGCCATAACATCATGATCGGAACCCACATCCAAGAGAAAGGAAGCGCAGATGCATCCGTATTAGCATCGATCTTCTCCACACCATTACCAACAGTATAATAAGGATCTTGGCCATAAGTGGTGTTTAACGTGACTCGAGCCAGAGAAGTCCCATCTTCCAATCGAATCCACGTCTCAGTATCATCTTTGAGATTGTCTTGATGGAGCAAGATCTGCCGTCCGCCGCGGGTCAGATCACCGTACCCGCCATACCCCGTATGCCGACCGTAGCACATGTTGATACCATTGCCAGTGAGATCGTGGTCGACAAGAGAGCCATCCCATTTGAAACACCTGTAATATTGAATTAGCATTCCCTGATGAAAATCTCAATGGACATGGGATAGGGGACCATACCAATCATTTTGGTGGTCGTGGCCGCTAAAACCGGCGATCAACCCTTCGGTGTGGAGAAGCGCGTCCATGAACTTCAGGTCTTGACCTTCATAGCTCCAGTCTCCGGTTCCCTGCGGGTTAACGCGTTCGCGATTTATTCCAGGCGTCAGATGTGGATCGATGCCCTTGGTTTCTTGATACTCCAGCATCGCATGGGCTGGGATATGGTAGAATGCCAACGAAGGGATGACCTTCCCGTGCTTTTTCTTCAGCTTGGAATTTGTCTTGACGAACCAATCTACGACCTGTGGTACATTCAGTCAGTGCACGCCACTTTGGGGCAAAGAAAGCCTGTAGCATAATTGGGGATTCTCCTACAGAATCATCAATCCAACTGGGACGCTTCACGGAAGGTCCGTCCTCCCCTGGTTTCTTGTAATAATGCCCACCCTTGGAGTCGAAGAACCACAGTAGCAGGGCAGGCTCCTTGGAATGTATGCCCGAATGCGGGAAGACCGGCAGGTAATAATTTGTGATACCGGCATCTTTTCCAGAGACTGTCCTTTGAGTCAAGCTGTTGGGATACTTGTGCTCGGTTTTGAACATGTCATCTTTCGGGTTGAGGTTGATCTCGCTGTCATGATTGCCGTAAGTCGATCCCCAGCGTAACCCCTTGGCCACGAGTGGAGAGACCACCGATTCAATATGTTTGCTTGCGTCACCTTTCTGTGTTGCCTCGCCGGATACCAAATCCCCGTTGATGACTACAAAGTCGACGTCCTCTTCCGACAGGATGTATGACATCACCTCCTTTGACTTCTCGTCCTTTTCCGCATCTGTGAGGGTCAGCATGGACCAACACTCCCATTAAATTCCTTTCAATAGGAAACAGGACTACTCACTCTCGGCGAAATGCAAGTCCTCGAAGACACTGATGTGAAATGTGCCATCTTCTCTGAATCGCAGGGTTCGATCGACGTGCGGTTTCAAGACGGTCTGCTCCGAGGCTCTAAGATCGGGTCGGGGCACCATGTTGGAATGTTGGAATGTATCCAAATCCCAAGTGCGGGGATGCGAGTCTTTATAGTTGGTTCCAAGTTCACGTGCTGTCTCTCAATCCCCGTGCTGCCAAGGCCGCCTGTTATTCCCGCGCTTTTGGACTGGCCCTACTAAAGAGGCGTCTCGCAGGGCAGATGAATGTGGATGCTCTAGTGTGTTTTGAATTCTAGGGGGTTTACGATGTCTTTTGTCCATGGGGAAATTGTCTTCTGCCTGATTCCGAGTTTCTCTAAATATTTCGATACACCGTGCAGCGTCAATCTAACATGCTCGTCCTTGCATTATTCCGATCTATAAAGTACGGTGTTGTCGCACCGTGCCACATGTACTCGGTGTATCTACGACGCGCTCTGCAGCTGCGCACGGCGCATTATGTGACAATGCGGAGTAAGCTTATGCTATTTTGACTCAACGGGAAATACATGGTCGCAACAATGTCGCGGATCTTCGTAAGAGCGAGGTTTACGTTGATTGACAGTTCTACAGGGATATTCTCCTCCCTCATGGTGCGGTCATCTATCAATAGGACTGAGAATCCGAGTAGGAGGAGGAAAAGCCAAGAAGAAACCACTGCAAGGGATAAACGGGTATATGAAGGTGTATAGCACTCCGGGGGGTGGTTTCCATCGAAATCAGATTTGCGGCCTGGAAATGCCTGCTGTTTAGCAAACTGAAATCAGAATTCCAGTGTTGCTATGGTTGAGAGACCTAAATCAGGAGTAGGGGATCTGAAGTTGACGGGCACGATCGACGAGGCACGTGAAACAGGTATCCTCATAATTCAAGCTTGAGGTGACTTCCTCCATGATGCACTCATCGGGCTCTGCGATGCCGAAGTGAGGTGCGAAGAATCATGGCTGGCAATCCGAATCCCGATCAAGGCGCATCCGCTGGTGGTCAATATGCAGTTGGTTGAGCTGCGACACGTCAAGTTTATGCACTGAAAGATCATCAATAGCCTGCTCTAGTCGAATCAAGAATTTCCGACGCTCGAGATGTTCAGGCAATTCAACCGACATTTCGAATTTAGACAAGATCAGGCAAGGCGCGACGATTTTCAGGCAGGAATTATTGGTAGATATGGAGAAGCGGGGGAGGCTCTGGGGGGGGTTCTTTAATCTTCACTGGTTGATTCTGTGTGATTGATGCGCAAAGTAAGATGATTATGTGACAATAAGTACTCCCTAGCCATAGGGAAGACCAGCAGTTCGGGAAATATGGAGTGTTTGGTGGTTGCCCAGTGACGCACCGAGATAGGTTGGCGCCTACGATTGTTAGCAATCAACTAACCCAAGGCCAGCGGGATTGTTGGAGCCCAACCAGCCCTAAGATCCAGCCATCCGGCACTTGTCCAGATACAAGAAAGTGCTCAAATGGTCGCTTGGATCAAGAGCGACGACGAATCAACCCAGCGACGTCGTAAACGGTATGGTGTAATCCGCTTCCACATGTTTATTGCGATCAGCATATCTCTAACATTACAATAGGCGATTTCATGTATCCCAGGATCGGTATCAGGGATGTGTGACAGCTGCTGAACACGACGAGCATTATCTAAAATATCTGAGCAACGACCAATCAAAGACGGACCCTGTTTTCCCTCCCATACTCCTCTTTCCTAGCTAGCTCAATCGCACATAGTCTCTTTCCGAACTACGTATTGAACTAGTCGTCCTAGAAAAGCCTTTGAAGCTTCTTTTGGGCTAATAATCAATGTTACCTGCATGTTGACTCCCCCGAGAGAGAAATTGAAGCCAGAAGAAAGCCAAAATAAGACTTTGTATAGGCTATCCAACAGGATAAGCTCGCTTAAGGAGCATGACTCGCGGATGTGAGTCAACGTTGCGTGATCCTTCTAACACAAAACCATCCCTATCCCCGCGTTTTGCTCAGGTCCTAAACACTAACTGTTGTTCTTTTCTCCGATCTGTGGTAAAGGAAAGAAATATGGCCGACCCGCTGACTGGATACATCCACTCCGCTGCCTTTGATATAGGCAAGCTGCCAGTTAGCGAGATCCACACTCTGCATTACGAGCAGTACGGAAAGAGAGATGGAAAGCCAGTTATGGACCCGTCACTAACACATTACCCCCCATCCCATCAAATGCAGCGTACTAACATCACCCAGTTTTATACGTCCATGGAGGACCCGGAGGGAGTACCTCACACGAGAGTACCATATTCTTCAACCCAGCCATATACCGCGTAGTCCTATTCGACCAACGCGGCGCAGGAAGGTCCACACCTACGGCCGAACTCCGCGAGAACACCAGCCAACATCTAGTCTCCGACATCGAGGTACTACGCGAACACCTCCAGATTCCCAAATGGCACCTCGTCTTCGGAGGCTCGTGGGGATCAACGCTGTCTTTGCTCTACGCACAAGCCTACCCGGAAATGGTAGGCTGCATGATTCTACGGGGCATCTTCACAGTCCGGAAGTCGGAGCTGGAGTTCTCGCGTGGACCCATTGGCGCAGCCAACATTTTCCCTGAGGCTTATGAGGCATTCGTCAATTACCTTCCTGAAAAGGATCGGGCACGGCCCAATGAGGCGTACCACGAACTGCTGCTTTCCGATGATTACGAGACACGAGTCGTTGCGGCGAGGGAGTGGAATCGCTGGGATTTAAGTATTGGGACTTTGAGACCGGATCCTGGGGCGTTTGCGCAACTCGAGGATGATGCGTGGGTGCTTGCTCATGCGAGACTTGAGTCGCATTATTTTGCAAATGGGGGGTTTCTGGAAGAAGGTCAGATTCTACAGGAAAAGAATTTGAGCAAGATTAGGCATATTCCTGGTAAGTTGTTGGTGGCTTCGTATCAGGTTTCCAGTCGCTAACTCTGTGCCCTAGTAACTATCATTCAGGGTCGGCATGATATTGTCTGCGCAGCGCAGACGGCTTGGGCCCTGCACAAGGGATTGCCTGAGTCACGGTTGTTTTGGATCCCTGATGCGGGTCATAGTGCTACTGTGAGTTCAATACGTTTTCTTTCGGTCTGCGCTTTGGAATATGGATGCTGATCTCTTCCTAGGAATCTGGCACACAAGCGAAGCTGTTCGAGGTCTGTGACGAGTATGGTGAGCTTGACTTTACAAATTGAGGATATGTGTTTGAGGAGCTGATCACATACTGTCTCAAAATGCATATAACCGGTACAAGTGCCTTCGCTTGGTTATTGCAAAGGGACGTGTGTCCCCCCCCCCCCCCCCCCCCCCCCCCCCCAGTTAAGCGGAGGAGTGAGCTACTACAGATGTCAGCTATAATATCAAAACAATTTGGAAAATCTACAATCCAGAACATACCAAGTCCATACTCAAAGACACTGACTGTGAGGTGATCTAACACTCCAAAAGCCGGTGCAATGGACTTAGCTAGGTAGCAATACAAGACTACGATTACAAGGAACATGGATTATTTTTTGACTTTGTAATATTGACAACTGATTCTACATAATAGAAACAGTAGACCAAATTCGACAATGCGAATTTGATCAAGCAAGGTTGTAGAGCTTGCTGTGTGTGAAAACCACACAATGTTGAAATGGTTAAACTCGCACCAACCCGACATCACAACGGAAGTAGGTCATGATATCAGTTGGCGCGAGTTCAAAATCGTCAGTCATGTTGAAACTCCAGGCCCGCTTTTGGTATCCTCTAGAAAACCCGTTGAAACCCATATGTTGAACTTTTGGTATCATCGTCGTAACTCATCATGAAACAAAACTCCCCAATCCCGAGGCGACAGGTTGATTGTCGCCCCCTCATTAAATTAATGATAAATCGAAAAAATTTACTGCGCGTACTTCTGGCGGTAGAACTTGGCAGCATTGACCATGGCGGTCAAAGCAGCCTTGGTCTCGGGCCAGCCACGAGTCTTGAGACCACAGTCAGGGTTGGCCCACAACTGCTGAGGAGTGAGGTAAGCCAGCATCTCCTCGATGCGGTCCTTGATCTCCTGCTCGGTGGGAACACGAGGGGAGTGGATGTCGTAGACACCGGGGCCAATGTGGCGAGGGTAGGCCTCGTCAATGAAGACCTTCAGGAGCTTAGCATCAGACTTGCTGTTCTCAATGGACAGGACATCAGCATCGAGAGCGGCGATGGCGTGGAAGAAGTCCTGGAACTCAGAGTAACAGAAGTGAGAGTGGATCTGAGTGCCGTCGGTGACACCGGCGGTGGAGAGCTTGAAGGAGTCAACAGCCCACTTGAGGTAGGCGACACGGGCGTCGCCAGTGCGGAGGGGAAGACCCTCACGGAGAGCGGGCTCATCGACCTGGATGACAGCGATGCCAGCGGCCTCAAGGTCAACAACCTCATCGCGGAGAGCGAGAGCAAGCTGCTGAGCCTGAACGGACTGGTGGACGTCGTCACGGGGGAAAGACCACCGAAGGCAGGTAATGGGACCAGTGAGCATACCCTTCATGGGCTTGGGGGAGATGGAAGCGGCGTACTTCGACTCCTTGACGGTCATGGGGGCAGGGCGAGAGATATCACCGACAATGATGGGAGGACGGACGCAGCGGGAGCCGTAAGACTGAACCCAGGCGTGGGTGGTGAAAACGTAACCAGTGAGGCGCTCACCGAAGTACTGCACCATGTCGTTACGCTCGGGCTCACCGTGGACGAAGACATCAAGGCCAAGCTCCTCCTGGATCTTGACGACCTCCTGGATCTCCTTCTCGATGAATTTCTCGTACTCCTCAGGGGTGATCTCACCCTTGGTGAACTTGTTGCGCTGAATGCGGATCTCCTTGGTCTGGGGGAAGGAACCAATGGTGGTGGTGGGGAAGAGAGGGAGCTTGAGGGTCTTGGTCTGCTCGGCGTAACGCTCGGGGAAGGCAGACTTGCGGTTGTGCATCTCAGCGGTGACAGCGGCCTGGCGGGCCTTGACAGCGGGGTCGTTGGTGCGGGCAGAGGAAGCACGGGCCTGGACGGACTTGGCGTTGGCCTCGAGCTGCTCACGGACAGCGGCGGGGCCCTCGGTGACAGCCTTGGCGATCACAACAACCTCGGAGGCCTTCTCAACAGCGAAGGAGAACCAGTCACGAACCTCAGCATCGAGGGTCTTCTCGCTAGCGAGAGTGTGGGGGACGTGGAGGAGGGAGCTGGAGGTGGCAACGACGACACGGTCCTTGCCGAGCTTCTGGATGGCGTTCTCGACCTTCTCGATGGCAGCCTTGTAGTTGGTCTTCCAGATGTTGCGACCATCAACGACACCAGCAGAGAGGACCTGCTTGGGGCCGAGAGCGGCGACGACGGTGTCGAGCTGCTCGGGGGTTGCGGACAAGGTCAATGTGAATAGCGTAGAGGCTCTGGAGGTCGGCGAGGACATCAATGTTGTGGACGATGTCACCGAAGTAGGTGGCGAGGGTGATGCGGGGACCCTGGGCACCGAGAGCGCCGAGCTTCTCGTAGGCAGGCTTGAAGGCGGCCTTGGACTTCTCAGCAAGGTCGAAGACGAGGACCGGCTCGTCAATCTGGACATCCTCGGCACCAGCGGCCTTGAGCTTGGTCAGGAGCTCAACGTAGAGGGGAAGGAGCTTGTCAAGGAGAGTGATGGGGTCAACGTTCTGGCCACGGTCAGCCTTTCCGAGGGTCAGGAAAGAGACGGGACCGAGGATGACAGGGCGGGTGATGATGCCGGCGGCCTTGGCCTCAAGGAACTCAGTGACGGGCTTGGGCTCGGCAGCGAGCTTGAACTCCTGGTTGTCCTGGAGAGTGGGCTTCACGTAGTGGTAGTTGGAGTCAAACCACTTGACCATTTCCTATTTGACTGAGTCAGCATCCCCCATTCGGAAAAGTAGAGTGTAATGATGTGGCAGGAGGAACATACCAGACTGGGAACATCGATACCTTCGGCGGGCTTCTGAAGACCACGGCCCATGGCGAAGTAGGTATCGAGAGGGTGGAGGTTGTACTTGGAGTAACGCTCGGGGATAGTTCCGAAGAGCTGGTGGTGGTCAAGGACCTGATCGTAGAAGGCGAAGTCGTTGCTGGGAATGACATCGACACCGGCATCTTGCTGGATCTTCCAGTGCTCCAGACGGAGACGCTTGCCCTCAGCGAGGAGCTCATCGCGGGAGATCTTGTCAGCCCAGTAAGCCTCGGTGGCCTTCTTCAGGTCACGGAGTCTTCCCATACGGGGGAAACCCAGAATAGATCTATACAGATAGTCAGCAACCGTTCTAGTACTTCAACGGGGATTCGGGTCAACATACGATTGAACCATTCTGATGGATGTGTGTGAAACGAGAAGATGGGGATCTCAAGTATAGAATTCTCACAAATCCGATACCTTTGAGAGAGAATGAAGGGAAAGAAGGGAAAGATCTGGGAAAAGCTGCGAAGAAATATGGAGGGGAAGCAACTTGACGCTAATCCCAATGGGGAGTTGATCCACATGCAAGTTGGAGGGGCAGCATTACCGTACCAAACCGATACCATACCCTTTAATACCCGGGGTTCATCGCTAATGTATGCAAAGGTGGGGCAGGTTCTTCGGCCCCCACCGTAATTTACTGTTCCTTTCGGTTCTCACCAGGTACCAATACCCCGTACTCTCCGTGATCGGGCCCCGAGGATGATCACGCCATTGAGACGACACCGATAAGCCCTCGCAGTTTACGACTATTGCCTATTAGTGTGACTTGTCTTAATTTCAGCAAGCGCCGTGTATACGTTATTCCGAAAAATAGAGCTTCTCTCAATCTCAATTGATGAGCTGGCAACGCCCAAAACATTCAATCCGGAAGCTCAGGGAGTACGGGGCAACCGCCGGGACACGCTGTCAACTTGGCCCCGCCACTTCACCCGCATAATTTACGACGTCCAGCTTATGGTGTACATGGGCTTCATGTACAAGGTCAGCACATAAGGCATACGGCATACTGCTCAATGGCAACCGATTCGTAGATTCTACAATGATTCCACCGCGATCTTCTATGTTCTCCATATTTCTACTCCGTTCAAATGCCGGGATATTAAAATCAAAGTGACGCAAAGTAACTCCCCGGTCTCGGGGTCCAGTCAAGCAATTGATCTGCCCACGTGATGTCACGTGTACAATTAATCAACAAACTTTTTGTTGGGCGGTTGGAAGCGAGAACAAAAAAAACACCATTGCCGATCGTCAAGCCATTCAAAAGACAGACAAGAGAAGTTCGCCATGGCTTCTGATGCTGCCGTTGTTCCCGGTGATGCCAAGTCCCCGCAAGAGATCCGGAGTAAAGACTACTATGAGGCCCAGAACTCCGATGGAGTTTCTGTGACTAATGAGGATGATCGCGACCTCTTGAAGCTGGGCTATCGCGCTGTCCTGGCGCGTAGTTGGGGGTCATTCGACAATTTCGCCTGCTCGTTCTCGGCACTCAATTGTATTGGAGGCATACGTGTGCTGTTCTATATCGCCCTCAGTGGAGGCGGGCCGGTTGCCATGTATGTTTGGGCCGGCATCTTCGGTTTCCCGCGCTTTTCCTCGGCATTGCTGAGTTGTTCGCTGATAATAGTCTCACTCGTTTAGATGGAGTTCTTGGCTCTCTGGTACCATCTTTTCCCTCATCACTGCCGCCTGTCTTGCTGAAGCTTGCTCGAGCTACCCCGCCGCGGGGTCGATATACTATTGGGCGTTCCGTTCTTGGGGAGGGGGTAGAATTGGCCGCTTCGTATCATTCCTCGTTGCTGCATGGACATTGGTGGCATGGACCGCCTTTTTGGCAAGTGACTCGTTCGGTGTCGCCAATTATCTGATCTCGGAGATCGTGGTGTTCAGCCCGGAGACAAGCTTCCCCTATGAAACGGCGGACGTCCGTGCGCGTGCCGTGGCATGGGCCTTCTCGCTCCTTTTCCTGGCCATCGCTACCACTCTAAATTTCCTGCCACCGCGCATGTATTCTTGGGTGTTTCGGGCAGGCGTGACACTCATAGTGATTGACATGTTACTCAACTTCATTTGGCTTCCCATCGGGGTGTCCAAGACATACGGCTTCCAGACAGCGGAATTCGTGTTTACATCTACATACAATGGTGGGGACACCAGCCCTGGTTTGAACTGGGTTCTCTCGTGGTTCTTGGTCGGCAGTTGTCTTGTGGGACAAGATGCCTCAGGCCATGTCGCCGAGGAGACTGTGTCAGCTAAGAAAGCCGCGGCCAAGGGTATCTTTTGGGCAACAGCGGCCTCCGCTTTGTGTGGCTTCCCGATCATTATCTTGTTCCTCTTTTGCATGCCTCCAATTGAGACATTTTATGACACCACTGTACCTCAGCCGTTCATTAATTTGTACGCAATGGCCCTCGGGCCCCATGCCCATGTTGTGATGACCATTGTCGCAATGATTGGAGCCATCCTGAACACATCGATTTCCCTGGTTGCTGTGTCGCGACTTGTATTCGCGGTGGCACGTGATGGTGTCTTCCCGTTCAGTGACGTGTTATCGCGTGTGTCAAGGTCGAAGCAGCCCCACAACGCCGTTCTCTTTATTTCGACCATCGCTGCACTTCTTCTTTGCACTCAGCTGCCATCTCAGGTGGCTTTCTCCAGCTTGATCTCTACCTCAGCCGCGGGCTCACTTGCGGCATATGGCCTGCTGGGAATCGGGCGCGCGTTTATCACGCGTGACTCGTTCCGCCCCGGTTTCTGGGATCTAGGCCGGTTTGGCGTGGTTGCAGCTGTTGTCACATTCCTGTGGAACGGGTTTGCATTTGCCGTTCTGTGTGCGCCAACGTACTCGAACAAGGCGATCGATCAAGATTCTAGTCTGTTCAACTACGCGATTGTGATCATGGGAGGAGTGACTATCATCGCAATTGCCGAGTGGTGGCGCAAGTCGAAAGGAATTTGGTTGGAGCATCTCAAAATCGTCGATTCCGATACCGAGATCAAACACTCCTTTATGAATGCCGAGAAAACGAATACGGCGGCCGATAAAGTTACCGTTTGAGCTAGTGGGAAGATCCACGGGAGACAGGTTCTTCGGCAGTCGTCGGGACTACCAGCTCGGAACAACATAAGGTGGTGATTCTCCATTTATGGAGTGAGGGGTTCGGTGAGTACATTTTTATTTAGCACGCATGACGGGTGTTCGAGGTCTTGTGCTTTTGGTCTTCCAAAGGCACAAGTCTCGTTCTGAGAAATTACCGTTAGAACTTGATCTGGACAATACCAGCGAAAGGACATGCATGCTTCACCCCTCTCCTTCCCTTCTTTTGGTGTCGTGACTTGCAGATTTTATCTCAAGGCAGATGCTGCTAACTGGCTTGTTTGTAGTGTAGATTCGCGGTTTGCCTGTGGCAGGTAGGTCATGGACCGGATCGGGCCACTTCTGCATTTGCCTGGGCTACAAGCCTGTTGCAGTGCAAGATCCATGAAGTGCTGCCTGTGATTGGACGCCATCTTTCTGGTTCGCTACTCATCGTCGGCGTATCGTTCGGGACTGAATTTCTCTATATCAGTCGTCACTGACTCCTCACCAGGATGTTGCCGCTCGGACCACATATCGGGCTCTTTGTCTATAGAGCTGCTTGGATAGTGGGTTAGAATTTCGTAGGGCCATTATCAGCAAACCGCTTGTAGATATGTAGACCTGATCGATATATGTAGTTACCATGTCGTACTATCGCTACCTGCATGTAGATATATGTTACTCGAGTACAGGCGCAGACTGTCGTAGGATTACACGAACGTATTGTTTTATTGGAAATAGAAAGCGACTCTTATGGCACTCAGGCAAAAGTCCATAGGACCACGTCGTGATTCTCTAGAGAGGCAGGCCGTGGTGCGCTACAGTGAATCGCCCCTTAGCTTAGGGTTTACTCGCCTTTTTGGGGCTGAATAAGAGCATCTCAGCTCCCGTATCTGAAGTCGTAACGCTCAATGTTGATCTGGATATAAGGGTGGATGGTGGTTTTACCGCTCGGTAGATTCGTGGTTGCGCAATCATATGCTCTCGCGTCACTGTTGGAATTTGGCCACCTCGACCAAAATGGTTATGACAAGTGATTTTTCTTGATATACTCAACGCTCGTGTGTCCATATACATATTAAACTTGAGCACTGGTACATATTATTCTATCCCAGTCAACAAAGACGATATGGTTACTACCCGAGAATAATCCTCTCGGGTTATATCAATAGCCAAGCTTGAATCCACCCCAGTTCAGCCTCGAAAACGTTCCCTTAGGATCATAGGCGTCTCTGATTTCCCTCATGCGTTCAACATTGGCTTGGTCAAAGCCAGCATACGGATCTTGCCACTCGCCCGCATCACCCATATAAACAAAGTCCCTCGCCAACCCATTCTGCTTGTTCAATCTGTGCAGATTCTCAGTCAATTGGCGAGCCCAAGCTTCCACCCGAAGGTCGTCCTGGGCAAGATCCCAGCCTGTGCTTAGCTGCCACCCTATCCACCAACAATTAGCATGACTTCTCAACAGGCGGGGTAGGAGGTCGAAATGGGACATGTCTTACAGATCAGAGCTTCGTCCTCAAGTCCCCACACATTCCCAATACCATTGGTTTTAGCAACTCTCGCAGCGCTGGCTGGGGATATATTGGCCACAAATGTCGGATAGAGACCTTGAACGTCGGCGATGTTTTTGACTGCATTTTTCCATGTCTCGATCATGGTTGTGAATACATCAGCATCGGGTATCATTGAGTGGTGCGAGAACATGACGCTATGGATACAATTAGCGACCAGTAGAAGCAACAGGCTGTAAATTTCCACCGAGCGTAGAGTTGACCTACCGGAACATCTGGTTAGGTGTGTCCAGATTCGATGCCCATTTCTTCCCACTTGTGACGCTGTGGATTTTCGCCACGCCTGGAATCGCAGTGAAGTTTCTGAATTCAGACGGCGGATTGCTAACCCCAGCTTGGACACCCATAAGACTGGATGAGATCTCATGAGTAGTCGTGTTATAGGTTGTGGTAATGACCGAACCGGCAGCAACAGGACTATCGCTGTTTCCCACTGCCCAGTCGCAAATCGCGCGACTGAACGCCGGAGTCGAGCTTTCATTGAATACTTGGATCGTGGTGCTAATCTTCGGCATGTAATACGTCTTCAGGGTGAATTTGGTGACAATTCCAAAATTGTTAGCACCCCCTTTCAATGCCCAGAAGAGATCTGGGTTGTTCTTAGGATTCGCAGTTGTCAAGGTCCCGTTTCCAAGCACAATATCGTAACTCGCGACATTATCCATCGCAAAGCCGTATTTGTTGATGTAATAAGAAACTCCGCCAATGAGAGTAAGTCCAGGAACTCCAATCGTTTTCAGGCGACCGCCAATGGCTGTCCGTCCGTAGGGATCAAGTGCCGAATATACATCATACCAAGTCAATCCCGGCTGCACTTCGATTGTCTCCTTATTGATCTTGTAGTGGGTCATGTGGTTGAATGCCAGAAGGACGCCGCCGTCGATGTTGTTTGAACCGGGGTGCTGTCGAATTGTTGGATAAGGTCGCCTGGTCTGGACATAGTAGGGCATCACTTACGTTCATATGTCCACCTCCACGGATGGCAAACTGGGCATCGCATTGAACAAAGATCTTAACGGCGGAAGCTACTTGGTCGGCGGTCTTTGGCATTAAAATGCACGCTGGGCTCAAAGAGGCTCGAACATCCCAGTATCTGGTTACCTCCTGGCTGTAATTGGCCGTGCCAGGGAAAGTAACTTGGTTTGACTGAGTAGTAGAGAGCTTCTTGCAAGCGCAAGCAGCACCGACTGCCACATCGGTTACACCCACAGAGGATGCAATGGAAGTTTCACTCGGGACATCTGAGCTTGACGCACTTCCAATGCCAAGAGCAGCGGCAAGCACCAGAAGTTGCAGGGCGTATCTCATGCTGACGGGGGTAAAATGTTTGAAAGATCCAGAGAACTAAACACGGTCATGCGGCCTTCTATATGCATTGGCGGCCCTCGGCGGCCAAGACCGACCGCCTCGTTCTTCAAACTGAATAGGCAGCGGTGAAGACGATTTGGAAACATCTTGGCGGACAAGGCTTGATCTTTGATTTGCGGAAGTTTTGTCGGTTTAGACGTCTTTAGGCTATCGGTAGTAGCAGGGTATGTGAGCTTCAGATGATTGAGATTTTCTCGTCTGTCATTGGCTCAGACAGAGGATCATATGTGCATATATTGGATGCCTCGGATCAAAAGGAAATGAGGGGACGCTTGTTTGTCGATCATCGTCAATCTCGTATTCGGCTTCGGACTATTTCAATGTCCCTGGCATCGGCGTGTGTCTTTCCATTGGACATCAACCCAAAGATACTGGGCGATGATACTAGAACGCATTTGCTTAGGACTTTAATCTATCGATCGAAGTTGTAGAAGCACGACTGTGTCCGAAGTGACTTGATCATCCAGAAGCAACATTGAACGCTTAGGCCCCGTACTCCGTAGTTCATCCTGAGATGGTGAGCAGCGGAGGTCACCCTGCAGGTCGGAAGCCTTGGCGATGAGAATGAGACGCTATTATTAGGGAAACATGCAGGTTGCAGCAATTTGTCAACTCAGTGCCCAAAGGCGCAGCTCGGAGAAAAAGCGGGTGCAAAAAACTAGATAGGAGGCTATATCGATACTTCAGAAAGGAGAAATGAAATTCCTGTGTCTCTATTGCCTCAAGTTTCTGATAACTAGACTGCTGAACAGTGATGAAACACGCCTCAGCCGAGTCAGCCCCCTCTCGATGAATCAGCTCATCTTTGCGCCGAGGGTAAAATCATTTCTTTTTAGGATATTCCCACTTGTCATAATAAAGATTATACTAAGCCTTCCAGAAATCGGAAGTCATGCCTAGGCGGGTATACAATTCATCAACCTCTTCAGCAGACTTCCGATCGTATCCATGTTCGTGCTTGTCGTGATACCACGCCTTGGTCGCAAATGTTAGCTTCAATCTCATGTACAGCTTGAGTGGGACTATAGCACATCCTTACCTTCGACAATTGCCACGCAGCGTCCAGAGTAATGATATCTCCAGTGTGGAAGCCATACTTCCGAGGCCATTGCTCTGCCTCTTGCTTGGATGGGAAGAACTGAATAGTTCCGCATGCAAATCGAACATCCCTCCACCATGTAGAAGGCGGGACGGAGAAGTGCACGTAGCAATCATCTGTATTGATCTCTCCCTCCGGAGCAATGCATTTGATCTCGTCACCCTCAATGACAAATTGCATCTCCGTGCCAATTGAGCCAGACCGCACCGAGACAGTCGTCTTCGCGGGAGCCAGCATTGCAGCTAGACCGAATGCGCACCAGGCACAGTTGGCCCACCAGCGCCGTGAGCCCTCGGACTGAGATTTGTGTTAGCAAGTTATTTCTAAGCGTGGTGAAGCCTTTTTATACTTACAACGATGAAGGGAGTCGGACTATAAGGATAAGAGATGAAAGGTTAGTGGGGAAACTTTCAAATCTGGAGGCCAGAGAGCGGGCTCTGCTCACAGGTGGGAGAAAGGGTGAGCCATTGCGATGGATGTAGGCGAGCATGACTTGTGCCTATAACATATAATATGGTGCGCATCCTCGAGCTTCTGAAGGATAAGAGAAACTTCAGCAGCGTCAATGCCAGACGCTTTGGCAAGTTCGTCGTTGGTGGGTGGGCGGCATTCTCTCAGGTAGAACTGGAATAGTTCGTACCGAACGTTGCGAGTGATGTCGTCCATGTTGGTTCTATTGCTTGAAATATTTTCAATTTTGGCCACGAGAATGTATTCCGAACCTGTATTTATATCCCCCGTTCGCGAGTGGATCTGATCAAAAAAAAAAAAAGCTTGTGGCATGCTCGTCATGAACAGGGCGTGCCAAGCCAATTTATAGACTCCACTACATTTCTAGGGCCTTCTGCATACACTGTAGGTAATTGTTCGACAACATTGAAGTCATACAATCCGTGTTTCTCGTGGGGCGGTATGATAGTTGACTGCACATAATCAAAATTCGATGGTGTCTGAAGAATCATAAGCCAGGTGTCGCCAAGGGCGTCACACTAGAGAACTGAGCACCTGTATGGACAATGCTACATTCTGTATGTAGATAATCAAAACCTGCCAGCAGAAGCAAGATGTATGTTTTGGCAATGGGAAGTGGAATCCTGCAGTTTTCAAATGTCCTCTGGAAAAGCCCAAATGGCTCCCTCATAGGCTCGTAAGCTAGACATAGATGCCTCCCATTAGGACCGCTGATCTCAAAGAAATCCGAATATGTTCGAAATAATGGATATCCCCGGTAGGACCGATCTATTCTGGCGATATACTCTTCGATAACACGTTCATCCTCACTTGTGTGATGATTGGTATTTGTATTGGTTATAGTGTTACAACGCTTTCTGGTTCTTCATCATGTCTAGATTTCTTTGGAACTGTATCAGCAATCCTATATAAGCTATTCAAAGGGGAAGATGGGGGATGTTGGAAAAATAAAGATACTCTCTCATATCACGAGCCACACAGTACAAGAGATCCCCCAACCAACTTTCACTAAGAGCTGATACCGGCTGGCGAGTACTTCGCCTGGATTTGCCGGGTAGAAGCGATTGGAAACATAGCCTGGACAGATCTTTTCATCCGCTGATTCATTTTTGGGTAGAACAGGTTCCCACACAGGCATCAGAAAGGTTGTCTGTAGAGTGCAGTCAATGAGCGCGTCATTATGTCTGAGGGATTCCATCCTCAGTGGTAGTCTAAACCGATGTTGCGCGCTAATACATCTTCAATTGGAAAGCTGAAATTCTTCCTACAAACCGTTAACAATTGGAAGAGCAAGGAAAAGCAAAACAATCTGCACGGGGGCTTTCGACGATCTTTGCGATAAGACACATAGTTTTTAAACAACTTATTCAGATCCACGGCCGTGGACATATTGGCGCGAGCTACATCCCATTGTTCTGCCAGGCACAATCAGTGAGCACAGAAGGAGAGAGAAAAGATCATATGTATGAGTCGATTATGTATATAACCATATTGATCAACACACCACCCCCACATCTACACTCCATGAAGACTGGATGTGCATCCCCTACGGAGTAAACACCTCGGTAGTTGCCCGCATAAGTGCTATCCGCTCTCCCAAATCCAGAGCCTAGATTCTTTTTTCGCTTTCCATCAAAACTCCTGAAGCCATGCTAACCCGTGATATCGTAAAGAAGATTGGTTTTGGTTCCGCCGGGGTGGACGTCCTATGCGCTAATACCGGGGAAGCAATCGGCGAGACCCTTGTTGTGCTTGTTGGAGGCGTGCTCGAGGAGACTGTATGCGCAAAGTGATATGTTAGCAATGGAGATTGTATGCATCAGAAAGTGAATTGGCAATTCTGAAATGGTATAGATGGGGTTTCACGTACGCAGGCGCCTTGGTGGTCTGGAGGAAAGTCTGTCTGCAGACCTGGCACTGGATGCTCATGGCCTTCTCGTTCTACACAATTTGAGTCAGTAATTGCTGCAACAAAGACTGAATATGGTATTGACGTACGCTCTTGGTCTGCGACTTGGCGGTCTTGGTGTCCTTCGCGTTGCGCTCGCGCTTCATGTTTGCCTTGGCTCCCTATCGAATACTGTCAGTCCACTGTAGGTTACGCCCAAACAAATCGCGCCAAGGGGTCTGGCATTGTCTGGGCAGTAGTGAAGGTTGATCTTACGTTGCCCATTTTTGCGGTATTTGACGTGAAGTCGAGAACGAGAGAGGAAAATTCAAGGGAATGCGATGAGATGTGGGAGGAGGATCTGTAATTTTTTGTAAAAAAATTGTACGCCCCGGTCTTAGGCCCACCGGGGCACGTGGGGCGCGGGACAATCATGCTGACTCAGCATCTCTTCGGGCGGATCTCAGCTGGACGATGCCGGTTTGGCTTGGTGGTTTCACCTACATGGATACAGTGAATGATTCCATCTAATTTTCACTCTATTCTCAGAATTGCATTATTGCAATCACTACTTGGGCTTACTGGCACATGCATGACTATTTTAAGTGTCATTGTTATTTCAACTATCGGAGTCACAAACGAAGGGAGCGCCTGGGCATATCTACTATCTGTAGATAATCTGATCATCGATGAGACGATGAACTAAAGATACACCATAAAAATGCCAGCCATAGTAGCCCCAATGAAGGCCATCGCTGTGTACACATTGTTGACATTCACAGCCAGTGGAACCATCGTGCTCGCACCCGCACCTTTCGACGTGGATGTGGATCGCCCAGTTGCCTGGCTGGTTACACCAGCTTGGCCCAGGAGTGACTTGCAGCTTCCTGAAGGATCCTTGGCAGATTGGATAGAGGCAGCGCCCTTAAAATCACAGGCGGACTGATCCCTATTCTGGTTCTGGTAGTAGCGATCAAACACGTAGGAGAGTTGATCTTTACTACCGCAGGCACCGAAGACCCCATACTGTCCTATGGTTGCATTTTCAGAAATCCCATCACAGGCGCCCTTGTCGGTTCCACAGACTGTGCCGAACAAGTCACCATATTGGTCTGCATGCATGGAGTTGCTGACCACGCACGACAGACTGTTCACCATGCAGGAACATAAATCTTTGTTTGGTGAGGGTGGCAGAGGACTAGCCTTTGCCAACCAGTGATTATTGATGGTGGGACATGCATTAGGGGTGTTTGGTGGAGAGTAACTGCCACTATTCACACCAGTGGGTGTTGCAGTCTGGATCGCTTTGGAATAATAGCTGAAATCCGGCTGGGTTTTGACGGAATTCCCATCGACAGAGACAAGTCCGTAGTTATTAGTACTTTCAAAGTACATATAGACAATGCCACCACTCCAGATATCGTCCATGTCAGATCCGAAGATCGAAGGGATGTCGCCGAACTTGCGTGGCCTCACTGTATTGCATCCGTACTCAGAAAAGAAAATCGGGATTGGGTAGTCCTTGTACTGCTCAGTGAGATTTGCATAGCCGGAACCCTTGAAGGTGTTGTCTCCACACCACTCATAGATGTTGTAACCAAAGAAATCGATGGCGGTAGACTGGTTTCCACAGCTGAGATAATCTGAAAGTTCCCTGCGAAATTCCGGCTGATCGGTAGTTGCGTAGCCGAAGGATAGTGACTTTCTGTATCCCTTCGTTTTGACGTAGGCCTTCATGTCTCGCACGGCAGCTTTGACGAAGGCAGCGCCAATTGACTGGTTCACGCGATTCACAACCTCATTGCCAGCAAAAAACCCAATGACATTGTCATACTGGTGAAAGGCATCAACCACCGCAGTGTACCGAGCGTACTGGCTCACAGTCCAGGAAGGCGAGTCAGAGGTAATCGACAAGTCAGGCGATGCAAGATCCGCAATGACATAGATTCCAGCGTCGGCCAATTTCTGCATGCAATCATCGTGATTCTTAGTTGGATCGACAGCATAAGTTCGGATGACATTGGTCCGTAGCTGCTGAAGGTATGGGATATCGCGCGCGCAGTGAGAACCATCTGCCAGAGGATCGACATAACGAGTTTCGTTTGACTGTCCAGTTCCACTTGCTCCTCCAGCATTGTAGTCCTCTAAATAGAGTCAGCTTTGGGTCAGCAATGTGTATATTTCTTCGAACATACCCTGGTATGCAATTCCTCGAATGTAGCTAGTCGTGTAATTAGCATCCCAGGCGTTGGAGAGTAGGTTGTCAAAACTTACAATTGGCTTCCATTGTTTGCATAGAAGAACTTGGAGCCCTGATTATTACAGCGGTTAGTTAATGGAAACTTCCAGAGCACACACAGTAGCTGAGGGCTTGCCTTGATCTCAATCTGGGGGATACTGGCCATGGCAATCGCCAACAGGAGGAAGAGTCCTGCAAAAACAAGGTGAATCCGCATTTTATCTGGATGATGAACAAAACTTCGTGCTTTGATAGAGATCAACAGTGAGAATGAAGCTGACGATCAAACGCTTGGGCGGGGGTTTGTGTAACAGCTCGTGGACGCGTTGTTGATCGAGAGAAGCAGAAGCCCATTCGGAAGCCACGGTGACAGCACATTCACGTGCCTTCCCAGGGCTAGGTAGAGTTCCTAATGAGGAAGCGACGAGGCGGTGTCCGACTTGGATGCTGCTCGACGCTCCCAATATTCTCTAATGCATGGCCTATCTTACAAGCCAATGAAGGTGCGTTCAAAGGCTGTTCCCATGGTATCGCGAGTTAATCAATAACTACGGTGATATCAAATGCTTTATATCTCAGGCATATCATCCTGCGTTAATATGTCGATATTCGGAATACCTGGCCGATGTATATCCGAGGTTCCCCGGTTGTTCTAAACGGTGGGGACGCCTTGCTCCCGAGGTCCCTCCCCAGGTTTCTGGGTCTGTTTTAAAATCCCAACGTCCGTTGTCCCTTAGAGTACATAATACATGAGGTGGTTAACTACTTTGATGCAGACCTTTATTTATAATATTTTCTATGCTCCCTAGCTATGTAGGGATCTGTGTCAAGCTTCACGTTGCCAGACGTCTACGTAAAGTAGCCTTGGGAAGGCCCCTAGTCCAATATTACTAGATGCATGCACTTCGCATGCTGGAAGCAGTTTGTAGCATGTTATATGTAATGAGATCGATAATTATCACTGAGATCCGGTTGGAATTGATCTGTTTCATACATAGCATATCTTGCTTAGATATCCTCACTTCGGCCAGACTCTGGACTTCCAATATCAGGTCGCAATATGGTAATAATTGTTCAAGATCGCTTCATCTAATGAACTTGATGTATGGAGTAGTGACTCAGTCTCTTGCAAACTGAACGATACTCTGTATGTACTAGCTCCACCATCAAACGCGATCTGCAACTCGGCAAGGTCCGGTCCGGTTTCCCCACATGCTATTTTTATCGACATGGCGTTAATTCTGCCAAGATACCCCTGTCAGTTGAGCCACCGGATACCTGCACACATAATACGCGTAGGTATTTGGTCGCTCTAATCTCTTTGAAGAGGCCATAGTATAAGCTGCCCGGCTGAATCTCGTTGATATGGAACGTTGATTTGAATTGATACGCTAGTGGGGGGAAATGATGCAGAGCAGAAAGGAAAGATGCCTCAAGAGTATGGAAATGAGTACTGAAATAAACCCAATCGCTGGTGATTCTTTCATAGTATGCACTGTAAATTTTCAGTCTTGCCGCATTGAGACATATGTGACGTACGTAGATACAATTTCTAACTGGGGAAAGTAAAAAGAAACATAATACCGGCAACTATGCATGTTTAAACTATGATGGCTCCCCTGGTTTTGTCGCAGTGGCCGTAGAAAAAAATGGCAGAAATGGCAGAAGCAGTGGAGTTTGATATGGTTGGTTTCGGTGGTTATTGTTGTTGTGCTTCTTTCTGCTTCTGTCTCTCCTTTGCTTCTGCGGCCTCCTTCTTCCACGAGCCCTCGTAATGATGAGTCGCAAGAACATCGCCCTGATCGGTGGGATTGCCGTTCTGAAGAGCAGCAAAAGATACCCCGGGCATGATCAAAACATCACCAACCAGTTTGGGTTGTTTGATGCCTGAGAAATCACGGTCATCCACTGTCCTCCCAAGGAACTGTCCCAGACTTTCCACGATTGCAACCGTCATAATTTTCGGCCCAGTCACATCCACAACATCTGATATCATCTCCAGGGTAACCCCTTCAATTCCCACGGCATTGGCCAGGGCAATATCCCTCAATTTCTTGATAACCACATCAACGACAAATCGAAGGTTGCGCGAGGACTGCCGTCCCACAAACACCCAATTGCTGAATTGGGATGCGACGGTCGTCCCGGATCCTTGCCACTCAGCATCGAATTCCAACCCCACAATCAGATCGATGCTCTGGTTCTGGTATTCGGTGGGAACCCATTCCGCGACTTCTTTCTCGCAGGTGACGTCCAGATCGCCCCAAATCCCGCCTTCGGCCAGAACGACCAAATAGCGGAAAAGATCAGCCCTCAGGATTGGGATCTGAAGGGCCAAATAGACTTCGACAATATCCGGTCGGACTTTGTGGAAATGAGCCCGAACGAATGCTTCCGCCGATTGATCGGTTAACAATTCTTGACGCAAAGAGGGGTTTTTCTTCGTCCAGCTGCCAATCCATTCTCGCTGATTGTGCGTTATGTTGTCCGATTTTGCCGAATGCCAGACCTTGTCTGGAATCGTGTAAATGGGTGTAGCGGAGGCAATGATGTGGGTGGTCGGGTCGCTTATCGAAGATTCGATCAGGGGTACAGTTGAAGCATGACCAACGGTGGTCGTCGTAGCCACCTCCGAAGACTGCGGTAGTGTGGTGGTAGAATCAGGGATAAATTGAGGGATTGAGCCAAAGATGCACATATAGCAAAAGAACATGAATGGAATAAGGAGAGCAACGCCCACACGCAGAGTGCGCGAGTTCTTCATATTGGACATCGAGCCTGATCGGTGTGAGAGCCTCAATCACTGGTGACACAGAGAACCCTGGAATGATCTGCGGATGGGTTCCAATTTAAACCAGATCGTGCAGTCTCCATGGTTAAATCCACGCTGGAGCTCCCATTGAGCTTACGAATTTCCAAGACTTCCAGGATTATCCATGGATCCATACGATCGTCATCGTTTTCCCACGTGCCCCCCACTTTCTTATCTGCGCTCAACGGACGCGGGATCAAGGTTGCCTCTAGTGCCTCAACCTTATCTCCAAGTGCCCAATATACCACGGTTACGGGGGAAATGATCGAGTTACTAAGGCAGTAGCAGCCAAGATTGCTTACACTACATCGGTAAGTCAGGAGAAGGTCTCTCCATTCTCAGTTCCATAATCAAAAAGGAGATAGGCTCGTCCACGCTGACCACTTCCTACTGGGTAATATCTTCTGTGCATCCTATTGGACCGTAGGCATGATTTATCATCAACGACAAGCCCTAACAAACTCCGAGCCAAGCACTACTACCCACTATTGATCTCTTGAGAGAACAACTCTAAACACAAAAATACGTCGTCTAATTACGATATCAGATTGCTCTCTTATCATGATAAACCCTCCACAACGACTTCCTCGTCAACTTTAAAAGCAGCAACTTTTGCAATCCATTGGATCACCTTCGTCTATCATTAGTCCAACAACATCGAGTTTTAGCAAAGCATGGATTCCAGGTACTATCGTCGGCTCTCTGGCAGGTGTTGTAATCACAGCCCTTATAAGCAAGTGGAACCCTCGATTCTGCAGGAACAGCTGTGTGTGGGTGAGACCCACACTCGGTCGTTAGAACTCTGGGATATACACGAGAGCTTTGAGAAAGAACGCACAAGCAAGATACTATCCATACTCCACTCTGATATGAGCTCGGCGCATATGACTACAAGTAAGAGACCTGAAATAAGATTGCCGGGAGTGACTGAGGAATGTGACAAGCTTTTCGCTCATCGCACCAACGTCAGAGTGAAGCATGGGATTGAGTATGCTTGAACACCCCTGTTTGGTATCATGACTCGTTATGTCATGTTATGTTCTTCTTCCCGCAGTCCATTTCATCTCATTTGATGTGGGAGATTATCATACTTCGTTATCACAGAAGTCTCGTTTCCATTCTCATATTTATATACGATTAATGACATCTGGCTGGAAAGCGTATAATAATTGAACCAACTCTAGCCCCGTGGGTAAAAATACAGACGAAGCTGGATCCAAAGTCTGCGAAAAAGTTATTCTGGCTGCCCTTCACACCAACGTATTCTCGCTCAGCCTTGAATGCCCACTGCCATACATCTTCACTCGGCCTCCACGACCAGACTTGTTCGACTAGCCCATCGGCTGCCGTAAAAAGCCCCAGGCATTTGAATGCAATCTTGATACGCACTTGCCAGCTCCTCTGCCGCATTACTTCTGGTAGAATCTGCGCGTTGGAGGCTGCTCACCAAATGCTCTTGATATTGTGCTGCCCATTCCTGCGATGGTTCTTTTGGGCGAATATTCGACCGTTTCTTGCTTTCTCTGTTTCTGGAGAATCTCAGAACCCAACGTCCACTCCGAGATCGAGAAGGTTCTCCGTTAATCTTGTCTGCACTTCTGTTGTTCGATGGATCAAAGTACACGGAAGGCGGACGGTTTGTTTGATCCATTGAAATGCGGCGCGCATCCCGTGGTGATGTCTCTGGAGTGAATGTATCGCGTATGTGTGTTGAATCGAGATATTTGGTTGGCGGAGCCCGCTTGCTTGTCGATCGGCTGGCTATTGCCCATCCAACCGAAGAATTGTGGTTTGTGTCTTCGACATAATCGACTTTCGGAGAGGTCGGTGATCGATTTTGCTGCGCATGATCTGAGTCTGCAAGGCGTTCTTGGCCTACACTTCTTCCTTCGCTCGCCAGATCAACTACTAGCGGTGCATGGCCATTGCGTCGGATTGAATGGCTCTTCATTTTGGCCCACATTGCTGGTGTCAGGATAGGCCCACCCCTGGTATCGACAGGAATTGTGGCCATCGGAGGGCCTCGGCTGTTATATCCCTTCAAAACTTGGTCAGGGGTAACAGGCTGGGTCGCTGGTACAACGTCAGTCCGGCGCGTGGCCGGTGTATTCAACTTATGTCCATTTACGCCATTGGATGTAGGGCCCGGATTATCTGTGTGCCTGTTACTCCGGGCTGGACTACCGCTAACTCCAGCTGTGGGTGAGTGATCGTCATCATTGTCCACCAGAGTATAACCGTAGCCCACTCGCCGGCCTCCTGTCATCCACCCGGGACTAACTTTGCGTTGTGAGCCCACACTCTCAGCTCCATTGGGCATGCCATAAACCTGGGCGGGTCGGGAATTCCCCCATTCGAGCTGTTCAACAAACTTGCTCTTGAGAACCTCCGCGCTTGATTCTGTTCCGTTCTGTTCCAACGCAGACCTCTCTACCATTTGTGTATGAATATTCGGTAAAGTTCCCATTGCATTTGCGGCATGAACTCTCACTGATTGGACAGCTGGAGATGCGCACCCTGAAGGATTACTGCTTTGGCCCGAATAGAAAGAGGATGCATCTCGTTGGTGGCGTACATCTTGCTTTTGGGGCTCGCTGCCCATCATTGTCGACGATCCAGATCTCTCACAAGACTGGAGGTTCTCCTGAGATGCCATTTGTACTCCATACCTGTTCGGACGGGGTAAGTCCAACATAGATGGGTTGTTCGATGGTGGTGTCGACATCATGCTCGTTCCCGCAAGTCTGTGAGAAAGATCCAAATCACCAAGATGCGGCACCCTAGCCTCGGAGTGTGTTTCAGGGGAGCCTGTTGGTTGTCGTCTTTTCGAAATCATAATGCCCGAATTTTGTGCAGCTAATGAGGCCGAAGATGCGGTGCGGAAATCGTTTGGATTTGATCCCATGTATTGGGCCCAGTCAGCCACAAGATTCTGAAGATTCTCACTGCTGCTGCCAATAAAACCCTCCCGAGTTCGATTTCGGACGGGTGGAACCAATTCTTCTCTGCTACCATCAAGACTCGAGAGAGATTTTGCGAATGCAGATTTCTGACCCACTTTCTCATTTTGAAATGAAGATACAGAGCGGTTATATGTGCCTTCTGCTGCTTGCCTAGCGTGCATAGCAGCGCGCTCTACCAAGCTTCCTGGGGGAGTAGGTATGAAATGCATTCCGAAGGGACTTCCCGGGGTATCAGATTGACCGTGGCCCTGTGTACCAGCCCGGAGCTCTGTTTCATTTTGCTCGCGACTGTGTTCAATCAAATCATGTAATCCTGGTCTGCGAAAGCCTGGGCTTCTAGGCGATGCCTTCCTGTGGTGATCATGTTGAGGACTTCCAATGCACTGGGCATCGCTGTCATATCCCCGCGCGCTCATCAAACTGCTTCCCAGGTTCTTGAGTACACCTAGGTCAGTGCTTTTCTTCGGGTTTAGCTTCGATTTGAGTGAGAAGGGGAAAATGGAACGGTGCTCCGGAGGTTGCTTGGATTCCCTCGAGAATCGACGTCGGATCCGACGAGGAAAGCTTGTAGATATTCGCCTGGATTCATCAGGCTCTGTAATATCTCAAGTTAGTCAGGAGAAATACTCGGCACCAAATCTCAAGCTGAGACTTGCCCTGGGTTTGCTCCCTGGCACCATCCAAATGGTCTGTTTGATCATCTTGGTATGATTGCGCGAAGTGACTTGGAGATTCAGCTCTATCCTCCCTTCGGAAACGGGGACACATAATAAAAAACATTTGGACACACGCTCTTTACAAGATGAAAATCCACCTCGTTGTACTATCTCGTTCCGACGGAGTTTCGAAGAAGGCACTAGCCTTGGCCACTATTTTTGCCTTTCCTTTCAGACTCGCTCTTGCTGTTTGTTACTTGACATGGGATGGTTGGAAACCATGGATCAATTCAACCCAAAACTACATGCACATGTAGTTTGGATTTATGCGTCCAAGCTAGAACAGTAATTCCCAGAACATCCTGAGGTCGGTGGCATATAAAAGAGATATGATTTTGATTGAGCATCAAAAGAATCACACGCTCTATGACTTTGATGATCATACCAAACAAGGCATCTGTAAAGAGCAAAAGAATAGATGCTATACGCTCTTCTATTGGCCAATTTATGAACAGCAGGCCCACAGATTTGAGTTTATGGTTGCAGTCCGTGTCCGCCCCACTTCTACACCGGTTTGAACATGTACATGTACCTATCACATCGGGTATTGGTGTAAGAAACACCCCGTATGTTGAACGATGATTCTCTGTGCATTGTTTCAAGCTATTTCTTATAGGTAATACTGGAGATAAGATTATAATACCTTATATGACTGAATCGCTACTAGAGATTTGGGAGCATCAATTGCACTAAACATATTGAGAGGTATGAGAATCAACTTGGGGCTAAAATAGGTATAATTTAAACCACCTGGGCCGTATTCATCTACTTCCGTATAGGTTTGTGACCTATACAACAATTAGAAGGAAGGGAAATGTTTGATTTACAGAAAGATTGTCCTCTATACTCCGTACCGAGGTCCGTATAGTTTATGATTTACATCACACAGACGATCAAGAACCACCAAGAGATCAAATGCTTACCACTTCGTCATGGCAGATACGAGGATATAGATAGACATTTTCCCACCATTGCAATATTTTCTACCATTTTATATTGCACACCTATACAAGGCCCATTCCATCATTCATCACTCCTCTGATGACATTTGGGTTGACTCCCATGCTTTAAAGCAAGAGAAGGGGTAGCACACCATATAAGTCCGTCGTTTTCCGGTTCTATTCATACATACCTAGGGAAGATCTATATGGGACATTACGCTGTTCTACAAGACAGATTCATCCATACCACCCAATGGCGAAGGATCCCAGGTTGGCGCGCGACTGACAGCTCTTCAACAGCCTGATACCATTAGAATTCCACAAAGCCATATATTCATTTATCAAGAACACAGTGATAGCATATCATTCCCAGCCAGATGTCATTAATCGTACAAAAATATGGCTAATCAATCCCTATTATATCTTACACCTCGCCCATACACACAAGGGTGTAAAGTCCACCGATAAAGTAGCATTCAGACCGCCTACCTTCGCTGGCGCTTATTACTCTTATCGCTAGCGGCACTCATCACACTAGCAGATCTCTTATGATTCCCATCTTGTAGTTGTTGCGCGCTGAGAGAACCCGGAGCACCAGATCCATGAGCAGTAGAACCCAACACGCCCGGCTCGCCATCTTCGGCCTCTTTTTTCACGTGTGGATGGTCAGAATCCGCACTTGGTCCTGAAATGCCAGCGGCTTCTCTCATTTTGCGCTCGCGCTCCATCTTTGCGGCCTCCAGGACCCGAACCTCGCTTTCCACTTTTTCGGAAACCTTGCGGGCGTCGAGGAGCATGTTGACAGATTGGATAAGTTTTTCGAAGTCCTTGCATACACGTTCCGTGGGCATGAAAAGGCGCACAGGGATTTCGAGCTCGGACAGGGCATTGGCCAGTTTCTGAGTTTGTACGTTGGATTTGGCTTGGGTGAGTCGCTGAGCACGATCGCTGCGGAACTGCACACCAGCTGAGACCCGCTCGTGGTGCTGCACACCATATCTGGCTTCCTCGGCTGGGGTAAGCGAGCGCACAATTTGGTTGGTTTCCTTGGTGATCGATCCTTTCTTGTTGTTTCCGCCTGCTGTGACAGGTGTGTCGCCTCGGCCCATGCCACCAGCTGCGGTTGGAGTCTGGCCGGCGGGGCTAGGAATAGCACCATCACCGAGGATGGAGCGACGCTTCTTGCTCTTGTCGGCTTGCAGCAGAGTCTGAAGGAGTTGTGAAAGACCCGCACTGGACTGATACATGGCAGTGTTGCCGACGCTAATGGGCACCTCAAGGCGAGAGTAAAGTTCCCGTCGTTCGGTGATGAAGTTTTGCTCATTGGTGGTGATACGTTTCAATTCTTCGAGAAGCATTGCTTCCTCGCGAACTTCATCTGCTGTACGATTGAGTTGTAATGCAGCAAGTTCTTTGCGATCACGCTCTCGGTCAGGATCGAACTTGAGCATCTTCTCGTGTAGTTCGAATTCAGCCTCTGACATTTCTGAAGGTGGATGCTCTAGAGAGAGCATTGTCGCAGCAATGTAATAGTATCGTGCCTTCATTTGCTCCATTGTCCGATACTGCTTGGCAGGCACAAGGGCATTCGGATCCGGCTCCGTGTCCATCCGTGGTTGATAATCATAACGATCTGCAATGAGCACCCAACGAATGTCGTATTCCGTGACCAGGTCCACCAGATAGTCTGTTTCCTCGCGTGACCAGTCATCGCTTTTAAGATGTCGATTGTACTCGTCGTCTGTGTATCGATGGGGTACGCGCGGCTTCACGTTATACTTGGCGAAAGAGTATTCCTGCTCCTGTGGTTTGGGGACGTCCTCTTTGCCTTCTTCCTTGGGTTGATCCACCTCCATTTGCGACTCCTCTGGTGCGAGCGCGGGCGCGGGGACAGGCGGTCGCGCCGACTCGTGTTTTCTTTGCCAGTGATTCAATACCAGGCCGTCGGAACGGGCGTTATTCGTAAATGGTGCCATGCTCCTAAAAAAGATTGAATATCAGCCTCCATCCCAAGTATCAGAAGAGCTGCATTGGCAACGTACCATGGTCGAACGCGAAGCTTGTTCATCCATTTCGGACGACCCTTGTATTTGTTCTCATTAATAGCGATTGGTGGCGCCCTTTCGCCCAGCAGCGCGTATAATTCACGAGTGATACCCTCTGCGATAAGAAACTGTCAATTATTTATCCCATCTCCGATAACGCGCATTGCACTTACCTGGTCGCTTTTCGACCACCTTTTGCTTTTTATGCGGTCTGGGCTGCCCTTCTGCGGGCAAATCCAGCATATCGCGAACATCGGCGGCCGCGGCCATGATGGCGGTTCGATTGGGGTGGTGTACTATCTGAAAGCGATACCAAGGAACAATATCTTCAGTTTTGGGCGCTTCAATAATTAGAAAGCCACCAATAGAAGGTCGATATGTACTTTGTTTGATGAAATCAAGACTAGTGAAGTTGAAATTGAAGACCTCGCCGACAGAGGCTTCCCGTTGGAAAGGGAGAGATTCCGGAGATGGCAGGCGGTGAGGGTCCACGGTCCCTGATGTTGACACCTTCACGGAGATGAGCATCTGGCTGTGCGACTCTCCAATTGCCCATTTCCTCATCATGGCTTTCTCTGGGACATCCTCGTCATGGCTGGCGTCAGCATTGACTCTGCTTTCTTTCCTTTCTCTCCTTATCCCCACTAATGCCCTGTACTTCTACATGGAGGGCCGGCAAACAAAGTGCTTCTACGAGGATCTGCCCAAGGACACTCTAGTGGCCGGTATGCGCCAACCTCTAGAGCCTGTATGATACAACCCAAAGCTAATGTGTGATATTTGAATGGTATTCAGGTCGTTATGAGACGGAAGTTATCAACCCCCAGTCTGGCATCTACGCCATCGACCACAACCTGAAGCTGCACATCACCGTCGACGAGACCTTCGACAATGATCACCGCGTTGTGTCCAAGCGGGACAGCCACTCCGGCCGCTTCCACTTCTCCGCCGCTGATCCTGGCCAGCACAAGATCTGCTTCACGCCTGATACTGATGCTACCTCCGGCTGGCTGTCTAACTCTTTGGGTGCCGTCAGGCTCACCGTTGATATTGCCATTGGCGAGACCAGCAAGATTGAGACCGAGGACAAGGATAAAATCAAGGATATTGTGCAGCGAGTCAAGGATCTGAACAGCCGGTTGCACGATATTCGCCGCGAACAGGTGTACCAGCGGGTAAGCATTCCCTCGTATCCAAGTCATCTCACGAGCTCCGGGGATAAATTAACCCCAATATACTAACATATCTTCTTCTAGGAACGTGAATCTGAATTCCGTGACCAGTCAGAGACCACCAACTCTCGCGTCGTGCGCTGGACTCTTATTCAGCTCGCCGTTCTGTCTGCTGCATGTGCCTGGCAGCTCTCGCACCTCCGGTCATTCTTCATCAAGCAGAAGTTGACCTAGAAGCTTCGTTATCTTATTCCCCACAGCATGACTCGTTTTTTTTATGCTTAGCATTTTCCTTCCGCTTCTGCTTCGGGCTACGCATGCCAGTTTACGTGAATATTGATGATTGATTCTTGCATGCGTTGTTATACTGTTTTCTTGGCGACCGACAGATCTCTCCTACCGTTGATCAAAAATGCCTTGGTCTATCGATGTCTCTTCTGGGATCATTAGAAACGGCGGCCAGTGTTTCAATCAAAAGGGTGCGGGGTGCTTGGAGCAGGGTCAGATGGATGTCGATCTTGATAATGGATGTAATGATGGCTTTTCTTCTATTTCCTTGTCTTTCGTAGATCATTCCGAAGCCAAAAAGAAAATGGATGACTTCCCCATGCTAATCCCAGACTCAAGTTGGCTCATCCAATCTTATAGATGCGGCGTCAGCATTGGAAATACACCTCGTTCGGTGATGCTACACTCGACCAACACATAGTTCAATCCTGACTCGGTTGGTTGGATACTACATAGATCAATTACATACATCAGTTCTGGCGAGATTTGCAAAAGGTATGACTGGTTACTCCAGCACCAGAAGATCTCAGACCAGTAAAACCGGATGATGATCGCTACTATGTAAGCTCAGCAGAAGAGCCTACCTAAGGCACAGGCATTCCAGCTAATAGATCTCATTGTATCTGTACTACGGAGAACGAAGTACAGTTCATGGTACTATGAGTGCAAGGCGAAATTTGTAATAGATCATCAATCATTATATCCATAAGGGATAGAAAAAAAAAACGTAACAGGGGCCAAAAATGACAATGATGGTATATGGCAGTTGAAAATCAAGAAGAGGCCAAGAAACATTGCAAATGAGCAGCAACAAAAGATTCCGCCAACGCGATTTATATGCCATCTTGCCCTTTGAACTAGAGGGGAAGCAATCAGAAAATGTACATGAAGAGAAGATCCACATCCAATGGGTATATGATGGTCTGAAAGCGAAACTCCGAGCAAGCATCTTTTGACATTGAGCCCAGAGGGTGTTCCACGATTAGGCAAGGGGTTTGCCAGTACCGCAAAATTCAATAATCAATCGTTCGAGATCGCAAAGTTTGTAAGGCTTCGTCATGTAGCCTTTAATTCCCACCAAGGAGGCGCGATTGAGTGCTTCATCGGTAACGTCGGCACTCACAGCAAGGACGGTGGGAGGTGGTGGCGCACAGAATGTATTAGGGGCTGGATCCATTTCCATGGAGTCCGGGCTATTACATTTCGATGGCTCAAAAGAAGCGTATTGATCCCGATGTTTGTTGACCATCTCGAGAATTCGAGAGGTGGCTTCGTATCCGTCCATTTTAGGCATCCAGAGATCCATGAGGACGACATCAATCGGTTTCATTTTGGGAGTCGAAGGTCGCTCGTTGATTACGCCTTGCATTCCGTTCACAGGATCGATATCGATACCTGGCGCGCGTGAGGGCTTCGAGGTGGACAGAATGCCTTCGACGATCTGCACCGCCTCTTGGCCATCGGCAGCTTCAAGTACATCGCTGTAACCAAGCTTGCGTAACATGTTCACCAGTACGCGCCGGTTGATACGATTATCTTCAGCAACTAGAAAGCGCAGTGGATATTTCTCTCCAAGCTTCTTGTCATATACATCCCCGGAGATGAGTGTTTGATGCAGACGGATTTGTGGTGACGTTCGTGGGGGTGTTGGGCTTTGAGACATGCTTTCGTCGCTGGCACTCGGGGTCGGTTGTTGCAGTTGGCAGTTTTGGAGAAGGACGAATGGCGAGCTGGAGGAAGAGGTATCACACAAGAAGCTGCTGACCCCGCCCTGTTGTGTTTGGTCGGTAGTTGGTGACGTCAAGGTCCTCTCCCCAGGAGTTGCAGGGCGAAATTCAGCTTCCCGTTGGTTTACAGGGATTCGAATGCGGAATTCCGTACCCCGATCAGGCCCAGAAGTCGACGAACGTACACAGGTCAAATCACCACCCATTTTGCGGGAAAGGCCTTTCGCTACAAGAAGACCAAGGCCTAGGCCATCTTTGCTTCTAGTGGTCGATGCATCCTCACGGGCAAATGGTTTGAAGAGGTTGGGCAGGAATGCAGCCGGGATTCCGGGGCCAGTATCGCGAACAAGTATGAAAACATCATTTTTCTGGGGTTCGAAAGTGGCGCAGACAGTGATGGTGCCATTATTGGTGAATTTGATCGCATTGAGGAATACACACGAGATCAGCTTGGCCAGATCACGGTCATCGGCGAGAAGGGTGTCGGGCAATGCTGGATCCACAGACCAATCCACAACCTTGGTGAACAATTCGCCGTTTGAGGACCGCGACCGAATCTCGATCCTCTCCCCAAACTCGGTTGCATTGCTAATGGCAGAATCAGGTCGGCCACCAACGTGGAGGGACTCGTTAATCACCAAACGGAGAAGATCTCGTAACTTCGTAAAACGCAAAGCAGAACCTCTTAGGTTCACGTTGATACCCTCCAGAAGCAAATGAGGTGCGGATCGTCTAACTGCAAGGGACGGGCGCGGATCAACCATTTTGGCCATGACGGCTTCAATTTGGCGAGCTGGAATGGCATGAACGATCTGATCGCTTTCATGGACAGCATTCTTGACTTCCTCGCTACGAGGGGACAGTTCCTGTCGCGATGAAGCCGCACGAAGTCTTTGTTTGCGTGCCGGTCTGGGGTTCATTTCCGGTGGTAGGCTTCGCCGCCGTTTGTATGGATTTACTGCGATATTGTTCCCCGCGATAAAAATGCTCGGACGTGTTTCAGATATAGTAGGTGGGATCGCGAGGCCGCCTAGTATCTCGGACTCCTCGCGGAGTGGAGTTTTAGGGATTTGCATATTGAGATCATATGCATGAACAACATTATCGGCCGCTTCCATAGCACGTCTCGCGCTATCTTGAATCATCTCGATCCCCTCCTTGAGAGCTTGAAAGATGGCCCCGGACTTGATGGGAGTCTTGCTCTCCATCGCTTCGCACACGGTAGCGTGCATGACATCGAGCATACCCACTACACCTTGCATCGGAGTTCTCAATTCGTGGGATAAGCTTCGGGCATATGGTTTGAGGGGGTGGGAATCGCAATCATAGGCTCCGTGAAAATCGGAAATACTCGTCGTTGGAGAATCCGACATTTCATCTAGAGTTTCTACCTCTGAGTTTAGTCGCTGTACAATCATGTCCTCGAGCGAATGGAGAATCATTTCCAGAAAGGACCAGGACAGATTTCGCTTTCGAAGCCCATCCTTTGACCACATCAACCCGAGGTGCGCCAGGCACTTCCCAGCCGAAAAAAGCGGAATCGCCAAATATCCATCGGCACCAAATGGGAGTTGATCATCGCCGAACGAGGCCAGTGAACTAAGATTTTCGGGAATCAAACAAGGTCGTTCGTGGTCCATGTGCAACAAAGGATTCCCACCCGCGAAATACCTGTTTCGCTGCAAACCAACAGTCTGGTAGCCATCGTTGTAGTAGAAGACTGCACCAAAAAGCGACGGGCGCCGCCCGCCTAGTTCTGGCATGGGACTTCCGTGCACCCTTCGGGCAACGAAGCCGTACTGGGCTTCCGTTATAGATGTGAGATCCTCCATAAGCCGTTTCCAGAACAACTCGGTATCGGATGTCCGCAACCCCTGTTTGAGTGTGACCAGATGTTCAATGGCAGCAGTCTGAACACCGTCGTTCCATCTTCCCGAGTCGCGTGGCACATCTCCGTCGTCACGAACGGTGTTTACTCCGTCACCGGGGATGCACTCGGACTTGCAGGAAGGAAATGGCATGGTAGGACAAGGGTGCACAGCATGAGAGACATCCGGCTCGGGCGTGTCGGGCATAGTCCATGTGGCAAGCGAAGGTTGAGGGATCGAGGACGGTTCCTTTTTCGGGCTCTCTCGCGTGGTTTATCCGGGTAGGATAACGGTCATGGCTTGTCAATTGGAGAGATAAACACGGTGGATGGATCGAGACGACTCCGACGTACACCCACCAGAATTTGAAATATTGGAGAGAGAAGGCCCAGAAGGAGGGGAGAGGGGATTTTCCGTTGGTTGGACGGAGGCCGGGCGGTCTAGACACGGGCGGCCTGAAACAGAAGAGTATCGCTCAAGAACTCCCAAGATCGTCAAGTCTGATGTAGAGTGAGCGATTTGGGCGACATAGACAGCTTGGGTTGTCTAAAGCCTAAAGATCTCTATTCGGGTGACTCTTTTCTTTGTGTGTTGTGCTTTTTCTCGAATCCCGCGGAGGTGCACGGAGGTCGCGTTGCAGGATCAGCGGAATCTAGACCAAAGAGGTCCGGCTGGTATTCGGTACTTGGCCCATCCGGGCAATGGTATGGGGCCATCGGGTACTCAGTACTTTCATCTCAAGGCTTCGCAATATAGATACGTGTACATATACTCCGTACACTGTAATATGTGCCCTTCTACGATGTACCTGAAACACCATGTATCAGCAAACTTCGAGTTTTTCCTTGTTATCACTCGACTTATAGCTCAACGAAGCTATTTTGAACGAAAGCCAGCATATAGACAAATAGCTTCTGCTTTCTACTTGTCACTTCTCACAGCGACGCAGTCCCTAACTTCGACTCCTCTCCAAAAAGACGCTTAACTTCGAGTATTGATATAATTTCGACAGGAAACAAATTTTGGTCGACCGTATCCCAGTGAGCGTTCATATATATAAATGACCGTGGAAGCAGGCCCAACGTTGGGAACCCTGCGAATCAGATGCAGAGAATGTTGAAAGCAGGCATTGATGGGGGCCGCCGTAGTATCGCTCGATCTTAGGGCATTCTCCCAGGAATTGTACCATGTCTTGAATATTTATTGGGCTGCAGGGACACACCCTCACAAAGCCGGGGTACTTGCATGTGCTAACCAGCCCGTTTTGGTATCTCGTGTTGCAAGTTAGGTATTCTCAACCTCGCCAGCCAAGTGTAACTTGAGGTAGATAGAACAATAGAGCCTGTTGGGGCCTTGAACCCGACACAAACGCTGGAAGGTTTCAACTGGACATCTACCTTGACGAGATAAATATCTGGGAAAGGCAAATTCGTTGAAGGCCAAGATATGTTCATATGGCATGTAAATAGCGCTCTACAGGTCTGGAAAGTAGCGAATGTGTTTGGTATTGTTGGGATTGACAAAATCATCTGCATATGGAAATCTGTTGTGAGATTGGGTAGTATAGTTGCAAAGGACGTAGAGAAACGAGCCTGGGAGCCATTCAATAAGCTCACACCTACATAATTAGACACCCAATTTGATGCCCAGGTGCCCATGATATCTACATGTATAGAAGTACCGAATATGTACGGAGTGTGTGGCTCTCTTGCTCCTCATACTGGAACATAACATGTACGTGCAGGACCTCGGACCACAATAACCAAGAAACGGCCATGTGCCTGTTTTTGGTCAGTAGGTGCGGTCAAATATAATGAATGAGCTATCTGCCCCCTCCATCTTTACACAATACTGTGTGCAGTGTAAGTGGCACTGTGAAACCGAGGTAAGAATCCCAATCTCCGTGTTTGATCCCCGCAGATCATCGCTACCGTTTCTATAAGGCCCGAGCGCGACTAACTAGGTCTAAGAACAACTATATCATGACGACCAATCTGGTTTCTCTGATCAAGCTTCGGTCTGGATTATCCTTACTGCATAGCCATGAGTCCAGTCACTCCGTACAAAATCGCCATTTCGGACGAGCAACTCCAGCAGCTCCACCAGAAGCTGGAGCAAGCTACCTTTCCTGATGAGCTCGACGCTTCGGGGTGGGATATGGGCGTGCCCCTGGATGAAATTCAAAGACTGGTCACAGTATGGCGTGAAAGTTTTGACTGGCGCGCACAAGAGTCAAAGCTGAACGAGCAACTCAAACAAGTCAATGTTGAAATAGAAGTGGATGGATTGGGAGAGTTGAATATACACGCTGTGCACCATCGCAGCGGGAATCCAAAAGCCATTCCATTGCTTTTCATTCATGGGTGTACTTAGCCCCTAAACTATTTCTATGACTGTTTTTGTCACGCCTTGCTAATCCCTGATTTTGACTACCAGGGCCTGGCAGTTTCCTTGAAGCTACCAAGCTTATTCCACTACTCACCGAAAACACCGGGGATGGTCCAGCCTTCGATGTCGTAGCACCCTCCTTACCAAACTTTGGATTCTCAGAAGGTGTCAAAAAGGTACGTTGGGAGTTTTCTGTCAACGCTGTTGTATACGCCTTAACAATCAGACCAGAGGGGATTCGGGCTAGCGCAATATGCCGAGGCTGTTCATAAAGTAATGATCGCACTAGGCTATGAAGAATACGGCAAGCATACATAATATCCCTTCACCAAGAACAAACCAACTAACTCTCGATCAGTGGTCCAGGGAGGTGACTGGGGCAGCATGATCGCCCGCACCATATCTCAATTCTATCCTCAACATACCCAAGCCATCCACTTGAACTTTATCCCCGTCATCCCGCCCTTCCCATGGCGAAGCCCTTACCAGTTCCTCAAATCACTGCTCTCCGTGCCATTCTCATCAAAAGACCGTGGCTTCATCGCCCGGACAGTGGAATATCTTACAAGCGGCAACGCTTACATGAAACAGCAAGAGACTCGGCCCCAGACCCTGGGCTACGGCCTTCATGACAGTCCCGTTGGATTGCTGGCCTGGATCTATGACAAAATGCACATCTGGACTGACAAGTATCCCTGGACAGACGAGGAAATCCTGACCTGGGTGAGTGTTTACTACTTCTCCACAGCTGGACCAATGGCATCAACAAGGATCTATTACGAAGCTTCAGCGCCAAAGCGAGACGGTAGTGAGGATAAATTGGAAAATGGGCTCAAGAAGGACGCGGGGGAAAAGGCAGACCTGAGATACATGTCGCTGGCGCAAATTCTCGGAGCCCGGGCACCACATAATGTGCGCTTTGCGGTGGCACAGTTCCGGGAGGAGCTTATTATGTGGCCCATGGCGTGGTATCGATCCATTGGGAATGTTGTGCAGGAAACGGAGTTTGAGCATGGTGGCCATTTTGCGGCCTGGGAAGTGCCTGAGTTACTGGCGTCAGATATTAAGAAGTTCCTCGGCAATAATGGACCGGCCTTTGGGGCGGTAACTGACAGAGATGGTTATTGAAGGACTTGTTGGATTTGACTTATGATCAGGACCTTTGGGCCTTAACTGATCATGTTGTTACATGGGACGGCGTATCTGTATGTTAGTAGTAGTAACAACCGAAATCAATCTGGTGTTCTGTTTGGAGATTTTCTCGTTATAGAACCAACTGAAGGCATATATGGTTAGCACTCCGGTGCAATAGCCCTTATACTGCGCTGCTGAGGTGGATTTGCAGGTAGGGAATGGTTTAGACTCTCTATAAAGGACTTATTGCCGATAGCCTCACGGGTGACAGATCAGGTGATCCTTGCTACATGTAAGCGGACATAGTCCAGATCCGGGTGATTTGAATGAATTCATAATGCAAGTGGAACACTGCCGTGACGTGACAACGGGGGTCTTTTATTATCGTGATAGAAGAGAAACATGGAGCCAGAGAACAAATGTGCCCTTTGGCTCAGGTATCGACCGCTTTTGCGTTGCTCTTGTGCGATCCAGCCATCAATTGACCGTACACGGCATATATCATCCAGTGAAGACCGTAGACGCCGGGATTTGCCCTCAAACCAACGGAAAGCCCAAAACAACCACTTCCCCAAATCTAATCCTGTCGTCCCTTCAATAACCGCTGGGTAACCTTGTCCTTCTCTATAATGTAAACCTGGGCGCCCCAACCGGAGAGAGCGTCTCGGTCGACGGCACTGAGCAGCGCTTGTGAGATTGTCTCAAAGAGATCTTCGGGGGCCTGTAACGAAAAAGTGTGTTAGGCAATGCATTCAATCTGTACTTGATAATACTGGTTAAACATACCAGATCAGGCTCCCAGAGACCCTCGCAAGTACCAAAGAGCTGGTCGCTTGCAGTTCCGCTAACAATGAAGTCCTTGGCGAAATCGATACAGCCGATGCTGTCGAAGCCGCAGATGAATGGCTTCCCCGTTGTGGGGTTGATACCAGCCAGCACGGGGCTGACGAAGTAGGGACCGAAACGTTTTTCGTACAGCGACGAGCTCACTAGGTTGGCGAGGGTCTGGGGTGCGATGTCGCGCTCCTCGCGCAGACGGTACATATTGACCTTGTAGCGGAAGAGATCGGAGACGGTGTTAACATCGGTGGCCAGACCAGTCAAGCCGAGATAGGTGGATGGGGCGTAGTTGAAGATCTTGGGGAAGTTGTTGGAAATGGTCAGGGACTGCATGCCCAGGCGAAGGTCGCAGGCAATGGCGACGCAGTCCTTGCCCACCATGGCGACACAGGCACCGCCATCTGAGAATAAGTCAGCATCTCGGTCGGATATTCACAAGGGACAAGGTTCCGGCGTACTGATGTCGAAGGGGTTGGACTGTGATGGGAGAAGTCGGTCAGCTTGGAAGTCCAACAATCCACGAACGATCGGGAGAAAGGGCGCATTTTTACCATTATTGCGATATTTCAATGCAATTCAATATGACAGAGAGGTTCCAGAGCTATAACAAAAGAAACAGGAGGAGAAAATGGGGTTGAGAAAAGGGCGGGTTGGTAGAGGTGATGGAGATGAGTTGATGACGGGGAAGCTCTGAGGTACGCGAGAGCTCAGATGACGCCCGCACCGCTGCCTGTTTCGTACCTTCGACTGCTTTCTGCGCCCTCTTTCTCCCCGCATTTCACTTACTCGCTTCACCACTTTTGTTTATCTATTTCAACGTTCCTAAAAACACTATACCAAACTAAGCCTTATTGTTTTATTAGAGTCAGTGTTCTCCAAACAACGACAATGAGTGCCCACGTCGTGGTGATTGACGCGACGGCCAGGCGGGCAACGATTAAGACTACGCCTTCCAAGCACTTGACCGATATCCTTCAGGAAGCATCTTCGAAGCTTGGATATAATGCCAATCAATATTCATTGAAGTAAGGAGATCTTCTACTTCTCAGATGACAACACTGACCCCGGTCTTTTCTACATTGCAGACACAATCGCAAGCAATTAGATCTGTCTCTTTCCTTTCGTCTCTCTGGTCTCAGCTCCGGCGCAAAGCTTGAACTTGTTCAACTCTCTCGCTCTCCGTCAGTAGTAACTGTCGGCCTGCAACTGCCCGAGTCGGAGGCTCGTGGTGCCCCAAATGGCCGCATACTTGATAAGTTCCCTAGTACGACTACACTCTGGCTAGTGCTACGCAAGTTCGAAGCCGGGGTTGCGGGCAGTGGCCCGATACGGAACCTCACATCACGGGCAGCGCCCTCTGCCGAGGGCGGAGATAGCGCCGGACGACTGTATTATGAAATTCCCGTGCTTCAGATCTTGGAACGTGAAGTATCAAGCTTCACGGATCTACAAAAGACCTTGGCCCAATTAGGGTTCAACAGCGGAAGTGTTCTTATGCGACTTAGTTTCCGACGAACAGAGGAACCTATTGAAGAAGCCATGGTCAAAATTGGTGAATTCTTCAAGTCCTCAGAGGATGAGGTTCCTTCGACACAGGATAACAACGCGGCGCCCGCAGCAGTCCCCATTGGAAGCGAAAGTCAGGAGCCAGCTCCCCAGCAGCCGAGCGCATCGCCACCTGAGCCTTCCAACGTCACTGCAGCATCTGACCAAGCCGGTCCTCCCTCATCCACTGCTGAGCCAGTTGTTGGAGCAACCGACTCTGTCCGAAATGTCACTGTCTTCTCTCCTCCCTCTGACGACACTCCTTCATCCGCAAAGTTGGCATATAACGAGAATGATTACGTACCTTCTATTGAGCATGCAAAACTGCACCAGCGGTTGCTCAACCAGTCCTCTCGCCCCCAGCGCCTGCCAACGGATGCGGAGATTGTCGCCAAAACAGAAGCAGAAGCGGCGAAACGCGCAGCGATCCGGGACGTTGATGTGAAAATCCGCTTCCCAGATCAGAGCCAGGTGGTCGCCAGATTCGGACCATCAGACACAGGACAGTCGTTGTATGACTTTGCGCGGGGATGTCTTGCTCCACCGTTTGCGAGTGAGGAATTCAATCTGACTGTTCACGGTGTCGCGAAATCTAAACATCCAAGCGCCATACCCGTATCAGATAAGAAGCATCTGATTAAACACCTTGGGCTTGCTGGTCGTGTGCTTGTCAATTTCTCCTGGGCTGATAGCGCTCCCGCCTTTGTTCATGAACGCCGCGCGGAGACTCTCCGCCCCGAGCTTCGAAGCCAGGCTCAACAGATCAAGGTGGAACAACCGCCAGAGTCCAAGGAGGAAGATGAGGCTGGTCCCTCGAAGCCAAGTCCGAGTGCCGCCCAGGGGGAGATAAGCCCAGTGGAGCACGCAAGAGTGGTGCTATGCCCAAGTGGCTGAAGCTCCCGGGCAAGAAATGAAATGGGGATAAATAAATGCAATGAATCCAAATGAGTGAATGTGCTGTTCCTGATGATGATGACTTGGCCATATAGCGCATTCTTGACTTATGCATGCTTCAGCATCGTAGATGTGCTAATAGACTTATATTACATATCCTTCAATCGAAGCTCCATTTCACATGCCCTCGACGGTGAATGAAACATCGTATTGCCTTCCCATGTCCATCTCCGCCCTTCGTAAATTCAGCGGACCCTCGAGGCTGAGACACGGACCTCACATTCAAATCCCTCTTCAGCATCATTCGCGCGCAACGAAAGCTCTCCTTCAGCACTGATACTCCAAATAACCTCATTCATCATCTCTTCACTGGTGCCCTCCTCATACCAGTTGGACATATCATCCTGTTGATCAAGATACTCCTCGTAATTTCTCGCGAAAAAAGCAAGGGCAGCATCATTGGCCTGCTGCAGGGTGTCAAAGGTCTGCGTGGTTTCATCATCGCGGGATTCCTCATTCTCGGAATCCATCTCCTCTTCAGAGTCCACCTCCTCAAATCCATTCATGTCATCATCATCGCGCCCAGTGTGGTTCACACGGAAGACGTATCGAGCAGTGGGATTGCGTGATGGAGTGTGCTGGGTCGCCTTGAGTCTATCCAGTAGGTTTTGGGGGAAGTTATAGTCTTCGTCCATCTTTGTGGGTTGCGGGTTCGTTCAATTGGGTGATTTGATGGGTATGGCAGAAGATGGGTTGGGGTTAAGGCTTGGAGGAACGCGATGTACAACTTATGGGGGTTTAGAGTAATTTATATTGATCAAAAAAAGAGGGGCACAAGGTCCCGGGTTCGTGGCCGCGTTACTCCATTTGATCGGTCACCTCCACCTCTTGTCACGCTCTCAACACATAGGGTATGTAGATACATCACATAGAGTCCCCGGGATGCTCTCACGCAAACCCAAGCTTGTGCTATTTACGCAACAGGCTTTCCAGGCTACGTTGTAAAATTCTCCGTCTAGAAAGTGGCTCAATTGCGAGTATCACACGTGAAATGGAATAATTGTTTTCATTATGGTTTCACTTCATACGACGGTGAAGGAATCCCATGTTTGCCTTCCCCTTCATGCACACCCAGTGGCCACAAAACCCCCTTTCCGATCCGAGAATCACGCTTTTTTTGCGTCGAGTCGTTAAAACGAAAGAAAAACAGGAACGGGTCGGAAAATTTAGTGAGCCTGGGTGCGGCGAGCCTCAGCAATGACCTTCTGCATGGACTCAACCTTGGCCTTGCCGCGGCCGAAAGTACCGAGCTAGATTGAAGTCAGTAAAAATGTAGCCTTGAATGAATCGGCTGGCGGTGCTCTGATCGTGAATATGGTAGATTCGGGAGACAGGTTTAGGTCACTGAGATATCGGCCAAGTAATTGGATGGGCTGTTCCGGGTGACGATTGATATCATTCTTCCTTTGCAATGTAAAGTTGCATGACCCATACAGTACCATCGATATCCGGAGAGACCTCAACCGAGTCGACCAAATCCAACATAATTCACGGAGCAGAGTATGACCAGACGATATCGAGCATGGGATTGAGAGTAGACGTACGCGCTTCTTAGCGAGCTTGCGGGCACGCTTATCCTGGGCGTTGCGCAGCAACTCAATGATGCGGCGCTCGTAGGGAGCGAGACCAACGACCTCCTGGGCGATTTCGCGGACGAAAGCGGTGCGGCGGGAAGACTTGCCCTTGGTGCGCGAGATGCGGGTCTTGGGGGTGTTCAGGGCGGTAGTTTTCTATATCAAATTCCAGTCAGTATGTCTGTTTCACCAAGTCATGATGCAACGGCCGTAGGTTCCAGTGTCTCTTCTGTTCGAATTTTGCGTCTGTCTGTCGCGGCGGTTCAAAGGGTGATCGAATCATATGGTGCGTGCAAGATGAGCGCTGGCCTCGGTGCCTGTGTCGAATCCAAAAAGTTCCCCATGATATCGAAATTTTCCCCAGCCAGTGTTTTCATCTTCCAAATGGGCGATTCAATCGCAATTCTCCGTGTCGTGATTATTTCCCAGCGCTTTTCCGCGATAGACATTGACCCGATGACTGACAGACCGAACGAAAAGAGACATTGGAGACCTTCAAACGGCGGAATAAGATGGGGTAAAGAGACAGTGATAACGTACGCGGCCCGCGTTGATGCCGACAACGATTCCGGAGCGTTCGGAGGCCATCTCGACGGTTGTTGGTGAAGGGGTTGGCGGAGGTTGTCGAAGAGGAGGTGAGGGAGCCGTGTGAAAATCGCCTGGTCTTTTGCCTGGAACCGCAAAATGGGGTCTTGGCGTTGGTGCGGTAGGCGAGTAACTAGGGCTAGGGCTGCACTAATACGGCCTAGCGCAACTTATATTGACACCTCAGGCATACGATTATATATCTTGGCGCTTCCACGTGATACAACTTGCCCTGTTTTATAGATCGAGCTCTATTCCCGAGGGCCTTGGATCACGTCTCACTTGTCAATATCAAACATTTCATAGATTCGGTTTACACATGCTCTAACGAGGTGTTTTCATGAGATCACAATTTGTCCACGAGATGCCCTGATGCCTACCACTAAAGCCTGGCAGCCAGCACTCCATCAAGTGCCTCCTCCCAGCTCTCCCTCAACTCTCCACAGAATAATTCAAGCGCAGATTCGTACATCACCTTTTCTAGAATATCTTGAAGTGGCTTCTCGTATTCATCGGTCGTATCGCCCCGGTTGACCATGTCAATGAGTGTGCTGAGGGTTGCTGATTCGGTAAGGCCCTGCTTCAAGGCCCGAGTGTTCGAACGAATATCCTCGAAAACTTCACAAACGAGAGTATGCAGCCGTTTCAATAGTTCAGCAGGAAGTTTGGCTGTTTTCACAGCCTTTCGGGAATTCAAATCAAGTATTGTCCACAGAGCCTTGAGGGTCTCTACGAGGGTCCAGATGACATGGAAATATTCCCATGTCGGTGCGCCTGCCGTGCCTGGGCTAAATTCAATGGCCGTCTTCGCGATGACAGGAGATCTTTTTGTGTCTCCCAGGGATAGGTCCTGTCTTTTGGCCTTCAACCAATCCTCTACTTGACCGAGACTAGTCTCAATCTGCGCAGAGGTATGAGCCTTGGATCCTGCCATGAACAATGCCACATTGAACAATGCCAAGTGAATCTTGGCTGTATCCTTCTCAGCGTCCGTCTGATCGGTATCTTTCTCGGAGAGTGACAAGTCGCCAAGGGCGGGCACGTCTGTATCCAAGGCGACTGGCTTCTGACTGCCGATGCTCTCAAGAACACTGAAAAGTCTATCTGTTAGGCGGGCAGATGCCAGCCAATTTTCCTTTGAGCGTGTTAGCCAATACGGTGGAGACATTCGAACGGGAAAACATACCCCAGGGATCGGGCCTGCGCGTAATCGCTGCTCGAATGCAGGTTGGTCACAACGTTCCAAGTTCATAAAGCCAGCATATTTCCGCTGGTCTTGAGCTGGTGAGGCATTCTGGGCTGGAGCATACTTAGTATTCAAACGCATCAGCGGGACATGAAGAATTGAGAACTACTGACCAATATCTGCGTGGAGGGGTAGATGGTTTCCTTTTCGAATTCTTTGCATCCGCCGCAAGTCAAGAGCCCACATTTTGCGGCAGATACTGTTATTCAGACGCTTTTGAAGCTCGATTGAGTCGACTAGATTGACGTAAGTCCCATCTTCAAGTCCCTTTATCAGTGAATTCTTGATAGTAAAGTTTGCGGCACGATAGAAGTCAAGAGCGGCGATAAATGAAACTTGGGGGTCAAAGTCTTTGTATTCTCCGCCTTCAATGGGGGTTGCGGGATTAGGATGGATGGTGGCAAAGCGAGTGAAGAGGTTATGAGCGACAGATTCATACTGCACTTGCTTGACAGAGAGTCTGCCGAACAATTTCAAAGCAATGGAACCAGCGCCGAGAAGAAGATATATGCGAATCAAGAAGAGCATCGCCTCATAATTATGGGGTGAATCGCTCAAAAGACGCTCCAGGATGCCAGCAGCGCGAATCAGAGCAGTGCTGCTGATTTTTTCAGATACCTCGCCAGATTGGCTAGGGCGAACAAGGGCCATAGCGGCAACAATGCAGAAGTCGTCTATAGGTCGGCTCTCCATTGCGGAAGCAGTATCTGGCTTGCCATCTTTCTCAGTGAATACATCGTAAAAGTGAACGCAGTTGCGGACAAGATTCTCGATGCTAGCTTTTGACACTTTACTGTTGCCCGAAATCTTGTCACAGTACTGCAGCTTGTACGCGTTGATCAACGGGATGGCATCGTCCTATAAAGGTTGTTAGCTCTCTATTAAAGCCACCAGGTTGCCTACATACGGTGTTTTCTTCGATGCTTTCCATGCAATATTGAGATACTCGGTGCACCAAGGTATCCTCGCAAGTCTCTAGGACCCCTCTTAAGTCGTTAAAGGCATAGAGTTTGCGTTTATTTTGGTCAAAGTATCTTTGGCATGCAGCAAACAAATCATCTTCCGTACTCTCGCCCCGTTTCAATCCCATTAGGACTGTATCCATTAGTGCGATATGGGCGTTGCGCGATTTTGGACTGAATTCAATGAACTTCTCGATATGCTGTTGCGTGTCGGAAAGTAATCTAAAAGCAAAGCAATGGTTGATTAGTTGAGTCTCCAGGGATGTAGGAATGGGGCGTTAGAACTCCTACCCTGAGCTGTTCTCGAGATGGCGCGTAGCTGTGATAAGCAAGTCCCAGAATCTCCAATGATCACGCTCATGGAGAGCCTTGCGCTCTGCTTCCTCTTCGGGCACAGCAAGCAAACTCATGACATACGAGTGCCCTTCTTCCCAGAGTCCGGCAGACTTCAAGCATGAGACTTTGGCCGACATAAAGGTTCCGTCGTTGTTGACAATCCGAGAGTCGAGACCAGCATTCTTGCTGTTAAGGACTTCAACAATCTCAGCATCTCGATTCTGTGATTCGAAAACTCGAACAAGCAAAAGAAGTTCCTCCGCTGTTTGTATCGCACGTGGGGGGCTCGACGATTCGGTCTGCAGTAAGTCATTCAATCATGTCCAGTCAGTCATTGATGTCCAAATCTTGAATCAGGTTCTCATTTCCGTTACAAATGCAGTTTGGAAGTGATGCACATACCGGATTGGAAGGCACGTCATCTTTTGCTTTCGAAATCATGCGATAAGCAAGTGTCCCAAAAAGCTTGCGATCCATCTCGGAGCTAGCCGCGTCGCCTGCAATAAGATGACAAAGGAAAATGGCCCAGAAATAATACTTTCGCTCTCGAGGAAAGTTCTTCTGGAGACTCATGGCAGCCTAGGACAAGAGAAAGTGTTCTCGTTAGCAATTACATGCTTGCATACTATGCTGTTATCATACTCACTTTCTGAGCTGACTTCCAGTCCCCAGACTCATATCCAAACGTGAACCACCTCATCTGAAGCGAATGATCCTGTGGCTTTGCCTTTGCTGCCCTCTCCCATATGGCGCTCCGAAGCTCGATATGGTCATCCATCTTCCGTAACGTCCGGTACAGTATATCGAGGGAATCAATATCGGAGATAGGTGGTTCGGCGTTGCATAGCTCGAGTGTTTCTAAAATGCCTCGCTTTTTGTGGGCTTCATCCGTATGGCTGAACAAAACATTTGCTTTCCAGGCCTGTTTGCTTGCAATTTTACATGTTAGTTGGTACTATACAGCCGACAGCACTGCGACGGTGCCAGGATCGCAAGAAACAAAGAGACATCACTCGCCTTCAAAAACCGGGTGTTCTCGCCTTTCTTCATGCGCTTCTCAATCAGCTGCAGTGCCTGTTTCATATTCTGCGAGTCAATCGCATCTTGGATTTGGTTGTTGCGGCGCAGAAACACCGCGTCATTGCTGGAGCTCATGGTGTAGAGATTGCTCGGTCGAAGATAAAATTGCTCAATCCGTGACTTTCAATAAATGTCCTAACTGGCTGTGCGAAGCACAGCATGCACTGAAAACCTTCGAAAATCTAATTTGAAGGTGAACGATCAACTCGAGGCACTTTTTTATTTGGCGGGGAATGAGATCAAATGGCAGGCGGTCAGTCTCTCCCCGCAGTATACTGCTGGCAGGAAGTTGACCTTCGAAGTATACGCCATCGATGTCCATTGGATGGATCATTTGCCCCGATTGAGGGATAATTGAACAAAAGAAAGACCAAAAATGGAAAGCAAGCTGCATGATTGGTTTATATCTACTTGATACATGTACGTATACAACCACGTATCCCCTACGTAATAATGTCCAACCATACATCAACCATGCATCAACTCTAGATATTCTTGCATCAATAATCGAACTTGGTTCTGATATTTTTGACTGGCTTTTTTTAAAATAAATTTTCCTTGATTTAGACAAGGAGCATATTTGACAGGACGTGAAGATCAAAGACACGGCACATTTACAAGATAAAGCGCAGAGAACACGAAACAATCGATGTTAATATACAAAATTCAAATCGTTGAAAGAGGCAGTCCGACACATTTGGTCGCGAAACAGAAGTCAACTTGTGGGGAAATAAAGCCAAAAGGGAAAACCCACTCCTCTCATAGCTCAACACCAGATGATGAAAGCATGGCGCTCGTCAAGAATGGTATTCGTTGACATGATCACACCGTAGCAACCTTGAAAGACCCCGATACATAACATTGATTCACGGGGTTATCCTAGGTCACTGAAGTTAGGAGGCACCAGACTCATGACATTGATAGACTTCTGATCATTGGAGTGTTAAAGAACACCCCTCATTTGTTGAAATGCGACAGATACTTGAAGGATATCAGTGATCTTGCCAGCTGAGAGGCAGTTTTCAATCTTTTGCGCAGGAATGGTCCAAGCTGAATACATAAATGTATCACTTAGACTGTGGGGTCAAGGAGACTTTTTTCTGGGTGAGCTATGGCAGTTGTTAGCAACCGTATATACTCTGACGTGACGCCGAATCAAATTCAATGCAAATCGCAGGAGATGAACACCATGCATAAGTCAGGAGATCAAGACTATTTGAAAAAGCTCTCGTTCCAACTTACCCAGTTCTTTTTGCAATCACGATAGGCTCTAGATAGGAGCATAAGTCAGTAAAAAGGCTATGAAAATAATGTACGAGCTGATCAGGAGTGTTTGGCAGTTATATCGGTCAAAGAGAAAGACTAAGCAAGCGATCGAAGCTCGTAGAACTGCTGAGACATACTGGAAGTAATCATGGCACATTTCGCGGTCAGAGGCATTCCGCCTCATACACTGCAGACTGCGATCCGCAAAATCTTGACATGGGTCGTAGTATTCACTAGCATGTTTACTAAAGTCACAAGTTAGCTAGTAGTCTGGAGAAAATGCACACGCTTCCATCTGATCATTCAGGAATTATCTGCCAATTCTGTGTTTCTATATGTGGCTCTTCTTTGAAGGCGGTATAGAAAGACCGATGTACAGACCGCATAGACCGCGGCCTTGGTAACGGATAAATTCGGAGATGATATATCACTTTTGGGGAAAGAATGGGAGTAGAATGAGCTGTAAACGATGCAAAGGAAGAGACATTAGAACATACTGAGTGAACTTCTTCTCCGCTTTTGCCCACGCTTTGTCGTGGCTGTCACCTTGCGTTGACTCGGTCGCCATGGTGATTTCGTGGAGCACCTGTGTTGGCAAGAATTATCGAGGTCGATATCTCGATGAATTGAATAAGATAGAATACTAAAGCGTCACTTGCGAATCGAATTGGAGGTCAGCTGGAGGTTGATTGGAGGAGAAGTTAGCGTTGGACGTAGGAAGAGTTGGGGATCCGCAGTCTTGGCACGGAGAGCGGAGATCTGCCAATATCCTCAGGCTGGCCAACCAGGTCCAGGGAATAATCCATGCTGTTTTGGTGCTCTATTGTTCTAGAACAAATTTGTGGAAATCTTATCTTAGGCTTAGTTTTGTCTTTTTGTGGGGGCTTGCCAATAAAGAATTAAATATTCCAGTTTACAGTCTTTCAGCAGGTCTATATATATCTGTCAAAAAAGCTATATCCTGATAAGCAATTAGTGACACTAAAAGAAACTTTAGTCCTAGAAAGACATCGCGAGGCTGTAAACGTGACCAGTTATATAAAAGGATTAGTGCTGCCCGGCTAGTTCTAAAGTTGGACCTAGGCATCTTGACCATGCACCCATTAAGGTCTCTGTCATAGTAAACCAGATATCCTACATAGTTTTCTGCCAGCTTAAACCCCGGCATATACGGGCAACAAAATCGATTTTAATTGAAACCGACCTCTGAGCGCTATACAACTTCGCAGGAGATCCTTAACTCTGAGCTGCAAAAGGAGGATGGGTTTTTGAGCAGCCTGGCACAATGACGATATACTGTTAGCATTGGACATAGCAGATCACAATGGTAACATCATTCTATCCGCCATCACCCTCTACATAGGACGATACTGCTTTCACAACAGTCAGTTCATTCCTGGCCCTTGACGACCAATCTGCCGAGAATTGTTCTGAGATACTTTAAGGGTCGCTTCCATAACACCAACCGTTCATAAGAACTTGGCAGTTTATGCTTCCATAAGCAGATTGTTCATTTATTGCTACAGACAAGTTCTTCACCTAGAGGAGAGGAAGCGTACGTGGTTTCTACGTACTATGCCTATTGCACGAGTTATGCATATTCTTTCCACGCTACTTGACTCTCGTATCATGGGTCCTCACTTGGGATAGCAGATAGTAACACCCAGAGCTGCAATTGAAGAAGCTATGTTTAATCTCCAAGGGGCTCATTTCTACCATATAAAGCAAAAAGCATCTTTCTAATGTGAAACAAGTATACTTTGGTGGCCGTCAAAGAGCATATGTATAGAATGAATGAGCATTGAACGAAAATACTCAGGAGTGAGCAATATTTACATTTCAAAGGCGAGTGAACAACTACCGGAGGATCAATAAATACCAGGTAAACAGCATTTCAGAGGGAAACAAATACTGGTTACTTTTGAAATGATTGGAGCTCCCTGAAGCCCCTTCCAACCTTGTTCCTGCACATGATTATGTGATTTGTTGGTGCCTGAGGCGACATAAACATCTACTCTCACTTAAAGAATCTGGTTCATATTACTCTTCCTTTGATCTTCCTTTTAAACCCGGGCTATCGGGCTGTCTTCTTCGCCTGTTTCCACTCACCGAGTTTGCTTTTTCCAGCGCTTGTCCATCACGTCTTGCCACTTCGCGAAACTTTTACTTTCCGCCGGGACCCCCACCGCATTCTGTCGGCACTGGCATCCTGGCCCCAAAACACCTTATACACACTTCGTTTGATGGGCATTGTTCCTGGTTTGGGAAATTAAGCTCTCGATCAGCCCTAGGAGGTCGACATGGCAGCTAGAAATGGTTCTGGAGTCGAGGCATCGGGGGTAAGTCAAATCCCGCATTTATCTGAAGAGGCCGAGAACTACAACTGACGTGTGCTATCTAGCTGGTTAACACCCTACAAGGCCATGTTGATGATATTCGCACTTTGATACAATGTGGGATCTGTATCCGACCCCTTTATGAGCCGTTTACTATCGCCTGCGGGCACACTTTCTGCTACTCGGTGAGTACTTTCTTTTTTGGATCCTTATCGCATGCACTGACCGGAATTCTGTGCAGTGTCTATCGTCATGGTTTGCCGGAGGAAGATCAAAGCGAACATGCCCAGACTGTCGAGCACCTGTCAAAACCCAGCCAGCACCAGCCTATCTGGTAAGCTCCGGCACCCTTTGATCAATTTCGTCGGATCTAACATATTCTTTGTGCTACAGGTTCGAGCGGTTGTACAAATGTTCACAGGTCGAGCTGAGCTTTTAGACAAAGGGGAAACGACTGCGGACCATACAAAAAACCAAAGGGAGGAAGCGAAAAAGCTAGAGCAAGACAAGGCGAATAGTCATCCGACTGGAGGTGGTTTGTTCGGTGGACTCTTCAAGCCAAAGCCTCCCCCTCTAGCACCCGTAATTGACGTTGATGATGGTGTCGCTCGATGTCCGCATTGTTCATGGGAACTCGAAGATGGAGAAAACTGCGCAGGATGCGGCTATCGATATCGGCCCGGTTCGGAAAGTACAGACGACAGTTTCTCAGGTGATTATAGTGAATCCGAGTCAGACTTGGATGCTTTGGATGGGATGGATGACGACGGGCCCTCGGAAGATGACTATGAAGACATTGATGATAATGATGCCATTTGGGGTGGCACCGGGTTCCATTATTACGGGCCTGGCGCAGGACCGAGCACTGTTTTCGATCACCTCGGGAACTTGTTGAATAGACCTGGAATGGCCCCGCTAGATCTCGATATCCCGCTGCACCCAGGCGGCTTTCTTGCTCCAGTTTCTTCGAATGGGAGTGAGTACGATGAAGAGGATGAGGAGGACGAAGAGGAAAACGAATATGACGAAGAGGACTCATTCATTGATGCTGAAGACGACCACGTACCCACGAGTTCATTCGTTGACCGCGACAGCCATCGTCTTGGGGACGGTGAGACGTCTGAATCGGAATCAGACCGTTCCACCGGCACCGTTGTGGAAGATGATCACCATGGTCGCCCTCCGTACCTGCTTAGACTCCTTTACGCAAACGTACCTCGCATTGTTAACGAGGCTTCTCATGACGAGGGAGAGTCGGATGAAGAAGCAGAGTCAGAGGAATCCGACGACGAAGAGGAGGTTGGTGAAGATTCTGAGGACTCCGATGAATCCGACGAAGACGAAGATGAAGACGAAGACGAAATTCGAACTTCGCAGCCTCGTCGAGGGTTCCCACAATATGCTCAACGATCCTCCTACTTCCAAGCACCTAGCAATGCTTCGTGGCTTTCAGCGAGGCCTTCTACGATAGTTCCTGACTCCGACGAGCCCCTGGCTTATCCGAAGAATCTTCGCCTTCGTCGCCTCCCAGACCTGCTCGATCTAATGGACGTCGCACAACGCAGAACGGAACGACAGTCAATAATGCGATAACACTCGATGATTCTGACGAAGATCAGCCTGTCGGACCGGTGCGAAGAGCCACACGAAGGCGACGCGCCAGATTTTCTCCATATTAAAACAAATCTTCTACCCACCGATACGGTATCTGCTTTCACCGTCGATCGGCCTATCTAATTTTTTTTGCTTCTTCTTTTATAGCGTGGCGCTAGGATAACGCTAAGAGGGCATGCTTGGTGTTTGGGGCATTTTTTTCCTCTCGTTTGATATCACAGAGGCAACTTTATATCTTTTTCCATTACCTCAACAGCTGGATTCCAGTGTCAAGTTGTTGTTTCCCTACCCATTCATTCTCTCTTGTCTAACAGTACCTTGTGAATACCCCCATTAATCTTTATTTGGATTGATCTTGTTCTTTGATCACCTTTTATTGCTGAAGATAAAGATCTTAGTCCCATGACACTCAATAAAGCTTGAACACACAAAGTCCGTTATCAAACAGCCATAAGAGATAGATCGACTCCACGACAACTAGATCTTGCTACCTGGGCAGTCTTCATGTTGTGTTGATCCCCCTACAACATCCTACCGGCTTGCTCCGTGGCATTATTGCCGGTATTTCTTATGTTTGCGCGACAGAGTTAGATACACGCCTCTAGGCACTAATCTCGAGTACACGCTAGGAAAGCGTGAGTCTGCCAGCCCTGGAGTAGCCAACAGTGATTCCTAAGCAATACCTTAGGCCGGGGTAGGTGACTATATGTTACTTGATTCCCTCTGCCATCTGGGGCTTTCCTATTCCAGATGCCGCTTGAATGAGGGTGCTCTGAGTCAGGCTCACTGAGTTTCAGTCCAGACCAAAATCAAAGCTATCCCTACCATATAGATGACCGGATGGAAGCCACAGCGTACAGGCCAGGGGCTATGCACGAAGCGGACTATCGAAGGGAGCAGATACGGCTGAAGTTCTCAACCTTCGGCATGGAGACTCCCATGGAGGGAACTTCTATTTTGGAGAATTAGTCTTCGGAATTGCACGTTTTCATATCAATTTTTCTGTCGCATTAAATCATCCTACGGTGTCAGAGATCTCCGACGGACAACATCGAGAGGGAGAGAAGTGATATAGAAGCAAGTCGTATGCATTCAACTCTTTTTATGTGAGCTATACTGTTTGGAAGAGGGATATGATTGAATACTTCAAAGCACGGAAGAAAATCCCGTACATATGCAAAAATGGTAGAAATACACAAATCGGACGCCATATACACCTGACCCCGAGCAACGCTCCCCATTTTACTCTCGACCAATGACCAAGATCGAGACAGAAGATGAATTATGAACAAAATTTATACATCAGCCTTCACGGTGTCATTAGTAACGAACGGAACCTCAAAGACGACAGCACCATTGCGGCCTCCCGAAGTCGCGCCCTCATAGAAATTGTTGGTGAAGCACTTCCAGCGAGCCAAACGGTGCTCTTTACCGACAGCAGCGACGATGGAAATACCACGAGGCTGATCTTTGGATTCAGCCTTGGCTTTTGAGTCAGCGCCAGGCATGTCAGCGTCGGGGCGTCGTTCGAAGACTGCGATGTCGTTAATGACACCCTTGATCAAAGGCTCTGGCTCTGCTTGTTCTGATCCAGGGGTGGCGTCAAGGGCAAGAGTCTGGTTGAGTTGTTGCGAGGGTGTGTCTGGGGTTGCAGCGCCGAGGGATCCTGCACCAATGGGGCCGAGAGCGATCAGCGTCTTCTTATCTTCTGAGACGCGCCATGCGCGGATCCAACCGTCCCAGCTGCCACTGAGGACGACATCGGTACCGGGTAGGGTAGCGAGAGCGGTGATCCAGCGAGGCATGGGGCGCATGTGCCGTGTGTTGTGAGCGGCAGTCGCCTCGTCTGTTTCGGGTGATAGCACATCCAGAGGGGGGATAGGGTCCAATCCGTGAGCAAGACGGACGGTGTAAAGCGGCTTCTTCTTATGAATCGACCAAAGGCAGAGAGAGCCGGAGTCTGAGCCGGTGACGAAGTGAGTGGGAGGGAGTGGGGCAATGCAATCAATGTTGCTCTCGTGGTAGGGGGCATTTCTAGAAGCACCGCCACGGAACACAAGCTGTGTTTCGTCGACAACCTTCCACAGACGGGCTGTACGATCCCGAGCACCAACACTAACACATTCATCAATGGTCATGGCAGCAACTCCAGTGACATGATCCTGGTGGCCGAAAAGGGTTTCGACGTAGGCATGGCCCGCTCCGCTGATGGACCATGTCTTAATTGTGCGGTCGTACGAACCTGAGAACAGCTGCTCTCCGGAACTCATTGTTGAGATATGGCGCGCAAAAGACAGACTGCAAACTGAGTCCCGATGGTGCAAGAATGTCTTGCTTGGCGTCAAAGTCTCTGCATCCCAAATGATAAGTTTGTTGTCCGCTCCACCAGTTGCCACAAATTTTCCAGAAGGCGAAACAGCAACAGCTAAGATGTTTCCGGTGTGACCTTGATCCTCCTCTGATTCGCCAACTTTGCGCATACCTCGGGCGTACTTCACACGCTTGGGCTTCTTGCGCTGGGGACGTGGAGGCCGCTTGGAAGTATCATTATCGCCATTCAGTTGTGTGGAGGCTGGTACGCTGGGTTCGGCCAATTCCCACTTGGTCAAAGTCTTATCCTTCGAAACAGCGTAGACAAAGGGCGGGTGAACTGCGATAGCAGTGGTTGACTGGGTATCTGAACGGAAAAAGGAATGAGGCGCCGTGGGGACGGATAGTCTCGCAGCGATTTGACGGAACGTCCGTCCTTTAAATTCATCAACATCCTTCTTCAATCGCTCCGCGATCAAATCTCGATCAATTTCTGCTGCATCAAATCCAGCTTCATCAACCTCTTGTTGAAGGTTGCCAAGGTAGCGTTCAGCGAGTTTCAGTCGTCGGTCCGCCGCAGTTTCGCCGTCGTCCGAATCCGATCCGCTCTCGTCGCCTGATTCCGCTGTGTCGATTGCGGCATCATCATCCAAATCACTGCCTGAGATCGACTCTTCTCTCTCTCTGGTGCGTCGACCACCATCGGCTTTGGCATCTACGCCTCGCTTTTTTAATCCTGGGGCTCCGGCGCGATCGTCTCTCTTCCTCTTGCGCTGGGAATTGGGTACAGTGAAAAAGGAAGACATGGCGACGATTTGTCAAGCCTGTCGTTTCTTGATCTCCGTAGAAAAGAGATCGAAAGTATGGCGTTCTCGAAAGACTCGGACTGCGGAGATCAAAACTTCATCTTTTTTTTGGCAGAAAAAAAAAGCGCTAAGCGGCGGCTGACTCAGCGGGTTGGAGCTGACTGGAGCTCCAGGCGTCAAGCTCACCGCGCGGTCCTCCTCACTTGACCACTACTCCCCTCCATCTTTTCCAATCATCTATTTGCTTGTTCTTTTCTATTTATCTTTCATACTGCAAACATGTAGGCTGATGCTGCCTCTTGTATTTGGAAATGTTCACTAACAGTCTGTTAGGGAGGTTCTTTTGGGTATTGCCGGCAAGGACTTCGTCATTCTTGCCGCATCCAAGGCCGCAATGAGAGGCCCGACAGTTCTCAAGGCCGAAGATGATAAGACACGACAGTTGAACAAGCACACATTGATGGCCTTCTCTGGCGAATCTGGAGACACGGGTAGGTAGCTTATCCGACAAGAATGAGACAACAAGATGCTAATAAGATGGCTTCATTAGTTCAATTTGCCGAATACATCCAAGCCAACGCAGCACTCTACAGTATGCGCAATGATACCGAGCTCAGCCCCTCCGCCGTTGCCAATTTCGTTCGAGGAGAATTGGCGCGCAGCCTGCGGTCACGGAGTCCCTACACAGTAAACCTACTGCTAGGTGGTTTAGATCCAGTTACTGAGAAGCCTCACTTGTACTGGATTGATTATCTTGCGTCGCTGGCGCCCCTACCATATGCTGCTCACGGCTATGCCCAGTATGTTTCATGGCCCTTGAATACTGGATAATATAGAAGTCCGGGCTAGAGACAATTGATGCTGACTCCGTTAGATACTACTGCCTTTCTATCCTTGACAAACATCATCACCCAGACTGCTCACTTGAGGAAGGCCTCAAGCTTCTCACCCTGTGTACAGATGAGCTGAAGCGCAGACTACCCATTGACTACAAGGGGGTAAGTTCCCCCAACGCGATTGTCAACAGTTGCCATTCTGACTCGATTATCCATAGGTCCTGGTGAAGGTTGTGACGAAAGAGGGCGTGAGGGAAATCTCCGTTGATAACGATAAAGTGGTGCGGAGTGCTTAAAGGTTGACAAACGGCGTTTGTTGTATCCCATCTTATGACGTTTTCTTTATTTGATTCCGAGATAGTTGAACGGTCGGCATGATTTAGGCTGTAATAAGTCAAGTAAAGAGCAAATCCCTAGACGGTCTGATATAAATAACACGCAAGTTCATGATACTCTCACCGCTTAGAATCGACGGCATTTATATAGAACGTAAACGTACTACGTACACCGCGTTGCTTTCGGCCTGTAAAATGTTTGGCTTGTTTGCAACCCAGTCGCATCCCGAGCTCTCAGAAAGTCAAGAACTCAGTGATCACTAACTTTTGTTACAACCATCATACAATGTCAAAGAGACACGCAGAGCTCCCTTTGGAGCAAGGCTTTTCTGGCTCTCCTGCCTCGAAAAAGGTGCGCGTCGAGGACGATGACGGCGGCGATTCTCGCAACGGCGCAGTCCCCGCGGACCGAACAGGCGGCAATGAGCTGAGGCAGGGTGGCCACAATGGAGTCGACATGCAAAAAACAACTGAAATGGAAGGAGATGAGCTTGATGAGGATAAGAAAGACATCTCTGATCTCTCAGATATCGACGAAGATGTATCTGCGCACAGCGCCCCGAAACGCCAAAGTGCCCCCATGGAAGGCTACGGCGACCTCTATCTCGACACAATTAACCGCGAGATCTTGGATTTCGATTTCGAGAAGCTGTGCTCTGTCACTCTGTCAAACATCAACGTGTATGCCTGCCTTGTCTGCGGCAAATACTTCCAGGGCCGCGGTCCCAAATCGCATGCATATTTTCACGCGCTCGAAGTTGGACACCACGTCTTTATTAACATCGGCACAAAGAAGGTCTATGTTCTGCCTGAAGGATATGAAGTTCAAAACAAAAGTCTGGATGATATTAAGTATGTGGTAGACCCACACTATACGAAAAACGAAGTGATCAAGCTCGACAAAGAAGTGCACAATGCCTGGGATCTTTCTGGGTCTAAGTACAGACCAGGTAAGAGTTTGCAATGTCACACGGATAAGAAATCCCAAGGCTAACTGTTTTCACTTATAGGATTTGTCGGCATGAACAACATCAAAGCCAACGACTACGTCAATGTTGTAGCTCAACTAATGGCACATGTTCTGCCAATCCGCAATTTCTTCCTCCTTCATGAATTTCCCACCCCTGGAACACCGGAAATAGTTCTTCGTTTCAGCACTTTGGTGCGCAAGCTATGGAACCCTAAGGCGTTTCGATCACATGTCTCCCCGCATGAATTACTACAGGAGATTGCCGTACGGTCGTCCAAACGGTTCACACTCACCAACCAGGCAGATCCCGTGGAATTCTTATCTTGGTTCTTAAACAGCCTACATCTTGCCTTGGGGGGATCCAAGAAACCTTCGCCAACACCCACCAGTGTTGTGCACGCAGCATTCCAGGGCCGTGTGCGGATTGAAAGCCAAGCTATCACTGCTCACTCTGATACTCAAAATGCCCGTTTGGTATTCACCGAATCTGGCACCATCAATAGCCAAGTTACTCCTTTCCTTATCCTGACACTGGATCTACCTCCAACACCTCTCTTCCAATCTGCCAACCGGGAATCGATCATTCCACAGGTTCCCTTGACCACCCTCTTGAACAAATATAACGGCTATACGGCGTCAGAGAAACTGGCCCATCGTGTTCGACACCGTCTTCTCCACCCTCTTCCTCCCTACCTCTTTTTCCACATCAAACGCTTCAGCAAGAACCGTTTTGTCTCTGAGCGAAACCCAACCATTGTCACTTTCCCTTCCCCCAGAGATTTGGACATGTCACCCTATGTTGAGCCCAACCCAGATATCTGGTCACCCGGCGAACCTATCCTGTATGATCTCGTCGCAAACATCATTCTTGATCCCGCTATTGCAGCACCTGGCTCAATGGATGATGCTGTTGATAAGGGCGTCAATGCTGCGTCAGGAGCTGGCGGTGCCTCGAGTGGAGCTGGCGGCGGCAGTGAGAAGGTCTCATGGCTTGTCCAGCTTCATGATAAAGCCATGTCAGCCGAGAACATTCGCATCCAAAACGGCAGTTCCACGGAGACACGGCAGCAGGGTCCAGAATGGCTTGAGATTCAGGATTTGTTTGTTAAGCGCGCCGAGAGTGAAACACTATTCACACGTGAGGGATATCTCATGGTCTGGGAGCGTCGCAAGGTCCCAGGCAGTAAAGGAAAGGGTCGTGCATGATCTGAGGCAGCATAGCCAGGGAGGCGTTGGCCTGGGGTCAAACTTACTATCATCTCCCAATTCTTTCTTTCTTTTCTTCGGGAGCAGATCCAATGTACCATTAAATAATAACGAAATTATGTTCTTTTTATTTCTTACATCTCCGGGTAAATTTAAGACGCTGAAAGTACTCGGTGCAAATACTGCACCAGACAGGAACTACTTGATTAAAGAGGCACCTGTACTACAAATTGATAACATCAAAAGAGATATACACTCATTACAAAGTTCCCCAACCGCAGAAATTTCTCCCTATCCTCATTGTCGAGCCTACCAGGAATCCCCAGATCCCAGCTCTCATCGCAACTTGCATCCCTCTCATAAGCACGAGTCGACAGGTATAAACACTTATGTCTGACCAAGTCCTTCCACCAAACCAAAGATCCAATGGATGAATATCCGACAAACGGACAGTAGAAGAAGGGTGCGAGATGATCCATGATCGAGTTAATGAGCGAAGATAGAGTACTTCAAGCGGCGCAAGTATAATGCCACTAATTGCAGCAGCGAGGTGAGACGCAAGGGAGTCTACTGGGTATGCTGAGAGAAGTGTGACGCGATGAGATTGCGATAATGGGTTCGTCAATTGACCGGGGATGAGAGAAGAGGGTGGAACTGGCTGGACGAGGGGATGGGACTGGGTATCTTCATTCTGGGTTGCATCTGCGACAGGGGATGTCTCATCGGTGGGCTCCTCATCGTTTGGTTCCTCCATGCCATCAGGAAGAATATTTGGAACGGCCGACTCTAGTGCTTCCTCGATTGATCCTAAAGCTGGGCCCTCGGTAGCTTGGGGGTCTTGAGGACTCGAGTTGGATGCCCCGGTACTGATACCCGAGAGGCCATCGGTGTCCACTGCCGGTTGTGGCTGCTGCGCTTCGCGCTGCGCCTGACTCAAGATTAGGGCTTCGAGGAACTCGGCTATGGATCTTCTATCCATAGCATCGGGGGTTGTATTTGTTCCTGACAGATTGTTACCTGCTAGTGCATTGAGCTGGGCAAGATTTGCGGCTTGGCTTTGCGGGCTGCGATTCCGATTGCCTAGCAACTCGAGTTGCATCGTAATGACATCGGAGCTTTGGTGGATCAAAGATGCTCTAACATGGGGCGAAGTAGGAGGTGATGTTTCTGGTGATGATGGACGAGAGAAGAGAGTATTAGATCGCGAGTTCAGTCGATCCATAGCAAAATGCTCACCATCTTGTGAGGAAACGGTTTGATCCAGCGGGTTTGTAGTAGTCTCCTGATCACTTGTTTGCCCAATAGTAGCCATCTCGGAAAAATAATCGTCGCCCATTTCTCCAGGCGATTGAGACATACGATTCTCATTTGTGAGCACTCGATTCAGTCCGAAGTTTGAATCTGCTCGAGTCGAACGTGTAGATTCAATTGTACCCGCTGGTCCTGGTCCTGGTCGTGAGGTAGCAGCGGCAACCTGGGTATCGGGAGTGACCCCCGGGGGTCTAGTCACAAGATCACTTGATTCCTCTTCAGCAATTTCAGTGAGAAAGTTCACTCGGGTTCTTTCAAGTTCACTTTGCAACAACTGGATCGAATTGCGGAGATTTTCAATCTTCTCATCTGACGGCTTGCTCGGTCTCAGTCCAAAAATTGATGATACCCATCTCCGAAAGAGGGAAAATTCGTATTTGATATCCTCGAAGAATGTGAGCTTGGTGCGGTATAACTCTTCATCTGATCTACGGCCCAGCGTGGGCACCACCCACTCTATGAGATTTTCTTCCAAGGCAACACGGACTGAGAGCTCATCTGGAAGAGTTGGCTTGGGAAGATGTCGTCTAATCAACCGGTAGATACGCTCTTCGAGCTCTGGTCGCAAGTAGTAGCCATAGAGGAACACCAAAACGCCAGGAGAGGTCAACAAACCCACAAGCGACATCCCCAGTGAATGAGGGGAAAAATCGGTGGGAAGTTGAGGCAGCTGCAGCAAGGATTCTCCACTGAAGGGAAGTAGAAGTCGGATCCCAGGTATGGAATATGGCGAAACAAGAGAGAGAGACTGGAGTGTAGAGTACATGTAGAACTCCACAGACAACATGAGCACTGCGTGTCTCGCCCTTTACTCGTAGTCAGCCTTTGTTACTGGGTCCAATGGACGTAAAATGTACTCACGCTGTATATAGAAGTCCAAAGAGGGAACGGACGCCAAGTGAGTCGCCTGTCAACCCCTGGACATAGTCTCGGAGAGAGACAAAGACACGCTTTAGCGGGGTTTCTCGGGCTATAGCCAACCCACTTGACATTGCCCAAGCTGGAATGCCCGCAAAATAAAAGTTGAGGATCCCCTTGGTGTCTCTCTCAAGCTTTATGGCATTGAGTAATGCGGAATGTGCATAGTGCGTGTAGGTCTGAAGCTCAGATGCCAAATATCAGCGCTTTCAGCCTCTAAATGGTTCGGGGTTGCATTTACCTGTACTCTGCCAGTGAGTGAAGAAGTCCACCAGGTACCAAAGAAGATAAATAGCTGATCGAGAGTCGTAATGACCAGCCCAAAGTCATTTTCACTTGCAATTTGATTGATCTTTTGCTGTTCATTGGGAATACTAGACTTCTGGTCTTCTCTACTGACGACGATCCCCATTGTGGAGAGTATGTCATTCTTAGCTCTCCGGAGTTCTTTTCCAAAGGTTTTGGACTCGGGATTGACAGGGTGTCCTCGAGTATCATACTGTTGCATGTAGTCGTCCGCATGGACGCTGGAGATCCGTCGGACTGGGTTTGAGGGGTCAACTGCCGCATTATCGGGAGCTTCATATGGTGACCGGCCCTGAAAATCAGTCAATATGATATGCTATCAAGTTGCGACTGGGCTCAAACAAGCACTTGTGGCAAGAGACGGGCATGTGTTTGTATATGCGTCTAGGAGCAATGAGGTGGGGTCGGGTGATAAGTATTAGGCTTCAGATGACTTCCAGACTGCTCGACATAATCCATTATGTACTCTATTGCAGCATAGCCGAAAGGTCCAAACTCCCAATCACACATATAAGGGGACTTTGCTAGTAAAGAAAGCTTACCAAAGCGAGCCGATTCAAGTAAGCCTGTCGACCCATATCGTACAAGATCACTGGGATAGTAGCGAAGCTACATCGCCTCCCAGTACACTATGAATATGAGATATGATAGAGCTTGGGGATTCGAAAAGCAACAAGCGATGGAGAACAAATGAGGCGAAAGCCAACAGTTGAAGGTGCTCAGGTGGTTATGCACTTTGGCCTGAGGCATGGGCCATATCTTATCACCAAACAAACTGTGCAAACATCAAAAAAAGTTGCCCGCTCGAGCTGCCGTTTTTTGCGATCGTCCAATCTCTACGGCTCTTTGACTGGGCAATGGCGTGCTAAGTTCTACTTTTTTACGCCGAAATATAATAGAGTCATGTCGAAAGCTATCGTCAAAACCACTTTCGAGGCGTCCCGCACGCTCCGCCCCATTTACACCGGCGGCAGCACCGCGTTGGATGCCAGTGGGCGCATCTTGCTGAGCTGCGTGGGCGAGGATGCCTTGATCGTCGATCTTGAGACTGGTAACCAGCTTGCCAGCCTCGAGGGGGTATGTCTTATTACATCACAGTGATCGTCAATTGAGAAGTGCTAACCACATGAACTCAACAGGATGGAGAAATTGTCACCGGATTGGCCAGTGAGTGTTATATGCGCGCATTCTGAGAAGGAAATACTGATAATTAATATAGTCACGCCGTCCGCTTCACACGCCATTGTATGCTCGCGCTCGATGTCCATGCGAATCTACGGCCTCTCGGCTTTCGACGAGTCTTCCCAGAGCATTGAAGCAAAACTTCTCCGAACCCTCAAGCCTCACACAGCTCCCGTTGTGACCATTTCTGTCGATCCCACCGGTACACTACTTGCTACCGGTGGTGCTGATGGCTCAATCAAGGTCTGGGACATCAGAGGTGGGTTTGTCACACACACTTTCCACGGCCATGGTGGTGTTATTTCTGCGCTTTGCTTTTTCGAGGTCCCTACTGTCGACGGCAAGTCTGCTTCCAAGAAGAGCAAATCCAAGCGACAGACTGGGGAAAACGATGACGAAGATATGGAGGACTCAACCTCTACGGGTTCCACTGCAGGATTCCGCTTAGCATCCGGCAGCGAAGATGGCAAAATGCGCGTGTGGGATTTGCACAAGAGAAAATCCATTGCATCGCTCGAATCACATGTCTCTCTTGTCCGCAGCTTGTCCTTCTCACCATCAGAGAATGCATTGATCTCAGCCAGTAGAGACAAGACTGTCATTGTTTGGGACGCTCGTACTTGGAAGACTCGCAGAATTATCCCTGTTTTGGAGAGCGTGGAGGCCGCAGCTTTCATTGCGGATAGCCCACTTTGCGTTATTGGTGGAGAGAACGGCAAATTGCGAGTTTGGGACTGCAATCGTGGAAGCGAGGTGACAGAGGAACAAGAAGCCGGAGAAGAGTATGAGAGTGTCGTTGCTATCCAATATTCGGCTGGTCTGCCTTTTGTCCTCACTGTTCACGCAGATCAGACTCTCCGACTTCATTCACTCGAGTCACTGTCTGATTATAAGCCAGTGTCAACATTGGAAGCCTTGGCAATCATTCGCCGCATTTCTGGCAATGATGATGAGATCATTGATTTGGCTTATGTTGGACCCGATCGGTCGATGCTTGCTTTGGCCACCAACACCGAGACTATTCGTGTGGTCTCGGTTGCTCCATCGGAAGACCGACCCTCGGTTCAGGGAGAGGAGTACTTCGGTGCTGATGTCACGCACCTGGAAGGCCACGACGATATTATCATTTGCATTGATGTGGACTGGTCAGGACACTGGCTAGCAACTGGCGCTAAAGACAACACAGCCCGTCTTTGGCGTATTGATCCGAAAACATCTTCTTATACTTGCTTTGCTATCTTCACTGGTCACGCCGAGTCATTGGGAGCAATTGCCCTTCCTCGGGTGCCACCCCCTGTCGGCAGTGCCGCATATAACGATCCCGTGAACCACCCGCCGGCCTTCCTAATTACCGGTTCGCAAGATCGCACAATCAAGCGCTGGGACACAAGCAAGTTGGCCCCCTTGACGGGAGAAAAGCCACACTCCCCGAAGGCAATCTATACCCGCAAGGCCCACGAGAAGGATATTAATGCCATTGATATTGATTCTACATCTGAACTGTTTGCCTCAGCATCACAAGATCGGACCGTCAAGGTCTGGGCTGCCGACGAGGGTTCGGCGGTCGGTGTTCTCCGGGGCCACAAGCGCGGTGTTTGGTCGGTGCGATTTGCTCCCCAAGGCACACCGATCATCAACTCAGATTCACGTACCAGCACAAGCCGTGGTCTGGTAGCTACAGGTTCCGGCGATAAGACCGTTAAGCTCTGGAGCCTGTCTGACTACAGCTGTCTGCTGACTTTCGAGGGCCACACCAACAGTGTTCTCAAGGTCCTTTGGCTCCCACCCCCACAAGTCTCCAACAACCAAGCCGATGACGATGAGGATGACGAGGAAGCCGCAACAGCACGTAAAAACGCCATTCAAGACCGGCCCCTTATCGCCTCTGCCGCAGCAGACGGTCTCGTCAAGATCTGGTCCCCCTACACAGGCGAGCTTGAGACCACCCTGGATAATCACATTGACCGAGTCTGGGCACTCGCCAGCCCGACCCCATCAGGCTCACGCTCAGACGTGAAGCAATCTTCGTCCAAGCTCAACACGACTCCCTACGCCATTGCCTCTGGTTCCGCCGACGCAACAGTGACTTTCTGGACTGATACCACATCGGCCACCTACAGTGCCGCTGTCACCGCCAACTCTGCCCGCATTGAGCAAGACCAAGAACTACAGAACTACATCCGCGCCGGTGCCTACCGCGAAGCCATCACTCTGGCTCTGCAACTCAACCACCCTGGTAGACTGCTCTCGCTCTTCACATCCGCCATCAACGCCGCAGACGACCCCACTCTCCCGGCCGAGGATCGTGAGCGTTCCAAATCCAGTCTTTCTGGCAACCCGTCCATCGACGAAGTGCTGCAGAACTTGGACCCTGCAAACCTGCGCACTCTCCTGCTCCGCCTTCGCGACTGGAACACCAACGCCCGCACCTCGCGTGTGTCACAGCGTATCCTGTACGCTCTGTTCCGGTCTTACCCTGCATCGACTTTTGTCGAGCTTGCGACTCAGTCTGTCCGTGGAAAGGATGGTCGTGCCGCGGCTGGTCTGAAGGATATCATGCAGGCACTTGCCGCATACACGGAGAGACACTACCGCCGAGTTGAGGAGCTCGTTGACGACAGCTACTTGGTTGAGTGGGTTCTCGGTGAGATGGATGGTGGTGTTGGGCTTAGTGGACTACGTGATTTGACCGTGGGTGATGTCAGTGACGAGGAAGAGCATGAGAAGGACGTTGTTATGTTGGAAGCATAGTCTAGCTTTAGTCTTTCCTGTTTGTACATTGAATTTGGCGCTTTCGTTCTTGGAGTACCATGGGTGGGAAGGATAAAAGCCATCTCTTTATAGAATTGAACAGTCATATCTTTTCTCATATCTTCCAGGGTATATCTACATCTTTAATACCGCCTCTTTTACTGTGTTTCCGTAGGGTTTCCTCCCTAGCCAGTACGTAGAGTCAGAGGAATCATAGGAACTGACCATATAAACTACATAACCAATATTGACTAAGATATGATGGGAAATTATTCTTCGCCTTTGTATGGCCTGTTTTCATTGTTCAGGGTATCTCTATTTATGACAGTCTCATGATAAAATTGCTGGATATGGAGACTGCGCAACTCCAAAAGGCAGCGATGGTGTATGTACAATGATCGGCCTTGGAAGATGTCTTCCAACCGCTTTAATCATCCCGTCGACTTCGGCGAGAGTCGCGATCGTGGTCGCGGTCTCGATCATTTCGAGATGAGTGAGACGAGTGCCGTGAGCTGCTATATCTCTCATCTCGGGATCGATGACTGCCTCTGTCCCGATCTCCATCTCTTCGCCGATCCTTATCATCATCACGGTCCCGACGATGATCTCTGTCGTAGTTTCGATCACGGTAAGAACGGTCGTCCCGTCTACTTCTATCGCTATCATCGTATCGAGAAGAGCGGCTAGAAGAATGACGGCCACTAGATCGACTGCGGTCACGCCGCGAGGACCCAGTCTTCCGGCGAGAGCGATCTTCCTCATCATCGTAGTCACGTTTGCGGTATTCCCGGTCTCGATCCTTGTCCCGTCCACTCTTTTCAAGGTTGCGATCCCGTCGCTCGCGCCAGTCGTCTTCCTTGGGAGGATTGGATTTGGCCTCCTTTTTTAATGCGCCGAGTTCCTCCTCGGTGAGATACTCGCCGGTTTTCTTGTTCCGCATCGTAATAGGCATGTACACACCCTCGGCCTTGTCGTTCTCTTCTCCCTGTTTCCTCGACGCCTTGCGCATAGCTGATTTTCCCCAAGCTCCGAGCTCCACTTCGGCGCCTTTGCCACCAGATGAATCCTTGGCGCCAATACCGAGGAACCCAGGCCGTCGTTCTGGAATACGAGGTTTGGTTGCCCTTTCTGCAGCTGTCGCACTGCTGTAGTCGCCTCGGCCGATGGATTGGCCATCTTTCCAGCCCATTCCTCGTAGTAGCGCAGCGCCGAATTCCTCAACGGGGATGGCGTTGTAGTCGTCCAAACTAGCAGACTCGGGTCGGGATGCCACATCATTTCGGAAAGAGCCGAGTTCACTGTAATGAACGGGCGCATCGTCATCACCCTTAGTAGCAGCCTCAATGACAAGGTCTGACCTCCGTTCCACTTCACCCTTACTTTCCCGAATCAGCGCCTGCATAGCAATCTCGTCTTCGGTGAGAGGCTTAGTCTCGACGGGCTGTGCATCGGGCATCGCTTGATCGTCGTCCTCTGCTCCACCATCCTCTGCTTTATCTGTGGGTTGCTGTGCAAAGCTCAGCCCGTGTGCCATGCTCGGCGCATCTACCTCCACTGCGGCCTCCCCGGGCATTTGTCCATTCTTTTGCGCTGCCTGCATGGCCTGCATGGCCTGCACTTCGGCGGGCAGAAGATTCTTCTTGCTTTTCTTGACATTGACACCCGCTCGGTCCCGCCAGTTATTCTTGCTTGTGACAGGAATGACCAGTGGCTTGTTTGCATCTTCGACTGCCCGTCCGTCTGCGGTGATAGCGCCACCAGTATGAGTGTCGAAACCTGAGACTTCCTCGTGAACGGGGGGTGCCTCCTCTTCGTCAGAGTCATCGCCATGGCCAAGTTGGTGAGGGCGTCGAGGGAGAGCCCCGCCCTTTGGCGCTGGAGCATTTGTGGGACGGCCGCGATTTGAGGATTGAATGCTGAAACCGGTCTTTTTTGAAGGACCCTTTGGACCGGCTAACGAGAGGGAAATTGAGTTGATTGGTGGTTTCCCACCATCAGTTTGATCGCGCGAAGACATCGCGGTGGTATCTGGACTTCAAACGAATGAAATGTTTAGCAGAGAAAAGCAAGTTCGAGGAGCCGATGATATCCTGAGAGCTCATGGTGGGCGGTGGCAAAATCACAAGCGCGCGGCTAACTTCGATGGTTCTTTGCGGTAAGGGCGATAAGTATACCCACGATGTACTCCGTAGACCGAACACAAACACTAAGGTGACAGATGAGTATTCAACAAGAAGAGCTACTTCTTATAGTTTAAAGAGCCATATAGCCAATCATGAAAGTATACAGGCATTTACCCTATGAACGAGAGGAGAAAGTTGTGAGTCCTAGCTAGACGACGCCATACTAAATAGCACTTACATCCGCCTGCACCTCAATGGAACGTCTAAAAGTTCCAAGGTTTGATTGATCACCTAGACAATTTGAGATTTGGGTGAAAACATTCGGATTCCTCTAGATAGTTTGCAACTAGTTATTACTAAACAAGTCAAATTCAATCAGATCTGATCCAACATCTATGTTTTCTCTCTGCCCTTTTCTTGCCTTCTTATTCTACTTTGTCGAGAAATAGCCTCAAAAGAATACGTATGCTTTATTTCCCCTGTATGTTACAGAAAATATGATGGAACCCCATCTCAAACGCCCATTATCTGGTTTTATTCCAACTGGGAGGCGCGAGTACAAACTTATTGCCATTTCTATCAATCTTATGCAGGGAGGTATGAAATTGAGCTCAGAAATATGGCCATTTCCTGGCTAGGAATCTCAATGTATTCGTATCCAAACTAGCGCTAAACTTACCAATGGACGTTTACTTCTCGAGTACTGAGATAAAACAGGCAATGCTTGCCTAGGCGAGAGCCGAATAAGCCTCCACGATTAAGAGCTCATCGTTAGACTTACTGCTCCTCAATATATAATCTTGTAGACTAATTGTTGTCCTTGATTTCCTACATATTGCTTCCGCCTTGATCTAAAAATACGGACTAAAAAGAAGCATAACCCAAGTGGGTCCGGATGCCCCACATCAGGGCGCACTCGTTCAGAAATCGCCCGATTGGGATTCTAGATATGGGTTCTGCTGCAATAGTCTGGAAGTCTGCGGTATGCTACTATGGCAGAGAATAGTCTTACCACTCTCCATTTGAGATTGATTCATGGGTCTTGCAGGATATGCTCATTCTATGCGCATCGCCGCTCATGGCAGCCACCGTTTGCACGGTCCTTGGCTGTATTATCCCGGCCTTCGGTGCTGAACATCTCCAAGCATGCGGCCCAGCTAACTCATCTTTGTCTTTCTTGTAAACGGTGTGTTCTGTTTCTGTCCACAATTAGGAGCGGCTGGCGTCTGACTCGAGTTTTGGAGACTTGGAAACAGACATGGCAACAGCTAGAAACCAGAGATACCGGACAGTGGATGGGGAAATAGGGAAGAGCACGACGAAATGGTCATATCTTCTAATTTTTCTGAGTCTACAAGTGCAACTACACAGAAAGTCAGCGGGAGACGGCAAGGGTAAGCTCAAACTAATCATACAATTCATGTCAATTCCTAGAATCCATCCCTCCCAGAGTTTTCGCCCGTTCCCATCAATAATACAAGCCCAGAGTTTCAAGAGCAGCACTGGTAAAAAAAGAGCCAGTGTATCTCAGTTCAAGATGAACATGAGAGTTTTTCAAAAAGCCGAGGAAAAAGGAGAAGGAAAAAAAACAAACACGCAAACGGTAGAGGTCAAAGAGGGTGTAATGGGGTGTAGTGTAGGTTTATCGCAATCCGAATCAACGGGGGAGTAAAAGCAAAGGGGGTAAAATAAATCAGAGTAAAAGTGGGTGTAAGTATGTACAGACGAATGTAAAAGGTGAGAGAGAAAGAGGGGTGTGCGGAGGTATTGCAAGGGAGCAATCAGAGCAAGCCCTTAGCTAGTTGCGGTCTGGGCTGCCGGAGCATGCGGGCTCTTGGTGGACCCTTGAACGGGGCCAGCTTGGGCACTGCCGCTGCGCTGAGTTTGGGGAGTGGCGCTGCGACTGGGCTGGGGTACAGCACCATTTATGGCGGGCGAGCTAGTTGGGCCAACGCGGTTTTGCTGACCAGGTTGGGGGACCCGCATCATTGGGGAAAACCCTTGGTTTTGAGGTACCTGCATCGCAGAACCACCGTTCGGAGGCTGGTAGCTTGGCTCGTGGGGAACTTGGTAGCCGGCTTGAACGGTATTTGCGTTGATGCTACCAGCAGCAGCATTCATCGCTGCTTGTTGGGACAACCGTTGCTGTTGCTGTTGCTGATATTGGTTGAGTCGATCCGTAGCCAGCTTGGTCACTTGCTCAGGGGGCATGTTCGGATTGGTACGCTGGATTTGACTTTGAAGAGTGCTGATTTGGGGAACAACACCGCTCGAAAGAGGGTTGGGCTGGCCCATACGAGGCGACGGGGTTGAAACGCCTTGCGGTGTTCCAGCGTGAAACGATGGGCTTTGCATTCCCCCTTGATTCTGGAGAGCGGCTATCATGGCAGGGTTGTTAGGAGTGCCGGTGACATTCGACAAGTTCAAATTTGGCGATCCCTGCGACCCAAACTGTTGGTTGTGGAATTGCTGCTGGCCTTGCTGGGGGTGCTGCTGTTGCCGAGACTGCAGAAGACGCTGCTGCTCCTGCAAACGATTGGCTTCTCGGATGACCCGAGTGTTGTCGGGGGAAGCTTGCATTGCCAGACCTGGCCGTGCGCCTGGTGTTGGCTGCATTTGAGTCTGTGGCATCATCTTCATAGCCATACCATTAGGCAGCTGGCCATTAGGCTGCGCGCCATTAGGCATGTTCTGCATCGGAAGGGGACGGCCTTGGTTAGCACCAGCAGTAGGAGCCATGCCATTGGGTATCCCGTTTGGAGCTCCACCTGGCAGACTGGGATTGGAGGTAGGAGGCATGTTGTTGTTACGTCCTGGCGCATTCATCATTTGCTGTTGGTTAGGCGCCTGTCCGGAACGCTGAGCTGCGAGACTAGCCTATATGGGGGATTAGCCAAAGTTCGTCAGGTACGTGAGACACTGAACTACTCACTCTTTGCTGGGCAATCATTTGCTGGCGGTACTGTTCTTGTCTTTCCTGCAGCTTCATCTCTCTGTCATATTTCAGCCGGCTGAACTCAGCCGGAGACGAGATTGGAGGCTTGGGTTGGTTAGCCTCATTTGCCTTTCGCAATGAAGCAAGATGAGAAGCTAAAATGCAATGTCAGTAGAGTTCATGGCTTGATATAACTCGAATTTATCCCAAACGTACCATGTTGCTGTTTTTGAAGCATAGTTTCCCGCTTCTTGGCCAGCTTTCGCATTGCGTCGAGCAAAGCAAGGTGCTTCGAAGATCGTCTCCGATCAACCCGGAGAGGCTGGGTTGTCCTACGACGAACAGGTGGCTGAGGCTGGGCGTTGCCACCTTGTTGTTGCTGCTGTTGCTGCTGCTGTTGCTGAGCAGCCTGCTGTTGGGCCAAAACAGTACGTTGGGCAGTCTCAAGTCTCTGGTGGTAAGCTCGGAAGTATTGAGTCTTGGACATATCGGCAGGAAGACCCTCAAGTCCTACCCATCGCTCGAAACATTCCCAAGGTGTCCGTCTTTCGGCACCAGAGGTGAAGAGTGATGAGGGCGTAAGACAGCTGGAAATTAGGGACCAGTTGTAGGAATACTCCTTGACCAAGCGTCTAAGTTCATCATCCTCACCGTAAGTCCACTGCGAGGACGAACGCGATTCGAAGAAACCAACAGATGGCATAGGATGTTCAGTCGGAGGCCGGAATTGATGACCAGGGTGAATTCGATCGCGAATGGGTTTATTCTCTGGTCGAAAGAGCGCAACGTTGGTCTGTTCAGGCGCCAACTCAATGATGTTATTATCCGAATCATTACGATATTGAGAGTAGTCATATCTGCTCCGTTTGCAGGGACGGTCGTCATCATGGAAGCTAATTTTGGCAGACGCAAATTTGGATACCGGCAGAAGTTCTGTCTTCCAAACTGAGTCAGGGGAAGCTTTGAAAGCAGGTAGATTCGTCCCAGTGGCGATCTGCAGAGGTCCATAGATTGGTAGTTCATCTAGCAGCTTTTCGGCAGCAGGAGTCATGTCGATTGAGAAGTTGAACTCATCGGAGCCCAGTGAGAAGATAGCAGCAGGGGCAACAGTGTCGTGAATGTCGTGCCGAGGTTCATCGTTGAACATATCACTAACGGATTCTTCCTCGGCGGATGGAATAAGATCCGGGGTCGGGTGAGATACACCAAACACTTCATCCCCATTGTCCTCAGAAGGTGGGCTAAGCGCCGCCTTGGAACAGTCCTTTTCTATTGAGTTTGGAGTAGAAATCTTTGTTTGGACACGAAGTAGGGACCGATGTTCTTCGTCGCTGTTGACATATTCTGCGCACCAATCGGCACAGCTCTTGGCAGCGGCAATCTTCCACTTTCTTTCCTCCCTGAAATCTGTTCGCATCCACTTCATATGATCTAATAAAACATCCCAGTGTGCTCCCTGGCGAGGAGGTTCGACAGAGCGTTTTAATTGTCGCAACGGCCATCTATTGGCGTTCTGAAGAGCATAAATGCGTCGAAGAGTTCGGCAATCCATCTGTTCTTGATATTCAAGCATATGGTTGCTAGTACTCAAAGTCTTGTGCGCAGATGCCAAAAGAGTATTAAGATTAGTGCCTCGGGGAGGAGCGTACGCTCGATTCAAAAACAGCGTGAAAAGATAGTCTTGCTCCTCATTCAGCTTGGCCACCGCATCCATGTCTCTGTGTGCCAAATCCATAGCGTCGGCCTTCTCCTGTTGCGAAGGTGGCTGCTTAGGAAACACAACAGTTGAAAGTCGGCTTCTCTCCTTTTCCCGTTCCTTTCTATCTTTGAAACGCATTCTCGCAACAGAATCGGGAGAGCCCTGATCAGAGGGGGTGCCCGGGTGGCTTCTGTCGTGAGAGACACTCTTAGGGGTCTCTCCGAGTATCTCAGAAACAGATTTATGACGGATAGCTCCTGACGATACCCGAGTGGTCATACGTTCCGGTTGCGATAAGCCAGGTTGGGTAGGCGGGATGGACACGAACTTTTTAGTCGTGGGAGTTTCAATCGTCGACTCTGCAATACTCTCAACCTGTGCAGACGGCGATAACGATTCTTTAATGATCCTCTCGGGTTCTTGGGTTGCTTTTGCTTCAGAAGGCACAGGCACAGGCGCAGGCTCCTGATCGATATCCATTCGATCTATGTCGACCTTGGTATCCACGCTTTCCCGGATCACCTCTTTCGATGATGATAGATCGGTAGCCACTCCGTTGGAGGGCCTGTCGACTTTGGATTGAGCTTCTTCAAGGCGCAATTGCTCATCTGGTGTTGAGGGAACCATGCTCAACCGAGCATGGCCAGCTCGGTCATGCTTGTGTTTTGGGCGATCGATTGTTCGAACATGCTCGGTCACTTCTTCAGCTGGGCTTGTGTCAGGTGATGTGGCAGTTGGAACAGGTGTATTATTATTGTATGGTTCAATGGAAGAAGCAGGTGATAGTGGTTGTTCGATGCGTGAAGGCCTTGGCACAAGAGATGGCTGTGGCTCATGCTTCCTTCGATGAAGGGCATCGGAAGGTATTTCGAGTGATGGAACTCCAGTCGCGCCTGCCTTAGACAAACGAGGGGAGGTCTTTGCCAGACTTTTGTCGTGACCGTGGGCACTGAGCGGCGTTCCTGGCAGCGGCACACTGTCTTTCTGATCCGCGCAGGGTGCATCAGGCAACTGCGCGGCGGTCGGCACGACGTCAGGATCTCGTGGTGGCTTAGAGATGATAGCTGGTACAGATGGTCGATGTAATCCGGTCACATCTACAGGGGTAGGCGAGAGATTAGGTATCGCAATCCCGGGTTGGTCTAGAACAGGTACTCCGCGCTGTGCGGGTTCGGTGGCATGCGGAGCGCCGCCATCGACAACGGGCAAGGATGAAGTGGTATTAGCAACAGATTTGGCATCAATGATGGCCGCTGTTGTCGGGGGAACCACATTTCTATTTGGTGAACGCGGGCGCGCGTGGGATGGCGGCGGAAGAGTAGCATCATTAAAGTAACGACCTCTAAATAGGCAATTAGCATTGGTAATTAAATTACCAAAATAAATCATTGCGAATGGTACTCAACTAGTAGAGTAGCAAGGCATTTGGACTTACTCGGAGAGATCGTTGGCGTCGAGGAAGGCCTGTTCTTTTTGGTGGTAATGGGCGTCCTCGGTCGCGCCAAACCCGACCGTGGCTAGATACAGTGCGCTGAGCTTGCGCTTTCTGCGCGACAAACAGTTTCTACCCATAAAATTAGCCATAAATTCATCGTTTTCCGGGTTTCTCCATCAGAAACACGTCGCGAAAAAATTAATACATACGCGATCTCATCATTTTTAGATCGTAGGAGCTCGTCGCGGAGCATGGAGTCTAGCTTCGGAACGCAGCATCCGATTAACGCGGGGACAAGGGCAAAAGATTGAGCGAGGTCATCCAGTTGGAAAAAATCGCTCGAACAAGATGAAAAGGATGGGTGGAGGGAGTGAGGCGATGGAAAGCACCTGGAGCAGGATCTTTTCGAAGGGGGTGAAAATGAGGTTACAGGGCGGTATGAAAAATGTGGAAGAACGGGAAGGTGTTGGTTTAGGTACAACCAGTTACTCGCTCCCTCTATAAAAAATACACGGCTTGGCTAGGTACCAGGTACTTCATAAAAATACCTTAGATGGCTGGAGAAATTGAGAAGGAGCTACTCCAAAAGAATGTAAGGATAAATTGCACTTGAATGAGCTATCATAGGGGTTGTCAAAGAACTTGTGTTTCGAAAAGGCCATCCTCATCAACTGGTAACGCACGGTATTGTCCTAGCATTCTCCGCGTGCGGATATGACGCCTGAGGCATCAAAGACACCTCATAATTATGGCACCGTAGTGCCTAGGTAGTAACAAGGCAGCAAGGCAGAAACTCCCTATCAAGGCGGCCGATAACACCGCCGGCAGAAAATCAAGAAAAAAAGTTGTCCGCCCTACAGGTCAAGCTCTGACATCTACAATATACGGACCACTGCCATTATTATTTGAGTAATCATGGTGAAACGCAAGAGAACTGACGCCCCCAAGGAGGAAAAGATGACCGGCACTCCTCCCAAGACCACCAAGTCCGCCCCTACTCCTGCAGAGACTCCCGATGCAGCTGTGACTATCCAAGTGGTCACTGGCTCGTATGAGCGGGTGCTTCATGGCTTTACGGCTGGATTCTCAGCCTCCAGTCTGAAGGACAAGGCTGAAACCCCAGCGATTCAATGTGTGGATACATTCCTGTTTGAGGCGCATGGCTCTGCAATTCGTTGTCTGGCATTGTCGCCACTACCCAAGCCCACCGACTCTCCCGATGCCCAAAAAGTGATCCTGGCCAGTGGTAGTACAGATGAGCGCATTAACCTGTACTCTATCTCTGCCGCACCCCCTGCCGTAAGCGAAGACTATCCGTCCGTGCCGACACTGGCCGGAAACAAGATCCTGGAAAATCCTCGGAACCGTGAGCTAGGATCTTTGTTGCACCACACCGCCAGTATCTCCTCATTGAGCTTCCCTTCACGAAGCAAGTTACTCGCAGCTGGAGAAGATAACACGATCTCCGTGTCGAAGACCCGTGACTGGACAGTCGTATCAACCATCAAAGCGCCAAACCCCAAAGTCCAAGGTCGGCCTAGTGGTGACACAGCGCCTCCCGGAGCTGCTCCATCTGGTGTGAACCACTTTGCGGTGCATCCCAGTATGAAGCTGATGCTGAGTGTTGGGCGAGGAGAGAGATGCATGAGATTGTGGAATCTCGTGACCGGCAGAAAGGCTGGTGTTTTGAACTTCACCAGGGAGGTCCTACAAGGTGTTAAAGAGTCGAGATGGAGCACAGGAGAAGGTCGCCGCATTGCGTGGGATTCTGAAGGAGAAGAGTTCGCCGTTGCTTTCGAATGGGGCGCGGTTGTATTCGGAATCGTAAGTTATTTGGGTAGTGTTTTGTTGATTAAATTCTGACTATTCGAGCAGGACTCTATTCCAAGATGCAGGGTTCTTCCTGCCCCCCGGAGCAAACTTCATCAGATGAAGTATGTTTCTTTGCCTCTAAAGGGTGACGAAAAGGAAGATTTCCTGGCTGTATCTACAGAGGATGGCCGAGTGATCTTCTATTCGACCAAAGAAATGAAGGATGCTGAGGATGATGCTGAATGCTCGATCCCCCATGCCACTCCTGTCGCTCAGGTTGGTGGAAAGCAAGCTGGATTCCCAGGCCGCATCAAGGATTTCGAAATCCTCACTCTGGAAGGACAGGCAAAGGAGTTCCACAACGACTTCCTGGTCGTCACCGGTAACAGTGACGGAGTTGTCCGCGTATGGAAGGTTGCTGGCAAGGACCTTGCAGCAGCAAAGAAAGAACAGAAGGATACGTCTCAGATCGGAAAGCTCTTGACCACCTATGAGACCGGTAACCGCATCACCTGCTTGGCATCCTTCGTCATGTTGCCTGCAGAGGATCCGTCTACGTTGATGGATTCCGACGATGAGGACGAAGATGAAGCCGAGTCATCCAGCGATAGCGATGATGAGTAACTTTAAGGCCTCACTCGTGGACATTGCTCTCACCTGTTATACCCTTTTTTTTTACTGTCAAATAGACCCCGAGTGGCAACCAATGTATCATGAGTATGAAAAGATCGAGGCTATTGCACTAGAAAATAATTATGACTTGATATTCAAATATCTACATCTAGTCTTGAGATCTAAAACCCCGACTCATTCAAGCCTATAGCTATGTAGGTACCTAGATAGGGTATACCGTCGCTGGCCTAAGAAGTCGGTGGTGGCACATCGTCTTGGTTGAAGGGTTTTCCCTCGACGCAGTGAGTCACCCACAATAAACCCAAAGCACCCTCTTATAGCATAGATGATTTAGAGCAACAATTCAAATAGGTGTCACTGTGTGCATATTTACTCCAACTGTATAAAATGTAGAAGAATTGTAGAGTTGCCATCCAGACACCGCCCGGCTCTCCACTACACACAATCCCCCACCTACATTCTTTCATTATCATATCGCCCGCAGGAAGCAATTTTCATCCGACCTTCCACCTTCCACCGTTTCCCCCAGCTTCGCTCAACCACCTTTCTCTTCCGTTCTACGCCGCTGCTGATCGCGAGTTGATTTTTTATTTCCTGTCGCAACCATGGCTTCCAACGGCGATTTCTCCGACGAGGGATCCCAGCCCGGCTCGCCTTTGCTCGATGCCCACAATGCCCGCGGAGAAGTTGAGGACCTGGAGCCTCTCGAGCAGGAGGAGAAGCCTCTCAAGTCCGCCATGAAGAAGGCCGCTCCCGCTCCTCAACCTACGCGCCCAGAACTCCCCGAGCAGCCTAACCCGGAGACCCTCGACCTGTCCAAATTGACGCCTCTTTCGCCTGAGATCATTGCCAGACAAGCTACTCAAAATATCGGTATGTAATTGCTGTTTCTTGATAGCTTCAACACTTGCAAATGCGCATCATTCCTTGAATCTGATTTTTCCTGGAAATCAATTTACTAACGGTATTATCAGGCACAATCGGTCACGTCGCTCAGTTAGACACCCTCTCTCGCCATTTCCCTCATAAAAACACACTAACTCTTTTCTAGCGGTAAATCCACTGTGGTCAAGGCTATCTCCGAGGTCCAGACCGTTCGTTTCAAGAACGAGCTCGAGCGCAACATTACCATCAAGCTCGGTTACGCCAATGCGAAGATTTACAAGTGTGACAGCCCTGAGTGCCCCCGGCCTACATGCTACAAGAGTTTCAAGAGTGAGAAGGAGATCGATCCTCCATGTGAGCGTGAAGGATGTCAGGGCCGTTACCAATTGCTGGTATGTAACACTGTATTCCCTGAGGTCCAAAGTCAGAGCCTGCCTTAATTCTAAACTAACTCTCGATACAGCGTCATCTCAGGTACCATCAATCCCTAGCCTACCTACAGTCACAACTTGTAGGCTTCTTTTTCACTGGATATAAGCTAACCTTCTATCCCCAAACAAAGTTTCGTCGATTGCCCTGGTATGTTCGCTAGATCCTTCTCTGTCGAAATTAGAACACCGCTAATCTGCAATAATAGGTCACGATATTCTGGTCAGTAGCTATATTCTCAGACATATTAGACACTGCCGATCTCCTCGGGGTTTCTCGTCTTAACTTTGAGAGGTGATACTGACTAGCTTTGCGCAGATGAGCACCATGCTTTCAGGAGCCGCGGTCATGGTAGGTCTTTTCGTCGCTATGGAAATTGATCTCAAAGAATCGATGATCGACTAACATTTGTTCCCAGGACGCCGCTCTCCTCTTGATTGCCGGAAACGAAACCTGCCCTCAGCCTCAGACTTCCGAGCATTTGGCCGCCATTGAGATCATGAAGCTCAACAACATTATCATCCTCCAAAATAAGGGTAATCTTATTTATTACGAATTGAAGTGATGAACTGAAGCACTGACATCTTTTGAAAACAACATAGTTGATCTCATGCGCAGCGATAACGCCCTCGAGCATTACCAGTCGATTCTCAAGTTCATCCGTGGTACCGTCGCCGATGGCTCGCCCGTTATTCCCATTTCCGCACAGTTGAAGTACAACATTGATGCTGTCAACGAGGCCCTTGTGCACACTATCCCTATCCCTCCTCGCAACTTCGAGGCTACTCCCCACATGATGATCATTCGTTCGTTCGATGTCAACAAGCCCGGTGCCGAGATCGATGAGCTCAAGGGTGGTGTTGCCGGTGGTTCTATCCTGACCGGTGTTGTAAAGCTGAACGATGAGATCGAGATCCGCCCCGGTCTTGTCACCAAGGACGAGCAGGGCAAGATTCAGTGTCGCCCCATTTTCTCCCGCATCGTGTCTCTCTTCGCTGAGCACAACGACCTCAAGTTCGCCGTTCCCGGTGGTTTGATCGGTGTTGGTACCCGTGTCGACCCTACTCTCTGCCGTGCCGATCGTCTTGTCGGTTTCGTTCTGGGTCACCGTGGTCGTCTTCCTGCTATCTACACCGAGATTGAGGTCAACTACTTCCTGCTCCGCCGCCTGTTGGGTGTTAAGACCGCCGATGGCAAGCAGGCCAAGGTTGCCAAGCTTGCTAAGAACGAAGTCCTGATGGTCAACATTGGTTCCACTGCAACTGGTGCCAAGGTTATCGGTGTTAAGGCCGATGCCGCCAAGCTCAGCCTGACCAGCCCTGCTTGCACGGAAGTTGGCGAGAAGATTGCCATCAGTCGCAGAATTGAGAAGCACTGGCGTCTGATTGGATGGGCCAACATTGTTGCGTAAGTTAACAGGTCCGGTTTTACTTTATTGACATATGCTGACTATCTTACTTTGCAGTGGTAACACCCTCGAGCCTGTGCAGCAGTAAAGCAATTCTTTGAATGATGTCCCAGTTCGACATGGGGAGGTTAGGAAATGAGATCTGTTGTTTCGGAGAAACTGCACATAAAACTTGCTATATCCCTGGCCAACAATCTCAGTCCACCAACTCTCGAACACGATCCTTGCGATCTCTGATCGCAGAAAAGTTTACGGTCATGACGAGTCGGAAAATTTAAAGACGTGATTTAACTGATTCCCCCGGCTGAATAGAGAAGATGGGAGAGGAGACATGCAATTCTCGTCGTCGCCATCTTAATCAGTTTACCTGCTCCATGCATGTGAGCAACCACTTTGTTTCCAAGGTTGGTTTGCACCTGTATGCCAGAGTTTGATTTGAGGGACGGACGACGAACGGGATGCAGGTGATGGCGAATAAGAAAGGGGATTTGTGTTTCAATCGTAAGGGGAGTTGATTTCAAGAGTATTTCCTGTTCATTTCTCATTTTATGTCTGCATCATCAGATCCTATGTAGATAGGGCCTATACAGGTCTGTGGCTGAAAATGCAGGGAAATCAGGGCTGTAGCAATTTAAGAGCTTCTGCATTTTATTTGAATCATAGACTGTAAATGGGCTTTTTTTCTTGCGGAAATAAGAAATCTTCCCTTTCAACTGCTTGGTCTGAGGCTATAGGCATAATGTATGCATGTAGATAGACCAGATGTCGGCGTTGGCGCTGAAACAAGTGTACAGAGTATATATTGGTGCAACAGCAACCACAACGTTTGTATATAGCATTGTTTCGTAAAGGGTGGCTATATGCTTACTAGACTATCAACAATAGTCACGAGTCTTCATAATTATAAAAACATGGCCGATATAGAAGACAAAATACTCTTGAAAGCCCCCGTCAAATGGTTGTAGCCCTGGAGCGAGTTCGTATAGATCTTCAACAATGACATCAGCATGGGATCTTGATCCAACTATAGCTATCTTACCACGCATATGTGATTTTTCCACTCCAATTCACTTGCCTAATTCTCATATGGGATGTTCAGTCTTAGATTAAAAAAAAGACATCACTTGTTCGATAGACGCCAGATCTTGAGGTTGATGTTGCGTTAGGCCCAAGCCTGGCTCAGTCATGCATGCGATCTGACTAAGGCTACATGTACCCATAATAACAAAGTAGCATCTTCGGCCCTGAACCACGCTCCTTTCCCTCGCCTAGTTGCGCGATTCCAATCATGTACATCCTCGAGGTAAGTCGATTTGACTGAAATATGTTATCTCTGCAGGGTAAATTTGATTCTCATGGTGGACACCTTGCTAATATTCTTCTCTAGCAATTGGCGCGCCTGCTCGATCGGCCGCTCTTCCCATGGAAGAACGTGCTCGTTGGCTTCTCATTGGGCCAGTTCGTCCTTGAAGGCTTCCTCTCCCTTCGTCAGTACAAGTTTCTGCAACGCACAAAAGCCCCTAAGGTTCTCGAAGGGGAGGTTACTCAAAAGGTCTTCGACCAGAGTCAGGTATGGGCGCGATGACCGAGCATTATACCACACATAGACACTGACTGGGACATCATTACAGGCATACGGTCGCGCCAAGGCCAAGTTTGGCTTCGTTTCCGGTCTTTACGGTCAAATTCAAAATCTTGCATTCATCTACGGCGATGTCCTCCCTAAGATCTGGGGACTCAGTGGCTTGGTGCTGGCGCGGTATCTCCCTGGTCGGTTCCAAGGCGAAATCTGTCAAACATTGGTATTCTTCTTCGGTTTCAACATTCTAAGCACTATCCTTTCGCTGCCCATCTCGTACTACAACACTTTTGTGCTCGAGGAGAAGTTCGGCTTCAACAAGCAGACGGTCAAGCTTTGGATTACGGATATGCTCAAGGGTCAGATGCTTGGGGTTGTTCTCGGAACTCCCATCATTACCGCTGTTCTCAAGATCGTTCAGAAGTTTGACACTTCATTCTACTACTACCTCTGGCTGTTTGGTGTCTTCCTTCAGATCTTCGCCATCACTATCTACCCCATTGCGATTCTGCCTTTGTTCAACAAGCTATCCCCCCTCGAACCTGGTGAACTCAAGACTGGTGTCGAGAACCTGGCCAAGAGGCTCAACTTCCCTCTCTCGGAATTGCACGTCATTGACGGCAGCAAGCGCAGCGCCCACAGCAATGCTTACTTCTACGGTCTGCCATGGAAGAAGCACATTGTCATTTATGATACCCTGATTGAGAAGACCGAGCCCGAGGAGGTTGTTGCTGTTCTGGGTCACGAGCTTGGCCACTGGAGCCTCAGCCACACCACCAAGCTGTTCGGCATTGCCCAGGTACGAATATGCTTAGTTTCCCTTATAGTGGATTGTCACTGACCATTTGATTTAGTTCCACATGTTCTACATCTTCGCCCTCTTCTCTGTCTTCGTCAACAACAAGTCGCTGTACCAGTCCTTCGGATTCGTCAAGGAACAACCCATCATGATTGGTTTCCTGCTCTTCTCTGACGCTCTGGCTCCCATGGATGCTCTTGTGAAGCTTCTTATGAACATCCTCAGCCGGAAGTTCGAGTTTGAGGCTGGTATGTTCTGTTGCATCTATCAAACCTATCCTCAATTATACTAACAACATTCCTCAGATGAATTTGCCCAGAACCTTGGTTATTCCGATAAGCTCGCCTCTTCGCTCTTGAAGCTCCAGATCCAGAACCTGAGCACCATGGATGCTGACCCGATCTATGCCAGCTACCACTACTCCCACCCCATCCTCACCGAGCGTCTCGCTGCGCTTGGCTGGAAGGGTGGCAAGGTTACCAGCAGCAAGGAGGAGGACAGTGAGACGCCTGTCAAGGCTGCTGACCGTGAGCTGTAAAACATATGCTCATTTTACTCGTAGTTTCACATCAAATTGGCTATGATATCTGTGCCAGCAAAGCAGGATGGAGAACCAATCTCGAGCGAGGCTTGGAAATGTTCCATTATGTATTGATTGGATTGTAGCAATCCGTCTAAACTCTAAATGACACTTTTTGTCCAGACATGAAATGCGAGTAGTACTTTTGTATGTCCAAAACGAAACCCAGCCCAGAAAGAGCGATAGAACGAAGGAAAGAACGAAGACTCCGACCCAATGCAGCAACGCCTACAACCCAAATATATACCCACGCACTTAGTCGGAGTCCTCGGCCTTTGCCCGGGCCTTCTCCTTCTTCTCCGCCAAGCGCCTCTCCTTCTTCTTGCGCTTGCGCTCCTCCTTATCAATACCAGCCTCCTGGTCCGCAAACGCCTCAGCCTCCGTCTCGAACTCAGCATCGTTCATGGTAACATCATTGCTGTCGTCCTGCTCATCCTGGTTGTTGGTCTGCGCAACACCCGCAGCAACATCCAGGTAGTCCTCTCCAGGGTTCTGCTTGGCGACGGTCAGATCGCGGCCGAGGACCTCACCGGCAAGACCAGCTTGCACGCGCTTCAGGTTGTGCAGGATCAGGTTGGGCGCTGCGGTGGTTGTCCGCGAGATGGGGCCGTGCTCGCTGATGCTGGCGTTGGGTTGCAGCGCTGGGTCTGTCGCGGCGCGATCAAGGTAGGCCGCTAGGAATTCCTGCGCCGCGGACTGGCTGATGGTGTGTGTGTTCTGCACTGTCACTGGGGGCAGAGCCTGGGGACCTTGGGTAGCCATTTTGGTGGAATTGGTACTGTTCGCCGGGTTTGATGGGTGGGATTTTGAGATTGGAGGGCGGTGGTGGTGGCAATTATGGAGTGATTTGGCCTGGTGGTGGAATTGAGAAAACTGGTGTCGAGTTTCTCCCGAGTTTAGTGTAGCTTGCCAGCAGGACAGAGAGTTGTATGGGCGATGTCGAGCATTTCGCATCTCGAGATCAAAAAAGTTCGGTGACGCTAGACCCGATTGGGTATGTCTTTCAAACGGGATGCGCTTCAAGTACAATTCATGTTGATAGCTTAAAGAACGTGTAGGCTGTTGTAAGTAGATAATATATTCACAATTGGTCTGATTATATCATTGTAAATATCATAAATACCTAGATAACTACTGCACATATTGCACGAGACATACATCTCCAGGCGGGTCCGTGCTTCGGCGGCTCCGCGCTTAATTTTCTGTCTTCCGACGCCGCGTCTTGTCCACCAGGCCTGACTCGATCTCCAACTCCAAGAACGTCCTTTAATCTCGCCTCAATTGCCCCAGAACCAAACACCGGGCCCTCAAAATGTTCTGCCTTCGCTCCCGGGCCGTGCCCTCAGCCTTCCGGGCCACCACATCGGCCATGCGGACCCCAATGACCAGGTACGCAAAGCCCCAAACCAGCCAGCAACCGTTGCATCTCGAACCAACCAGCCAGCTAACATCATAACCCACTCTGTAAAGATTCGCTCAAATCCCGCAACAATCCAGCACACCCTCCACAATGCTCTCATCCCGCTCCTTCTCCTCCCTCCTCTCCACACCAACCCGCTTCCAACCCTCGCAAACACTCGGCGCCCGCTTCTCCTCGCCAGCCACATCCGCCTTCTCGCCGCTGTCATCACTCCTCTCCCAGCAGGCTCCCCAGCAGACCCGCTCGTTCTCCGCAAGTGCCTCCCTCGGCGTGCGCCGTGTGACGTTCCGGCCATCGCGCCGGGTTCAGAAGCGCCGCCATGGCTACCTGGCGCGCAAGAAGGACCGTAATGGACGCAAGACTCTTATTCGCAGAACTCTGAAGGGTCGCAAGGAGTTGAGTTGGTAGATTGTTCGCTTCGGGGTTGAACTGTGAACAGTTGTCGAAGATGATGGGATTTATACCAAAGAGGACGGTATGGGTTGGATAGATTGGAATCCATGCCATGGGATAGATTGAAGGGAACAACTACCGAGATTCTGTTCTTGGGACTATCATAGTCTTTGGGATTGGATCCGGGTTCAGGCAAGACGGTTGTCGGCGGGTCTTGTCTGGCGTGTACCATATTTACCTCTCCTGAGAGGATGTGTGTGTGACTACATTTTCATATAGTGCGAATATTTTCAGCTTTGTTTGGTTTAGTTGTGGACTCAATGTTTCGTTGAGAATTGCATCATGTTTGTAGGAAATAAGAGAGTAGATTCATTATCTAGGTTACGTAGAGCCTTTCGACACCACAACACCGTTCTCTACTTTGCTACCTGTATACATGTCATTCATCAGGCATATCACTCATCATCACTCTCGTCTTCGCTATCTTCCGATCCGGATTCATCATCCTCGTCATCTTCGTCGTCTTCGTCTTCGTCATCATCCTCATTCTCGTCGTTACCCTTTAGACCATAGTCATCCTCAAATTCCTTAAGAGGCTGAACAACGGGAGTGAAGCCGGAAGCCTCGAAGCCCTGCTTGATAGTCTGTTCACAGATCGAGTTAGTAATTTATACCGGCAAGGGAAGAATAGAAAGAACAGCTTACCTCTTCCAAGACAGTCGCGCAGGTGACAACCAGGTTCGCCTTCTTCGGGTCGAACATAGGCAAGATAATGTCACGTAGAGCACCCTTGATCTGATCAGTGGTGATAGCGCGCACATTCTTGAGCATCTTCTCCTTATAGTCGCTGGGCAAGTTGCGCACGACCTGGCGGATGAAGCTGCCCTGAGCAGCACTGACAGCGGTCATCTGTTCGTTGGCGAAGTTGACCACAATGCTGCTGATGGCACCCTCCAACATGAGAGGATCGAAAGGCGTAGCACCGCTCAGGTAGTTCTCAACAATCTGCTTGCTAGACTCGAACGCCTTGTGAGCGTTGGGAGACCGGTACACATCGAAGTTGACAAAGCCAGTGTCGATGTTGTAGCTGAAGTTGGTACCGTACGCCAGTCCAGTGCCACGGACTGCAACCCAGAGGGGACCCTCGACGGCGTTCATGTAGGAGATCGCGACGAGCAAAGCGGGCAGCTCAGGAGCATCGTACGAGTCCAAACCACGGCCGGTGGCATAGGCGAAGGACGAGTCGATAGTGGGCATGGGGACAATGTAGGACTTGCCACCAACAGTCTTACCGGCATCACTCAGACGGGCTCGGCGGTTGGTAATAGGTCGCAGATCAGTGCTGGTGCCCAGGGTCTCAGCGAAGGGCTTCCAGGCCGAGACGGGGTTCTGGAGCTTTTCGAGATCGGCAATGACAATCACACGCACGTTGTCGGGTTTGAAGAGCGAAGTCCGGATCTCCTCCATGCGGCTCACAATTTCCTCGGGGCTGTCAGCGAGCAGACGCTTGACGCGCTTGAGATAGCGAGCCTTGACCAAAGTGGAACGAGCGCGCACGATTGACTCCTCTGCGTAGTGAACCATCACATGCACGGCAGCAAGCATGTCGTCACCGCTGCGCTTGGAGTCGGGCACATCAGCCAAAAGACGGGAGTTGATGGCTCGGAGTCTCTCCACATCGAAGACAGACTGCCAGCACAGCTCCTGCAGCCAGGCGATGGCATTCTCATACTTCTCTAGCTCGACCTGGAATGAGACACGGAGCATTTCTGAGTTTCCAAGACCGCGAGCAGTCTCCATCGAGTATCCGACAGTATCTCTCTCCAATTCCACCACAACCTGCTCAAATTCGATTGTCTTGCCATCGCGCTGCACCGGAATGTTGAAGAACGCTTCGGTGTAGATCGACAACAATGGACGCAACTGAACAGGGACAGAATCAGCTGAGATGAGGACTGACAGCTGGACAAAGCTGCTGGGGATATGCTCGAAGTGGATGAAGAGAGACTGATCAGACTTATCGGCTTCGACAACGGTTTGAATCTTGTTGTCAGGGCGTCCAGCCTTCAGGGCAGCACCCGAGCGAGCCGTGGTGGTTTCCATGAAGTGAATCGACTCAGTTCCGGGAATAGCGAACTCTTCAAGCAATTCTTGCGGGATCTCCTTGTCATTCGCTGCCTTCGCCTTCTCGAGCTTGTCGGCAAGCTCCTTCAAGCCCTTTTCACCGAGACGCTCCTTCTGTGCAGCGGCCCGATCCTCCTCGTCCTTCTTCAGTGTCTCAGACATCTTCTGAGATGGGACACCCAAGATAGTGACATGGGCTGCATCGGAAATCCACTTTTTCATGAAATCGCGCCACTGATCCTCAGACCAGGTCTCAAGGACATCATATTCCTTCAGAGTTGCAACATCCATCAGGGTCGACCCGTCGCGCTTTCCGAATAGGAAATCAGAGATGACGTATTCTGCGAACGAGGAGGCGGAGGTCTCAGTTGAGAACTTCCAGGTTCGGCGCTGTCGGGCAATGCACTCCTTCAAGTACTTCAAATCCAGTTCCTTGGACATCGCATCTTTGAGGATTTCAAAGAATCTCTTCTCGACCTCCTCCAACTTCTCAGTCTCGACACTGGTCAAAGTGAAACGAACCTCCATGCTAGGGCGATCCTCGGTTGCATAGTAGACGGCACTGGCAAGCTGTTCTTTCTCAACAATGATGTTCTCTAGCAGAGCTGCGGAAGAACCAGCCAGGTACAGCAGTGACACATTCAGAGCACCAGCTATGAAAGTGTAAGTAGTTAATCTGATATGTTTGAATTCTGAATCTTACATTGGACAGGATCGGTGCAGTCGGGTCCCATGAATCGAATTTCAACTTCGCCAAATGATTCATCTTCCTCAGGGAACTCAACCTTCTGAATCGCGGACTTCTCCAAATAAGGTGCCTGTTTGGAATCCACCCAAGGCCTCTTGAATGGCGCATCCGGGCTAGGAATAACATCCAAGATAGTGTCTTCAAACTTGTCCAGGATATCCAGCATGTTGTTCTGGTCGACTTCTCCGGTGATGATCAAACACAAGTTCTTGGGCTGATACATCTCACGGTGGAACTCGCGAATCCGCTCCGCAGGCAAAACACGAAGCTGTTCCATCATACCTCCTGTCTCATAGCGGAAGCCCACACCAGGCGGGTAGGTCAATCGCCGGGCTGCCAGATCGATCAGCTCAGCAGAATTGTTCTGTACACCCTGCATCTCGGAATACACGACACCGGCATCATTTCCAGAGCCGTCGACGTGGTGAACCTCCGTGTAGCAGCCTTCATCAGTCAGAGTGGGAGCAATCACATGCTCCAGATAGACTGGCAGGATACGAGCAAAGCCTTCCCAGCCTGCGGTATCTAGCGTGTAGGCGGTGTGATCAGTTGCAGTCCAAGCATTGGTGCTGGAATACACGCGAGTAGCCAGCTTATCCAAAAAGCCCTTGTAGCGATAATTGCGAGAACCCATGAAGCACAAGTGCTCCAGGGTATGAGGGGCGCCGGAATCATCGTGGATTTCGGTGGCAAGCACGAAGTAACCGTTAACCTTGGGTCCCGGCTGGTCGATAACGACCACTCTCATGCCAGTGCGCTGTGATTCATACTGAGTGAACTCGCTCGGCGAGTAATCAGGCTTGAACTGCTGGAGCAGTTTGAAGTGACTGTTCTGCACCGAGGGCGACATATTGATCAATGGGGCAGACCCAATGAATATATTCCGCCGAACGCTTGACAGTCTAGAGGATTGCGTTAGCAATTTTTGATTCTCGGGTCATAGGCATTTGATACAATCATAAACACGTTCACGATGGGGAATAAATTGATAACCAGTACAAGAACGAGTCGGAGGCGACAAGGATATTCACCGGCTCCGAGATGAACTCGAAGAGAACGGAAACAAAAGCAACAAGAAAAAAACCCATCCATATTATGCCCTGAAAGGACGTATCCAGCAGAACTGCCACATGTTGCCAAAGATAAGTGACATAGGTGGGGGAGAACAGAAATTTGGGCGATAGAGGGTTGATACCCCTCTATAGACAGGCAGGACGCATGAAACACCTTTGACTTACAGGAAACACGAATTTCTTGCCCGACTCAGGCTGGGGAGAATTCGAGACACGGTGAGTCTGATATGGTCTTGTGTGTTGGACCCAGGCGGAGTTTCCAAGGTAGTGGTCCCGTTTCCTTACAAAGCGGCAACTGAAAGAAGTGATTAAACAAAGGGAAATATCGGCTTGTAAAGTATTGACAGCCAGTCACATTCGAGCATGTGGTCTTAGTGTTCTTTTCTTTTTTTCTCTTTTCTTTCTCTTGGAAAGACATCTAGAACAAAGCATACACGTGGGGCGGTGACGCCCAAAGTCACGGGTTGTTGACAGCGCAACTCTTCCTTTACCATCTATCCCCGAAGTTTCGACGTGTTCTCTGTTCGATCATTCGTGCTTCATTTCTACCGAGAACATTGGCGCCATGCCAGGAACTATCGGAGACGAGGGGCTGTGCCAGGCGGTACTAGGCTTTGTCGCCGGAGGGACTTATCCCGAGGAGAATGTAGTTGCCAGCAAGTTCCCGGCAGCTGCTCTCGCTAGGGAATTGGAGCTCATAGCGAAGGCGCGTGAGCAGGTAGAGGTATGAAGTCCCCAATAGCCCATTTGATTAAGTTCGTGGTTGCTGACTCTGGGCCGTGCCTGACTAGAATGAGATTAGTTCCCTGAGTCGCGAGAACACCACCTTCGATGCCGACAACTGGATCATCCAAGCGAAACAACTTCACGCCGATATCGAGCGCTCAAGATTGACTGCGCGAGAAATTGTCGCGCAGCACGAGCATACTGAACCTCTGCAGGCGAAGGTTGAAGATGCGAGGGCCAAAGTCGCCTTGGTTGAGACGGAGATAGCCTTCAACCAAGCCGTAGCAGGTACCTTGGAGGAAGTGCAACGTCTGTGCCAGCAGCTGGAGACCGGACGAGTTGCTCTCAGGAATGGTCAGATCACCACCGCCATTGAGCAATTGGAGTCTACCGACGCGGCTGTTGGGAAGGATGCCTTTTTTACCAATACAAATGTCATGAGTATACTCTCCGATGAGGTATCACTGCTGCGATCGGAGATTGTCGAGGCTCTTCGTTTGCGTTGGGCCGAGCAGCTGAAGGTTGACCGACAACAAGGGGAATTCCGGGTCGCCAGCACAGATACAGATATGGATTCTCTCGAGAGCACTATTACGTCGCTAGCCCGACTGGATATACTCATATCTGCTAATGAAAAGCTCCAAAAGAACCTGTTGTCTGCGATCATTAATCCGATCTTGCTACCTGGCCCCAACGGAACCAGCCATGGTGTAGTAGTGACGAAGACTAGCATTCGCATTGAGCCTGAGGCCTCAGAAGCAACAGCATCGGAGACGCTGGATCGCCTGTCCGAGGTTTTGGGCTACTTGCGAGAAAGTCTACCCACATCAGTGGCTGCGAATTTCTCGGAATCATTCATTGCGATAATTTCCTCGAAGGTGATCTCCGAGTGGCTGTCTTCTGCTATCCCCACCGATTTAAGTGGTCTTGCTGAATTTGAAAACACCCTGAACCGGGTTTTACAATTCACCAAGCAAATAGATTCCTGGGGCTGGACTGGCCAAGAAGAGCTCGTCTCATGGGTCAACCAAGCTCCCCGCTTGTGGTTGACTCGACGCAGGGTAGACTCGCTTGATAGCGTCCGCAAGGTCCTTGCTGCTAGTCAGGGAACGACAAAACAGGTCGAGCGAATTGAAAAGGAAAAGGTTTCCCAGGCTGACGGAGCACTTTTGGAGAACGTCGTTCATGATGATTGGGACGCGGACTGGGGTCACGATAAAGAAGATGATGCGCCCGAGAAATCAACAAAGCCCGAGGAAGAAGAGGAAGACGTTAGTGCATGGGGGCTTGATGACGATGATACCCATGAAACTCCAGGCCAGACAAAACAAGACGAACCGTCTTCCATGGAAGATGATGACGCTGATGACGCCTGGGGCTGGGGTGACGATGATGAAGACGACCAAAAAGTCGATAGTCAGCCCGCGCATTCCCAGACCACTGCACAGAAAAAACCGGACGACGTCAAGAGTCTAGTTGGGTCTGCATCACCTAAAGAGGTCACCCTGAAGGAGGTATTCACAATCACCGATATCCCCGAGTCTGTTCTCAGAGTCGTTCAGCAGCAAATCAACGATTCAAAGGATATCTCGCAGCCTATGTAAGTCTTGCCTTATCCGACTACTTAGTTACATCAAACTGACGAGAGCTCAGACATGCCAACTCCCGTGTCGCTTCTTCTGGCGCTGGTCTTCTTGCACTGCCAACCTTGATATTGGCTATGTTCAAAGCTACCTCGTCCACATTTTACTCTCTGAAACTTAATTCAGGGCAGATGTACCTCTACAACGATAGTTTGTACCTTGCCGATGAGATACGCAAATTGGTTGAGGAGCATGAACTCTCCAGACTCCAGCCCGATGTCGAGGCCCTCGAGAAATTTGGCAAATTTGCGTATAGCAAAGAGATGCAAACGCAGCGCACGATTGTCACTGATCTGTTGGACGGTGCCCAAGGATTTGGACAATGCTCCGAGCAGCCCTTCCAAGCGGACTGTGAGAATTCTGTTGCCGCAACTGTGGACCGGATTCGCGATGTTTACAAGGAATGGCAACCTATTCTGTCTCATTCCGCGCTGCTTCAGTCTGTCGGGTCTCTCTTGTCTACAGTGATCAACAAGGTTGTTATTGACGTTGAAGATCTGGGTGATATTTCAGAGGACCAGTCCCGGCAACTGGTCTCCTTCTGCAACCAGATCTCTAAATTGGAGGACCTCTTTGTACCCGAGGCCGATGGTGATGCGGGAGCATTGCCAGTCACTGCCATCTATGTTCCGAGCTGGCTCCGTTTCCAGTATTTGATCAACATCCTTGAGAGCTCTCTCGCCGATATCAAGTTCCTTTGGCTCGAAGGGGAATTAGGCTTGGAGTTTTCTGCTGAGGAAGTGATCGACCTGATTGAGGCATTGTTTGCAGAGTCTGATCACCGGCGACGTGCTATTTCTGAGATTCGAAGAGCCCCTCGAGGATAGTTACCTGTAATGGAATAATATAATCCATTCCCTAATTTATCTTGAAGAAGTTGCAGTGTAGTTATCTCATTCAAGCACATACTTCAGGTACTTAGGTACACCGTAGGCCGAGTGGAGCCATCTCCGCGCTCTGCGCAAGTGTGCCGCACGGGTCAACGTATTTTTTCCTCACCCGCCGAAAATGCGACAGCCACCAAAAAAAGATTCCATCTGCAACATCGACGACGATTCAGACTTGACTTTACAATGAGTGAAGATTTGATGACCGCAGCAGAGGCTGCTCAGCGACAAGTCCGAGTGCAGCTTACCAGCCAACAGGAGGATATTGCTCTACCTGAAAGCACCGGCCCAATTCTCGTTCCTACTGGTAAAGGACCCGTTGCCGATCAAGAATCATAAATGGTAGCATTAGATACTGACTGTTATCTTTACTAGGCCTTCGACGATATGCGCTGTCCACACTGGTGAACAATCTTTTGGGGAGCGAAAAGCCCGTTCCCTTCGAGTTTTTGATCAATGGAACTTTTTTGCGGACCTCAATTGACGAGTATCTGGTTTCCAACGGTATCTCTGCTGAGACAACTCTCGAGATTGAATATGTTCGGGCTTTGACCCCGCCACTGCACATTGCCTCGTTCCAGCACGATGACTGGGTTAGCGCGACTGATGTCCTTTCCAAGACTTCAGCTGCTGCGTCCTGGGCGTCAGGTGCAACTTTCACCAAGGGCCAGGAAAGAATCCTGTCGGGAAGTTATGATGGTCTGCTTCGAATCTGGAATATGTCTTCTGAGACTATTGCGACCTCCCCTGCTGCCGCTGATGGAGGCCACACTGCATCTATCAAAGCCGCCAAGTTCGTCTCTCCGAACCAGATCGCATCTGCTGGTCTTGATCGCACAGTCCGGTTGTGGAAGTATACCGAAGGAGAGGGTGGGTTCACTGGAAAGATCTCTCCCCAGTTGGAACTCTACGGTCACAAGGCTGGAATCGAGTCACTAGCAGTCCATGCCAAGTCCAACCGTCTGTTGACTGGTTCGGCAGACAACACTGTCGGATTCTGGTCCACCAAAAAGGCTGATGCCCCGGCTGCACCAGAGAATCTGCTTCCATCCAGCAATGCCCGTAACACTAAGCGCCGCAGGTTGAACACATCCGTCAGCACTCCCCAGCGTGGCCCTCTGTCCCTCCTTTCAGCCCACACAGCACCCGTTTCTGCTGCTATCTTTGATGGAAAGGATGCTACTGTTGGTTACTCAGCCTCATGGGATCACTCTCTGCGGACTTGGGATTTGGTCACTGGTTCTCTGGTCGACACTCGCACAACATCACACTCACTCCTCTCGCTCGAACACCTCCCTGAACTCAGCCTGTTGGCTGCTGGTACCGCCGCTCGTCATATCACTTTGATTGATCCTCGTGCATCTGCCACGACAGTGGCTGCCATGACCCTCCGTGGCCACACTAATGCTGTTGTGAGCTTGGCTCGTGACCCCCACAGCACATATGGTCTCATCAGTGGTAGTCACGATGGTACATGCAGAATTTGGGATATTCGGTCTACCAAGACCGACAAGGAAGGTGTTGTTGGTGAGAGTGTTTACTCGATTACCCGGAAGAGCCTCCAGGATGAGGGCAAGTCGGATAGCAAGCGCGTTGGTGGCGAAGGTGTGAAGGTATTCAGCGTGTGCTGGGACAAGACGGTGGGCATTGTCAGTGCTGGTGAGGATAAGCAGATCCAAATCAACCGCGGTGAAGGTGTCCTGTCTTCACAGGCATGAGTACACATATGGGCGTGGCGTTTAACACTTGGTTGAGGGCAAAAGTTTAGACTTACATATATTTTTTCTCGCTGTTCCATCTACCTGTATATCTTGAGCTCGGAATTAGCCACCTACAAAACTCCAACCTGGCAAAGTCTACAATCTTGCTGTGTACCTAGTCTCGTTTCAAACCTTTCATTCACCCTAGGTTTGTGTCTAGCCTATAATACATCCACAGAGGGGTTCCATTCACATACAAACTGGCAAAGATTGAGTGCCAGGAATCAAGAAAACGCCAAATCCATGCCTCTCACGCAAAACTGTGAGACAATCCCATAAAAAGCAACAATCCAACACGACATCGCCAGGTTTATAGCCTCCGCTCCATGCGGTTCAGCTTGACGGGAGTTTTGATCTGTTGAGATTCTGTTAGCTATGACTGACTCAAGCGATTTTGCATCCATCCTAAGATATGAGGAGAGCGTGGTAAGCAAAAGGAAACCCACCTGAGTTCGTGTCCGCTGTCCCCTCACAGGCAGGCCCAGCGCATGACGTCGGCCGCGGTAAGTTCCGGTCTCCTTCATACGCTTGATGTCGTTCAGAACTTCTCTACGCAGGTCGTTCTCAATCTTCATATCCGAGAGCACGGCTGTCAGGTCGAGGACCTGCTTGTTGGCCAGCTCGCCAACGCGGCAGGTCGGGTGGATGTTGAAGCGGGACATGAGGCGGGCCGAAGAATTGTTGCCGATTCCGAAGAAGGTCTCGAGAGATTTCTGTTGTCCGCATTACGCGTTAGTTGATGATCAATATGGTCGAGGTATCGAGATTGCGGGCGCAACTGTGAGGGTTAACTTGCCTTGAGCAGGTTCCGCTCGGGGAAGTTGACACCAAGGATGAAAACCTGTCGGAGGATTGTTAGCAGAGGTTATTTGGAAAACTGAGTTACATCTTCAGAGTGGCAGCCGTACCATTTTGAACTGTGCGAGCTGGCTAGTGTCCTGACAATTGAATGGAGCCGTCACTTGTTGCTCTCGTTGAACTCCGGGAGAAATCCTCCGTCAACGTTTTTCCGTGCTCTGTTGGTGCCTGGGTTTCATGGCATCAACCCGCCTCATCTCCGCATCTCATTGCAAGCTGGCCTTCTTTCCCTCCCAATTGCTTCGTCTTCAACTCCCACTGTATTCTATTAGAGCAGTGGCAATTCGCAAGCATGTATTTCAGGAACTTCTTCTTGTCCCTTTTTTTGGTCTTCGCCGTCGGCTTCGCGCTGGTTCAGGCTGAAGAATCCAAGGAGCCTCGTGGCCCCAAGATTACTAGCAAGGTGATTAATATTGATATTCTTGACTGGTCTATACGCAGGAGATACTGATTGGTGTTAATAGGTCTACTTCGACATTCAGCATGGAGATGAGTCCCTCGGTCGCATCGTGATGGGCTTGTACGGCAAGACCGTCCCTGAGGTTCGTAGAGCTATTCCCCCATGGATTTAGCAATTGAGGATTGTTACTGACATGATTATCTGTATATCTAGACCGCTGAGAACTTCCGGTATGGCAGGCTTGCTCTGCCCATAGCTTCAATCTTTATTTTGCCTATGCTAACTCCCTTCTAGCGCTCTGGCTACTGGCGAAAAGGGCTTTGGCTACCAGGACTCTACTTTCCACCGTGTTATCAAGGATTTCATGATCCAGGGTGGTGACTTCACCAGGGGCGATGGTTTGTGAAACCGCGAGCAGGCTGAATTGCACGATATTGATCAAGTTATAGGCACTGGCGGCAAGTCGATCTACGGCAACAAGTTCAAGGATGAGAACTTCAAGCTGCGCCACACCAAGAAGGGCCAACTGAGTAAGTATCTTCGCTCAAAGGGATGATAAATCACAATAACTAATCATTCTTAGGCATGGCCAACGCCGGCAAGGATACCAACGGCTCCCAGTTCTTCATCACCACCGCTATCACCTCGTTCGTATTCCTTGATCGTAATGATTGCCTTTGGAAACAGCTGACTGACCCCATGCAGATGGCTTGATGGCCGCCACGTCGTATTCGGCGAGGTCCTCGAGGGCTACGAGGTTGTCGACAAGATCCAGAATGTTGCCAAGGGCTCCGGTGACAAGCCCAAGCAGCCTGTTAAGATCGTCAAGAGCGGTGAGCTCGAGGTGGAGCCCCAGACTGAGGCCGAGGACAAAGGTAGCCGCGATGAGCTCTAGACAGGTGACTGTCTGTGATGTTTTCTCTGCTGCTGGTCGGAAGTGGCTGATCATGTTGGACATTTTAAGAATTCGACCAAGAGCCAGCGATCTCCGATGAGGCTCCCGCTGCCGAGAACGCTACACCATCCTACCCCATGCAGCCGGTCCTTGTTTTCTTCGTTCTGGTTGCGGCCGTAGGTATCTGGTTTGTCCGCCGACGAGGCCAGCAACAGCAAGAGAAAGACCAGTACGATGCGTAGAAGGTGATTTTAGATCAGTTATACCTTATGTATTGAACAGTTTTTCATTTCGGCTTTGGTTTCGCCCCGATAACTCCCGTCATCATAAGTTGATAGATCATGTTACCTGGGTCACGTAGGTGGTGATATACTTCGGTGGACCCTCCCTCCAACGCATTGGCGCCGAAGATCCTCCAGTGAGATCACTCGCCTCTTATCTTAGTCAGACACATCCCTTGACCGCCCACGGGCAACTGGCGAGTAGAAATTTCTTCAGTGGCGGGAGGTACTTAGGGGGTACCTGTGGCGCTAGGGTTATTGCACTATAGATTAAAGTTCCTTGGAGGTACCGCCATCGACCACACAGCGACTCCAACTTTTGTTGCCTCCTTCCCACAGACTTCATCCACCCGTTCTCTCTTCTCTCTTGATCTAACCCCCTCCATCATCCCTTTTTTCAATCATCCCTCTCTCTCTTTTCTTCTCTCTGCCATAGAGCTCTTAGATTCGGGAGATTTGCATTTTCCATCTTCTCTGTGGTTTTTCGGAGCTTTTTTGTTTACCACTCGATCTTTTTTTTCTTTTCTTATCGAGTGAAACAGAAAAGCGATTTAATCTTTCCACCCTCTCTCTCATTTTTGAAGATATTCTCCACGTGAATTTCTTCTTCTTTGCAAGCATCTTTTCCAGATAACTTGCGCCTTATCTACGACCAACGAAACTTTTTTCGGTGAAGCAAAAAAAAAACTGTTCGTACATCTTACCCCTGCTTCAGTCCACTGTGCAGCTTCTAACCTGACTTTTTTTTTACTTGCCACAGACAACCACCAATATGGCCGACGGTTTGCAAATGGGAAATCTTTCCCTCAACGAGTCCCAGCACGCCCCCCAGGGTAATGCCCCTGTTGGCCGTGCCGCCTACATTCCTCCTCACCTCCGTCAACGCGGCTCTGGTCCCGCCCCGGGCCCTGCTGCCAACGCCGATGAGGCTCCTGCCGGACCTGGCTTCGGTGGCCCTCGGTACAGTACCCCCCAACAACTGAATCATTGTAAGCACCAACTGATCTCCTGTTTGTTTTACAGCAACGGTGGTGGTAACTGGGCCAATGCTAACGCTCCTAACTTCAGCCCTCGTGGCCCTGCAAACGGTATGACCAACTGGACCCCGGACGGGCGACTCCGACCCTTCAATCCCAATGCTTACGGAAACCCAGGATCTTCTTACAGTGGCGGCAGCAGCAGCAACTACAGCGGTGGTGGTTCCCAGCAAGCTCGTGGCTCAGGAGATGGCCAGTGGCGCGATGGCAAGCACATTCCCGGCCCCGCTAACGCCCGTGTGGAGCGCGAGCTGTTCGGTGTCCCCAACGACCCCACCAAGCAGCAGACTGGAATCAACTTCGCCAACTACGATGATATTCCCGTCGAGGCCTCCGGAAATGACGTCCCCGAGCCTGTCACCCAGTTCACTAACCCCCCTCTGGATGACCACCTGATCTCCAACATCAAGCTCGCCAGTTATGTTATCCCTACCCCCGTGCAGAAGTACTCCGTCCCCATCGTGATGAACGGCCGTGATCTTATGGCTTGTGCCCAGACCGGTTCCGGTAAGACTGGTGGCTTCCTTTTCCCCATCCTTTCTCAGGCTTTCCAGAACGGTCCTTCTGCTACCCCTGCCCAAGGTGGTGGCGGTGGTCAGTTCTACGGCCGTCAGCGTAAGGCTTACCCCACCTCTCTCATCCTCGCTCCTACTCGTGAGCTTGTCTCTCAAATCTTCGACGAGGCCCGCAAGTTCGCTTACCGCTCATGGGTTCGCCCTTGTGTCGTCTACGGTGGTGCCGACATTGGCTCTCAGCTTCGCCAAATCGAGCGTGGTTGCGATCTGCTTGTTGCTACTCCCGGTCGTCTCGTCGATCTGATTGAGCGTGGCCGTATCTCACTGGCCAACATCAAGTACCTTGTTCTTGATGAGGCTGATCGCATGCTGGACATGGGTTTCGAGCCCCAAATTCGCCGCATTGTCGAGGGTGAGGATATGCCCTCTGTTGAGGACCGCCAAACTCTCATGTTCTCGGCCACCTTCCCCCGGGATATTCAGATGCTTGCACGTGATTTCCTCAAGGACTACATCTTCTTGTCCGTTGGTCGTGTCGGAAGTACCTCCGAGAACATTACCCAGAAGGTCGAATACGTCGAGGATGCTGACAAGCGCTCCGTTCTTCTGGATATCCTCCACACCCACGGCAGCACTGGTCTCACCCTTATCTTCGTCGAGACCAAGCGCATGGCTGATTCGCTCTCCGATTTCCTCATCAACCAGCGTTTCCCTGCGACCGCTATTCACGGTGATCGTACTCAGCGCGAGCGTGAGCGTGCCCTTGAGCTTTTCCGTAACGGTCGCTGCCCTATTCTGGTTGCCACTGCTGTTGCTGCCCGTGGTCTCGATATCCCCAACGTGACCCACGTCATCAACTACGATCTCCCCACTGATATTGACGACTACGTTCACCGCATTGGTCGTACCGGTCGTGCCGGTAACACCGGTATCGCCACTGCTTTCTTCAACCGTGGCAACCGCGGTGTTGTTCGCGACTTGCTCGAGCTCTTGAAGGAGGCTCACCAAGAAGTCCCCTCTTTCCTGGAGAGCATTGCCCGTGAAGGCAGCGGATTCGGTGGTCGTGGCCGTGGTGGTGGTGGCCGTGGCCGTGGCTCTACTGCTACTCGTGATGTGCGTCGTACCCCTGGCGGTATGGGCATGGGTGGTGGTTCCTTCGGTGGTGCTGGCTACGGCGGCTCCAGTGGCGGTGCTCCCTCTTACGGTGGCAGCTACGGTGGTAGCAGTGGTGCTGCTCCCTCCTACGGCGGCGGTGGCTACGGCGGCGGTGGCAGCTACGGCAACCCATCTGGCTCCTCCGGCCCATCTTCCTGGTGGTAAATCAGTCGTGGTCTTTTGACGAGGCCCTCGGGTCTGATTGGCTCCCTTGCTTTATTTCCTTTTGTCTCTCGTTGACGGATACGATCAGATTGAGTCCCTGAGTTCTCTTTACCCTTTGCTCTCTCTCAGGGACGGCTTTGTCATGACTGCCACGACTCTCCTATGCTTGTTTTAGATTCATTTTTTTCCTTTCCTGCTTGCGCATGTTTTAATCTTGTTCCCTTTGCTGTTCCCCTCGTGCCTCTCTTCGTTGTTCTATTCCTGACTATTCAATGTCGGCTTGTGTAGACACGAGGCATTTGCGCAGTCCGGTCTTCTTTTCTTGCTCCTGGAGGATGCCACTTTTCTCTTTGGGCAACTTGTGATCGAAACTGCATGAACATCATAGAATGCGTTGTCCTTTTTTTCCTATGTCCGCTCTCGTCAGATACCCCTTATGTTCGAGCGTCCCCAACGGGGACACGTTCGAGTGACGCGCGTGCGCCGAGCGGAGAATGATGACTTTTCATCATCTCGAAAAGTTCTCTTTTTATTCGCATCCATCTCGGTGTTGTTATGGCTGCATTCATCATATGCAGCATAGACTTTTTACAGCGTCGGTATCTCATGGCGGACATTTCTTTCTGTTGCTGCCCTCGTGCGTTCTGCAGTCGAATTTTTTTTCGAACAAAAAAGCACCTGCGCTTTCTTTCTCCGGGATCTATATTTTCGGGTACTGATTGTTCGGCCGTTTTATGGCACGATGCGCTGGTGCGTTTCGAAACAAAAATGGTACTATTCTTTGCATTCTGTATGGCGTTGGCTTGACCTGCAACCGCATGTCCTCTGCTTTCGGGTCCGTGGAGGCTGATTGTTTCCCAATGGAAGCACACTGCTTCGTTTCTTTGTTTGTTCTGATCATTTTTCTCGGACCTCGGAGGATGGGACGCTGTCGCCGCCGCTGGATGAATGAGTATCCTTACGGTTTTCTCACATGGGTTTGAATTGGGAGGAAAAACGAACCATGGGGCCCTGAGATGGCCACGAGAAGGAAAATTCTCTTATCCAATGCAATTTCGAAAAAAAAGAGTGTTTCCAATTATCTATGTATCTTGGTATAGTGCGTACTATGTACCGCATACACGTAGTGTGGTGTAGTGTAGTGTTAGACCGGTGGGAGCCGTATCCGGAGCCCTGGAGTACAAGGCATGCATGAGATTGCCATGGACTATTGAGCTCTCAATGTATCTAGGGACGGGGTATAAAATGAGGAGCTAAATTCTGGGTTTTTGATTGCTTCGCTTACGGCCAATCTAATTAGATTCATCATTCCAAGATGAGAATGCGTGGCATTAACGCATATTAAACGCGTACATGCTGGGATACGGGTAGATATCCAGCTATACCTTCATGGGCCACTCGGCACTGCTTTCTTCCTCGATTTTCCGGAAACTCTGACTTCGTTTCTTTTTTCCTTTTTTCACTTGGCACTGCATTCTTTTCCACCACCCCCCTTCTCATTTTCTTTTCTCTCTTTTGTGTTCTTTTGTTCTTTTGTCTAGTACTTCTGCCTCATCATCGGCCGGCGCCTCCTAGGGGGCGACTCTAGTACTCCCAACCTACGATTTTCACTTAAACCGTGTCGCGGACGTGCGATCGCTCACAGTAAATCCAAATGGCTGATTTCGAGAACAGCATGATGGATGAGTCCTTCGCCGCCTCCGAGGCTGCGGATGACCAGTCTCACGGCATGACCGCCAGCGCGACGGTCGGTACAAGGCGGCAAGCGAACGGCACAATTGGCTCTGTCTACTCAGGCAACAAGATTCGACACCTGAAGAAAGAGGATGGCATACCTCTGTGGCGCAAAGATATCCAGTATCAATTCCTGAAGCTGGTCTTTGAGGACAAAACACCGGTTTTCACGCGGTATCCTGACGGACAAAAGGGAATGGACTTCGCAGATGTCTACATCAATGCAATGGCCCGGAGCAGCAAGACTAGCAAGATCCTCAAGGATAAGCTACAAAATGACAAGCCTGCTGCTATCAACATGGCTATGGTCTGTCTGCTGGTCAATTTCGGTCGCATGAACACAACCCTGAACTGTACGCCTGCAACTATATGATATCATGTTTATTGTTACCATGCTAATTGCTATTGTTCTCGCTTCTAGTCTTCCCCGAAATGCGTGCTCAGCTTCGAACCTACCACTCGATTCCCTCGCTTCAGGCGCACCAGGACTCCAACGCCTATAAGCAGTTACAGGATGCTCCACGTCTCAAGTCCATTCTCAAGGGCGCTTCAGAAGATGTTGATCAACCAAATACGCTGGAAAAGATTAAGCGACAGACTATACCTCGGACCAATCCGGTGAACTTGATTTTTGTGCTGGCGCAATACGCCCCCAAAGTGTCGGAAACGCACTTCTTCCCCCCGCGAGACTTTTTTGACCTGGTCATGAGGTCCACACTTAGCAGTCAGAGTCGCGCCAGGGCGTTCCTCTGGTTGATGTGGTGGTACCTGGAGAGTGATTTCAGCCGCGAGGCTGCTCTGAACAATCCATTCGGTCCAGGTCTGGAAGGCGAGGGTTCCGAGGGCTTACCTTTGAAAGTGCCTGCCTTCGATATCTTGACGGAAGAACAAGCCAGTGAGGAGAATGTGGACACACCGGAGGAACAGGAATACGGAGAGTCCAAGAGGCTCGAACGCAAGCGTACGTGTACCGAGTGCTAGCTATTATTGATGAGAAGCATGACTGACATCTAGTTCAGGGATCCTGGAAGAAGAGGAACCACTACCGCGCGTTCCCAAGCGACCCAAGAAAGGTGAGCCCACAATCTCAGATGTACCGTTCATGCGCATCTCAAAAAAGCTAACATCAAGTTACCGCAGAATATGGTTTCGACGAAGACTCATTTGCTGGGGACTACTCTGGGATGGGAGGCCGTGGCTCTGCTATGTCCACTCCTCTTCACCCTTCCGCTAAACGGAGTTTGGATGATGACGATGATGATCTAACTCCTGGGCATTCACGCCCACGCCCTAAGCAAGCCAAGCGCGAATCATCACTTAACCGAGCTGTCGGTCAACAGCGACTCATCTTAAAAACGAGAATGGAGCATACCCCCGATGCTTCTCCTGCTCCTCCGGGCTCCAACCATCCGGTCCTAAATCGCTTTATCGCTGAGCCGTCACTTTCTTCAGCACCTACCGCGCGTCGGTTACGACCACTTACACAGCACCAGATCGCCGTTGAGCAAAACCGTCGGCAGCGGATTGATTATTTGCTCGCCAAGCGTAAATCTAATGCATACCGCGTTCTCCGTGCTAAACGGGAGAGTGAAATTCCTTTCGGGCGTTACGGTCGCTTGCTTCAAGGTTTACCTGAGGGCTACGATACAGACGATGAAGACAACTCATGGGGCAAAGGTGGACTCTTCTCCAACCCAGATGAAGAGGATGACTTTGGAGAATGTGCAAGCATGTTCCTCTCCGTAGTGCGGAAAGCTGCCCGTCGACTCGATCGCTGGGATTACACAGAAGCCAACGGCCCTAAGAAAGATCGCAAGAGGGAGCGCGAGGAGCGATACCAGGCCAAAGCAGCACTGGAAGCCGACGTGCGAAATTCCAACAACCGATCCCGACCACGCCCTCGCCCTAGTGCCGCCGCCAAGCGGAAGTCTATGGGTGCCACGGGTACACCTAGCACCGCAAAGAAAGCTGCGGCGCCTCAAGCCAAAGGAAGTCACGGCCCTGATAGCTTTACAGCGGGAGCCTCGGCTGTCGGCACCCCGAGTTGGGACCCTGAGCACGGACCCGATGACTACATGGAGGGAGAGCTGGATGATCTCGATCGCGAGCTCCTTGGCGAGGTTTCCGGCGAAGATGATGGAGGCGCGCCTCTCCGAGCCGATGAGGAAGGGGATTTCTCCGACGATCAGGACGATGAAGAAGACGTGGATGGTGACGAAAATTCCTCCACCTACGAGGGTGCCAATGGTTACGTACGACATGAAGCCTCATCCCCTGCTCCTCGGGGCCCAGCTCATCCACGCGGGCAAGGTTATGGAGACGACGTGATGGAAGACTAATTCGGTAGGATCGGCGTTTTGTTTTCTCTAAGAATCTGTATCATGATCTACTTCTTCTCTTTTTTTTTTCTTTTGTCTTCGTTTCTAGGCGCCTTCCCTCATATCCTCGGAATGGCTGTATTTCAAGCAACTTCACTGGGGTGGTTTTGTACTTATACAAGTGGCCAAGAGAGCCCCCCTGCAGAGCATTGCGCATGGACTTGACATCCGATGTGGACTGCATGTGACAATCCCCTCTTTCTCTTCTCTGCATGCTCTTAGCTTTGGATTCCTCGTGTACAGCTGTACAATCCCAATTTACTATTATCCCTTGATAGCTGTCAACTCTAATAACCGAGAGGCCCCATCAAAGAGCCAGGATCATACGAGAAAATCACACCGGAAGCGTCTCGAGAGTGGATACCTTGTGGCCAACAGCACGGTGTGTATTCCTAACAGACGAATTGTTGAGGCCCCGTATAGTACCTAGGTAGATACCTCGTACTCATCAACACACTGTACCTAGGTACTTTCTCTCTTTACCTTTCTATAAAGCCATCTTTGCCGCCTAATTGATCCGAAGTGAATCTCCCATTTCCTTTTTGGTTCAGACCGGCGTCATATCCCGTTGCCAAGCTATCCCCATTCGGCCTCCTTTCCAGATTTCCAGATTTCCAGATTTCGCATCTGGCACTTCACTCCACGTACAAATTATCTTCTACCATATCTTCTATCTCGGTCTACGAATTATTCGTTTTGTTTTCAGACGCGCAAGATATCCGAGTCTTACTGTGGTTTGACCGCGCCGACGATCGGAGACTCTAATTTTCTCCCAGAGCCCCCAACACAAGAGCCTTGTTGACTTGTTGACTTGAACCCACACAACCCAAGCCAACATCCCATCTATCCATCATGACCGAACAACCTCGCATTCTGCGTCCGCGCCCGAGACGAGTATTCGATGTGACTCCAGCATCTACTGAGTCTTCCGGACCCCCAACACCGGCCGAATCGACGGGCACCGACTACCTGAACCCGCAAGCCGTGGACACAACCTCGAACTCAACGAGCGTGAGTCGCACGGGCTCCGTGATGAACCTGACCTCCTCGACGCTGTACGGCATCTACTCGCCCACGGCATTCGATGGTATTCGCGACGAGCCCACCTCCTGGGGCACAGAAGCCACCAGCCCGGAGGCAGAGTTTCCGCCCGAACCGTCGCAGCGCGCAGCAGAGAGATCGGCCATCGAGCCACGGCGGATGGCGCTGCGCCGGACTCGGTCTCGTTTGAGTCAAGGACTGTTCCGTGGTGTGATCTTGCCGCAGGCCTTGAGCAGTTTGCTGCTCTTTGGCTTCGGTGTGGCTTACGGTGTCATTACCCTTCATCTTCATGAGAACCATTGGATTACACCTGTCAAACTGGAGAATATCCATTACTACGATTCATGGCAGTACCTGGGCTTCTGGGGACTGGCTGGTATTGCACTGGGCAATCTGCTTCCTTGGCTGGACAGCCGGGGCGACGACGAGCTCGAGCAGGCCGAGACAAGCTCTAACGAGGAGGAGAATGAGGATCGCACCCCGTCTTGGGTTGCTGTCGCTCGCAGTGTTGGAGCCTTTGTCGGAATTGCCTTTGCGATGGTATGTAGCTATGCGCCTTTTTCTTCTTTTTTTCCCACTTTTTTTTTTGTTCCTTGTGATATTACGAGACAGAGCTAAGTTTTTTTTTTCTACAGCGGAGACTCCCATGGGAATCTACTACACAGGCATCAGTCACCCTTGCCCTCGCGAACCCCGTTCTCTGGTATTTGATCGATCGCACCACAACTGGCTTCTACCTCTCGACAACCACTGGCTTGGGCGGCATGGCAATCGTTCTCGGCCTCAAGCCAGAGCTTGTGCCTGTCTCGACCAGCCCGACCGTCGGCGCCGGTCTCCTTAATGGAACAGGATTAGAGAATGTGCTGGGAGCAGGCATCTCACTGGAGAGTTTCGCAGTCCGGACTTGGATCGCCAGTGTCATTTTCTGTGCTTGCGTGTGCTTTGGAAATATTGGCCGCCAGCTTTCCATCGGAGCCGGGATCAGACATATCATGAAGCTATGAGGTGTAAAAAGTGCCAGGGATTGCTTGGTACATGGAAAATACATGTTTTCTAGGGAAATGACTTAGGAAGACAGGGAACTTTCATGTACACTGAAATTATTTATGGTTGATAAAAGACTTGTAATAGAGATCGACGCCACTCCCATCTTTTCGCTTTGCAACAATGCAATAACTGTTCATACGCACACTGTGTAGAGTATATTTTACGAAAAATTCCGAGCAAAATCATGGAGGAAACGTTGAATAATATTTAATATCTTTGATCGGTATGTAGAATCAATCATTGCAATCCCCACTACATGACCAGAAGTCAAGCAGGCACTGCACCCAAGATCGACACCTTTGCCATTTGGCACTGAATCTCCATTCTCTATACGATTTCCGTACTTCATTAGACAAGTCTTCGTAGGAACGCTTTTTGAGCAGAATGTGAGTTTTGCGTTGTTCATGAAGAAGAAAAAAAGAAGGAGAGATGGCGCTGCGGGAAAATCTCTTATATATCCATAGGTCACGTGCCGCGCTAAGGCGCTCTTCGCAATGCCAGCTTCTGATTGGCTGCAGTCTCAAATACGGGGCCCCCTGTTCCCGCGGGCAACTAGGTCGATCACGTAATACACTGTTGCTGTCATGCCCCTCCGCCGCAATCGGTCCGACCCCGCGGAGTCATATTCTTCTTCTTTTTCTTCTGTTCGTCATCTGTTATACCCCTCCGCTTGATTTTAGGTACGCTCCTTGGGTTCTACATATCAATTGGGTTCAATTGTGTGTTTAATCTTGGCATTTGATAGCTAACAGCTCCAGTGTCGACAGTCGGATTCACCATGACTCAAAAGTCCGGTAAGTGGCTCTGAGCTTCATAGATCATTCCCCAGACTATGATGCTATTTGCACCAAGCAGTTCACTGTCATGGATAAAGTTCTGACCTTGGATTTTGAATAGCTATCATCTCCGTCTATGACAAGACTGGTCTGCTTGACCTGGCCAAGGGCCTGGTCAAGCAGGAAGTCCGTCTTCTCGCATCTGGTGGTACCGCTAAGATGATCCGTGAGGCCGGATTCCCCGTCGAGTGAGTCACCTATGTCGGCAACTTTGCAACGAAAGGCAACAAGAAAACGCATGGGATTGTGACACTGCTCAGGGACTGACGTTTTCGCCCCAGGGATGTGTCCGCCATCACCCACGCCCCCGAGATGCTCGGTGGTCGTGTCAAGACCCTCCACCCCGCTGTGCACGGCGGTATCCTCGCCCGTGACATTGAGTCCGATGAGAAGGATCTCGCTGAGCAGAAGATCTCCAAGGTCGACTATGTTGTTTGCAACTTGTACCCCTTCAAGGAGACCGTTGCCAAGGTCAACGTCACTATTGACGAGGCTGTGGAGGAGATCGATATCGGTGGTGTGACTCTGCTTCGCGCTGCGGCCAAGAACCACAAGCGTGTGACCATCCTCTCCGACCCTCGGGATTACTGCGAGTTCCTCAAGGAGCTCGAGGCTGGCGAGATCACTGAGGCTAGCCGCAAGCAGTACGCCCTCAAGGCATTCGAGCAGACTGCCGATTACGACTCTGCTATCTCAGGCTTCTTCCGCAAGGAGTACGCTGGCAACGGTCTCCAGCAGACCTCGCTGCGCTACGGTACTAACCCCCACCAGAAGCCCGCCTCTGCCTACATGGTTCAGGGCAACCTTCCCTTCAAGGTCCTCAACGGAGCCCCTGGCTACGTCAACCTGCTCGATGCCCTGAACGCCTGGCCTCTGGTCAAGGAGCTCAAGCAGGCTCTTGGTTTCCCCGCCGCTGCTAGCTTCAAGCACGTTTCTCCCGCTGGTGCCGCCATCGGTGTGCCCCTGACCGAGACGGAGCGCAAGGTCTACATGGTCGACGATATCAAGGATATCGAGACCTCCGGTCTGGCTCAGGCTTACGCCCGTGCCCGTGGTGCCGACCGCATGTCCAGCTTCGGTGACATCCTGGCCCTCAGTGACATTGTTGATGTTCCTACCGCCAAGATCATCTCGCGTGAAGTGTCTGACGGTGTCATTGCCGCCGGTTACGAACCCGAGGCTCTCGCCATCCTCTCCAAGAAGAAGGGCGGCAAGTACTTGGTCCTCCAGATGGATGAGAACTACACTCCCGCCCCCGAGGAGACCCGTACCCTGTACGGTGTCACCCTGACCCAGCACCGCAACGACGTCGTCATCTCCCCCAGCAAGACCTTCAACACCGTTATCACCCCTAAGAACACCACCTCCCTCCCCGAGGCTGCGCTCCGTGACTTGACCGTTGCCACCATTGCCCTCAAGTACACCCAGTCCAACTCCGTCTGCTACGCTCTGAACGGCCAGATCATCGGCCTGGGCGCCGGCCAGCAGAGCCGTATCCACTGCACCCGTCTGGCCGGTGACAAGGCCGATAACTGGTGGATGCGCTTCCACGAGCGCGTCATCGGTATCAAGTGGAAGCAGGGTACCAAGCGTGCTGACAAGTCCAACGCCATCGATCTGCTCTGCTCAGGCCAGACCCCCCGTACCGATGCTGAGACTGCCGAGTACGAGCGTGTCTTCGAGGAGGTCCCCGTTCCCTTCACCCAGGAGGAGCGTGAGGCTTGGCTCCAGAAGCTCGGCGAGGTTGCTGTCTCCTCCGATGCTTTCGTAAGTAATCTCCAAACCCCTTCTCTCTGTCTTAGTAAATACTAACTGTCTTCGCTAGTTCCCCTTCATTGACAACGTCTTCCGCGCTGCCCGCTCAGGCGTCAAGTACATTGCCGCCCCCACTGGCAGCCAGAACGACACCCCCGTTTTCGAGACTGCCGAGAAGTTGGGTATCACCTTCGTCGAGCAGGGCGTCCGTCTCTTCCACCACTAGATTGCTCTACTGGTTGTCGTCTTTCGGTGTCTTCTTCCATTCTCCCTCTCTCTCTCCCACTATTCCCCCACCCTTTTCCGTAAAAAAAAGATGCCATTGATGTGGTTTCCACTATGATGGATATTCGATATGATGATGATGTCAGATTCCTTGTTTATTTAGAAATACATATTTTTTCCGAACTTTGTTCCTGCATGTAGGCTTTGTACGGAGTCGTGCAGCAGCTGTCACCTCGTCTCACCACGTGCCGGTGTAAGATCAAAATCTTACTTCAATCAACCCCCTGTCGATCTCCTAATTAAAATTCGATTCAATCAATCTTGAGCAAGACATTTATGTTGTGCTCATATTGTTTTGTCCCAACGATGCTGAAGTGAAACATGAAGGCGATTTGGGTTTGATGCCCAGAACCGCCCAGGTGCCCAGAAGATGCTTGTTTCCTTTTCAATTCCTCCGGGCTGAATCCAGTCTGAATGACTTTGTGCTACGCCTTTTTCTCCGCAATTCGACCTCCTGACACCTCACTAAGTTCAACCGTGCCAAATTGGACCCGTTGTCACATCAGCTAATGGGCTTCCCCGTCGGAGCTCCGCTGTTGCGAGGGGTGTTTGTCGGACTAGCACCGGCCTCCTGAGATAACGAATTTGACGCTTAATATGATGAAATGGAGAAAACCAAGAAAAACCAAGCAAAACCAAGCAAAACCAAGCAATGAGGCACCAACATTGGCAGTATAAGCTTCAGAAGTGGTGATAGCTGCCGTATATTGTATCTCTATTCTTGGCTAACGATGCCATCCTACTGTTCAGCGCAGAAGATGTCAAGGATAATATTCCCCTAACCCGCCAGGGACCTCGAGCCCTAGTGTCGGGCGTGGTGAATTCCGGGTTTCCATGTCTCAATCCTGCAGATACCACGCGCTATATCCAATCAAATCTTCCAGGATTAATTGGTGCCTTTTTCTCGTCGCGGGATGGGGAGATTAGGGTTGCAATCACAACATTGCTCCTAGTTGGCCCCGCGTGTATATCAAGGAGGAGGGCCCTCACGCGGTCAAATGCATAGGGCTCATTACTTCTCTATTCTTTTCTCGGGATGTTGGTGCGTCAAGTCTGTATCGCTTTGGCGATTGCGGCTCTTTCTGAAGCTGTTCCGGCTCCTGTGAAACATGTTCTGCATGAAAAGCGTGGTGAACATGTTGACTGGGTGAAGGGTCAGCGGATTAAACGAGATTCGGTCTTGCCTGTGCGCATTGGTCTTGCTCAGAACAATTTGGAGAAGGGTGATGAGTATCTCATGGCTGTGTAAGTGGATACATATGTTGATGACTTACATCCCGTTCACTAATATTGGTATAGCTCTGATCCTAGCTCGTCTAAGTATGGACAGTACTGGTCGGCAGAGGAGGTTCACGATATGTTTGCTCCCTCTAAGGAGACTGTCGACTCCGTTCGTCAATGGCTTGAATCTTCCGGCATTGACAAGTCCCGGGTTGTACACTCGGACAACAAGGGATGGCTCGCATTTGATGCCTATGCGCATGAAATGGAGAAGTTGTTTATGACAGAGTTCTATGAACATGAGCATGCCAGCAGTGACAACTTGAAGATTGGTTGTGAAGAGTTAGTCTCCCTAGTTCTTGATTATTCATTGAACTCTTTGATTGACAAATTAGGTACCATGTCCCGGAGCATGTTCAGGCGCACATTGACTATATCACCCCTGGAGTCAAGCTCAGCCCCATTGTCAAGAAGAGAGACAAGGTGAAGCGCATGTCGCACTTGCATCGTTCCAAGGGTGCAATTGGAATCGAGGCCTCTAAACAAGCCAAGGCTATTCCTGCCAAGGCAAAGAAACTTCCTGCTGATCTTCAGAACTGCGGATCCGATATGACCCCGGCCTGCATCAAGGCGTTGTACAAGATTCCAGATGCTACCAAGGCTCACAAGGATAACTCGCTTGGTCTTTACGAGCAGGGTGATTACTTCGCCAAGTCGGATCTTGATCTCTATTACAAGGATTATGCCCCTTGGATTCCACAGGGCACTTATCCCATTCCCGCTTTGATTGATGGTGCCAACTATTCGGTGCCTGATTGGAGCCCGCTGAACACTGGTGAATCTGATATTGATATCGACATGGCGTGAGTACTACACTTTCCGGTCGCTATTTCTTTACTCTTTGCTGATTGTGCCAAGTTATGCACTCATCTATCCCCAGACTGTGACACTTTACCAGGTCGATGACCAGATTTATGAACCGGAGGAGGTTGCAACCACCAACCTGTTCAACACCTTCCTTGACGCCCTCGATGGTGTAAGTCATACTTTTTCAAAGCATGGATTCATGTTACTAACACTCTCAGTCCTACTGCACATATAGCGCCTTCGGCGAAACCGGTGACAATCCTGATATTGACCCAGTCTATCCCAACCCCAACCCCGAGGGTTACCAAGGTACGATGCCTTGTCCATCACAAAGCTATTCTAGCTAACTTACAAAACACCAGGCAAACTTCAATGCGGTGTATACAAGCCCACAAACGTCATCAGCGCATCCTACGGCCAAGCCGAAGCCGACCTCCCCCTCGCCTACACCAAGCGCCAGTGTAACGAATTCATGAAGCTCGGCCTGCAGGGCCACTCCATCCTCTTTGCCTCCGGTGATTACGGCGTCGCCTCATTCCCCGGCGACGGCTCCGCCAACGGATGTCTAGGACCCGACCAAAAGATCTTCAATCCCCAATACCCATCCAACTGCCCCTACGTGACCTCCGTTGGCGGTACCATGCTCTACGCAGACCAGACAGTTGAAGATGCCGAGAGCGTGATGCACGCTGACTTGGGTGGCAGTGCTGCAAACTTCAGTAGCTCCGGCGGTTTCTCCAACTACTTCTCCCAGCCCTCATACCAGAGGGCCGCTGTGGAGAAGTACTTCAAAAAGGCTAAGCTGGCATACCCGTCCTACTCTGAGATCAATGCAGACCTCAACACGACAAAGGGTCTCTTTAATCGTATTGGCCGTGCTTATCCTGATGTGGCCGCCAACGGCGCTATGTTCCCCGCCTACAACGGCGGAACCCTTCACCACTTCTACGGTGCTAGTTTGTCATCGCCCCTGTTCGCATCTGTCCTGAGCTTGGTAGGTCAATGACTTGGATTTGGGTTGTGTTTGTTTATGCTAACAGCTCTTCTTCTCGACAGATAAACGAAGAACGTCTTGCCAAGGGCAAGGGCCCTATTGGTTTCGTGAACCCCGTGCTTTACGCTCACCCCGAAGTCCTCAATGATATCACCAATGGCACCAGTGCTGGATGTAACAGCGATGGCTTCAGTGCCATTCCTGGGTGAGTGCCATGTTCCGATTTGATTGTATGATTTTCACTGACAGGTCATATAGATGGGATCCTGTTACTGGCTTGGGCACACCCAACTACCCCAAGCTGAAGAAGCTGTTCCTGTCCTTGCCTTAGATGAAAAGGCAGAGACGTTATACAACAGAACTTCACTCTATTCTAGGCATATTTCTATCTGAAATTACATTGCTATATCTCATCTTAGTCAATAAATGGCCTTGTAATAGGACTTCATGAAATTTATGTTCGCTTTCTAGCGCTTGTTTTTTGTCTATCTCTCGATTCGATATGAAATATATTTCATAGAATACCAGCCTATGTTTAAGCAAGGTGACAATATACATTCTCCATTCTTGCAGTTTCTGTATCAGCAAACTCTCAGAAGAGACACACCTTCGCGAAGGGATCTGTTGAGATAGGTGGTAATCACCTGATCATGTTTGCCAGGACTGCCAGCTATATAGCCTCCTCTCCATCTTCTTCACCAACTTCCCTCCTAATCAGTTCCAATACAATCGCTCTGTCTTCCCCTAGCTGTCCTAGGAGGATCGAATGGGATGGGGAGACCTTCTACATCATCGGGGGTTCACTGGGGCATATGGAAGCCATTTACATCTATATGACCGGTGATGTTTGTGAAGTCCAATGTGATCACTACCTGCGAGGCATGACCCCGTTCCCCTCTCTGTGTTATGAAGCGACAGCCTGGATTACCAAAGGATTGTTCCAGTCGCTGGTGGACATTTGATACCCGCACTCATCGATGTTCATTCTTCAATGAGCGGACTATTTCCTATTCTCAACAGGTAATCCCCAACAAGTGTTCGTCAGACATGATCCCTTCCATGTGTGAAGACTATAACTGACTATTTGAACCACTGCGGCACAGAACTACTGCTCTACATGACCGCTTCCCACTTCGGGTGCAGTTTCAGATCCCTTTCAGTATGGATATAGGGATTTACTCTAGTCAAACCACCTCTCAATGCTTTGCTTATCAACTGAAGTAGTATCAAACGGCGTATATAATGATTGTAAGCCTAATTATTAGAAGACCCGTAAGGAAACATTCTCAGCTCGTAACTGCCAGGCTATTCTAATATATTGGTGTTAGAGATATGGTATCCTGTACTACCACCCAAGTCAGAATGTACGCCTTAGTTTTATTTTAATATATCGTGAGATTTTGACTTACTCGGTATTTCAACACGCGCTGAGGGGCTGATCCTGTTTGATTATATATTTCTATACCGTTTAGGAAATTGGAAGAATGTGTGCATTGTATTCATGTCTTTAAAACGAACTGTACAGTCTGCGTCATAACTATTAGAAATCATCATATGTATCGTTGTTATGTTTTCCATGCAGTTTGTGTTTGTGGTTGACTTATCACAATGCTGCAAATATTAGGCCGTTGTCCCAATTTTCCATGCAGACAGAAGTTCTAGAAATATTCCTTCCTTTTAACTGTCCATAAGAGTGATCTGATACCCCTTGTTTACTGATGAGACTAGCTCTTTACAAATTCGAATGAATCGAAGTGGGTGGTCGCTGCTCTCGAACTATACGCCGGGGTGGTCCGTGCGCATGTAGTTGTATAGCATCAAGTATGGAGCCCGAAAACCGGATATGAATTAGCAGATAGCCCGTTTCTGTTTGTAAAGCTTGTCAACAAGTGAAAGCCTTCATAGCACCAGCATAGCTACCTTGCATAGACAGTAAATCAAAATGGTGTTCAGATGATACCGTGAAACGGCAGTCAATTGGACTCCCCCAGCTCCTGCCCAAGAGTCCGATCAGACAAACCCCCAAATCAACAGTTCCATCTCACAAGCTCACACAGTTTGTTGTGCACAAACAAGATGTCATCTGCGGTGAATAGCCCGGTAAGTATTCCAACCTCGAAAGCCCAACCCCAATCGTCTAACAGTATACAACCATAGACCAGCGACGCACCCCTCGACTACGCGGCCTCCCGCGAGTCAACCCCCAAAAGCCCTCCCGCCGATACCTACCAAATCTTCCTAGCGCTGCATCACCGCGGCGAGCTATCCCTCGGCAACGAGCGACGACGCCTCGGCTTCGCCGCCTACCACTGGGCCATCCTAGTCTCAGACACGGCAACCAACCGGTTCCACGCCTTCGACGTGACCGACGGCTCCTCGCCCGACCCGCTAGTCCGTCGCGATCTCAACCCCGACTTCCAATGGACATACCGAGTCAAGAGCGACGTCCACCCGGACTCGTGCGAGTCGCTGCTGATCAGAATGGCGATTGGCGAAGTCAAGGACGGTCTTGGGCCTGAGACTATCAAGATCCTGCTTCAATCTGTCCAGTTGCCTATTAAGGGTGCGTTGCCTCCGCAGAACTGCGTGACCTGGATCCGGGGTGTGCTTCATAAGCTGCGTTTCCATGGTTATGCCCGCAAGCTCTACGATGTGGAGACGGTCATTGCGCGTGCGCTTGCTTATGCGGATCTTCGGATGGCGGATCCGGATCATTCTGTGAGGATTCTTGATTGTCTGGGGAATGAGCTGTGAGTGGCTTTGGATGTGAGGATATGGGGGGATTGAGTTATGAGGAGTTTGTGTGAGAGAATATGGGGGGATGGAGTACTGGGAGTTTCTGGTGTTGGGCGTACACAGGCGTACACATCCATGGATGACTATTGAATGTTTGCTAATTCAGATCTGCGTTAGTAATAACGAGGAACCTTTCTTCTCTTCAATTTGGAGTTATAATGGCCTGGGTTTAGTCGGGATTGCAGTGTTAACTGATCTGATACGGACTGATCACACTACCACGTGGCTTGGGATATATTATATGCAGCTAATCTTCAGGAAACAGACTACGGAGTACTCCGTAGAAATGGCCCAAATAGGTTATTTGGTCCTGAGGCATTTGTTTTCCGTGTCGTCTCCACTCTCAAAGAGATTTATATTGCTCTACTGGACACTACGTGGTATTAATTTGCGTATACTCCGTACTACGTAGTTATCTATGAGATGCCTAATACACGGATACTCCGTACTCCGCCGTAAATCGCAAGTTTGTAGCGATCGGTTGCAATTCCACATGTTCTCAATCAAAGTTTGCGGACATGTGCGGAGGACAAAACTCCATAAGTCCTTTTCTAGCGGTCCAGTAACAAACGCCAAGTGAGGGAAATGGAACACATAGTACAACATACAATCAACATGGGCAAAAAGTACCTGATTGAGATCCCTGTGAGTCACGAGGCATCTAAAAATCCCGGGCGACTTCATCCGACCAGCCCCATTGTGCCGCCTTACCCAGAAGCAGCCCGCACCTACCCTCTAGTGATCAAATCACCGTCTTCGGAGTCCCGAGATCGAGTCACATTGCCTGAGGTTTGTGCATGTGTCGATCATCCGAGAGAGATAGTCTTGGACCGCATCAACAACACATGTGCTGATGTGCACAAAGCAATTGGATGGGATATGTGCATATCACATCCAGACCAGAGTGCATTATTGTGGGTCGGGAGACGGAACTCGGACACGGAGGTTGATGTTTGCCGGATAGGGTTACTGCCGACTGTCGGAGCGTCGGACTTTCTGTTTTTCAGGGTTCCCAAAGAGGAAAGAATGGTTCGACTTATCCATGGGTTATGCTGATTACTGATCTATGTACACATATTGCACAATTCATGCACTGGTCATCTATTCTCAGCCTCACACCGTGGGCTTCTCAATCGTTCACATCATCACCCCCGATCAGGAAAAATAACATTACCCAGTTAGGCAATTCTGGATGAACAATCCTATTCACTCCACCTCCGGACTCCAGAAGAACCCCTATCGCCCAACGGTAACAAATAAAGTGGCCGAACCCAATGTCCTTGATGTCATCGATGTCCAAGTGGATCCATCGGAAAATTTTTGGGGCAGGTAAACTTGACCTAGCTATGGCATGGTTGCCCGATTACTTTACATTGTCCCCACTTTGATATCAAATGTTCTGGACTGTGGCGGCATCTCGACCTATCGGTTGACCTCATCATTTCCTACTTGGGGCATTATCGTTCTAACGCACGGCGTACTCCGTCGTGAATAAGCAGTGAATAAGCATTTGACCATGGGAAACCGAAGAAGCTCACTTGGAACACCGTGGATGACGAGCAAATTTAAACGGTTCGACCAGAAGCCCTGATTGAGACAAATTCCGTATCCATAGGGCTGGGAGGAAGGACTAAGTGGAGATTTGAGGGTTTCGAAAAAGGAAAACCCTGCGAACCATTTCCAAGCCACACGAGGGGCTTTTCGGTGATATCCGCGTCTTACCTAAGCCGTCATCTCCCTGGAAATTTCCCAGATCTCCCCAAGTGCCTGGTCTGACATCTCTCGCAAGCTGGGGTTTGGTGTGACGTACGCCAAACACGCTATCAGGTACATGAGAGGTCCAGGTATGCTGCCAGCAAGGACCTCCAACTTGGCTGTTGAAACCGGAAGCATGTACATTCCACAAGTGAAACGCAACGGGGTCATCAGCGCTTCTAATTGGCCCCCACACGGAATGTACTCTTTCAAGCGACACTGCGCCCTGCAAGGAGGATCGCAAATGAAGGTCTACAGGCCACGCCGTACGTAGTAGAACTGCGCGATGAGCAAATGGTTCGCTTGTGACGGGGGCTTGGAATTATGTTGCCTCATGGCCTCCCGAGGATCGGTGCTTGCCAATAGTTATGGCTAGGCGTTTTCCATGACACAGCCCTCTGCATGGACTTGATCTCGGAAATCCTGGGGAATGCTAGTCAGCAGGATGCTCATCATGCCAAGGCGAGGCGGCTGGTCGTATTCGTCTACGGATTACGGAGTACGGAGCACGGAGTACGGAACACAGGCGAGGGGTAGTCCAAGTGTTGCATATTATTACGCAGCTACCTAACAGGCCTCCGACAGCGGCTTGGCTTGAGCCTCCGCTGACATGCCAGCTCACCAAGATCTGGATTACACGTAGATCCGACAGGCTCTTTGTAATTGTCAGGCCAATGCTCCCAAGGTTGGAGGATAGGTGCTTTTGATTGGCAATCCGATTAGAAATCGGGGGGTCGATCTTGGTGAGAGAACCTTATCCGTCATGAGTCCAGGGACGCTGGAGCTGAAAGAGGCAATAATGGAGTTAAGGGCAGTCGGCAACAAGTGCGACCGACTCTCCGCTTCGGTTTTTATCCTCCGACGCGGACCACGGCACGGTCGATTGGTCATCCGTGACTCACACACTGTATACAGCAGCCAGCATACAGCATACAGCATGGAGCGTATAGCAATTAGAATAATTACGCGTACACGGAGTACCTTCAACGCGGTATTTTGCGAACATGTAGCGGTGAGATTAGGAAAGTAGAGCATCAAACTGGATGAGTCTCGGCGATTCTCCATTTATTTCCGGTGGAGCTCAAATCATCCGTAAAATCCGCTTCGGGGCGATCGGACTAAAAAGAAAAAGAAAAGAAAAAAAGAAAAGAAAGCCAAAAAAGATAAAAAAAGAAAAAAGAAAAAAGAAAATCCAAAGAGGAAAAATGAAGGGAATAAAAAAGAAGAAAAAGAAAAAAGAAAAAAGATGCCTGGTCACATTAAATAAACCTCGTCGCGCTGAGTTCTGGTCGGATATTCTACGATCTACTTCAATATCTGCGTTACACTATCGATCTTCCCCCGAAAAAAAAAATTGAGACTTGATCTATCATCTTCATCTTTGCGATCAGAAGTACGAAGTACACTGTTATCCCTTGGCCCTTGAGATCACACCGCCCCCGCGAACGATCCACTGTGACTGGATGACGCCTAATTGAGTCACCACCAAGAGTCATACCCAAATCCTCAAAAAGGTCTTCTAGCCCGCCATGGACTCTTCCTCCATTACCTCCAAATCTTCCCCCTACTTCGACTCCCTCGTCCGTCGTCGCCAACAAAAGAAAATGAGCATCACCCAAACATACTATCTCGCCCACACTGCCCGGAAGAAGCTTACCCGGGAAGCTTCCCGGGCAGATCACGATCTGCGCCTACTCGTCGGTCATGCCAACCTCCTCGATTCACTGATGTTCGACCTCGCCGACGCCGAGCGTGAACAAGAACGCTGGTTCAACCAGTCTGTCAACGGAGCTACCAAGTCGTCTTCTTCCCGCCAACACATCCAATGGGCTTCGACCGTGGTCGAAGAGCCTGAGGATGACTGGGATCCAGAGGATGCCTCCGACCTGGACTCCGAACTCAGCGACAGCGATGACTCCGACTTCGACGAGTCCGAATTCCTTGTCAACACTCCAGTTCGCCACCGTGCTCCATCCCCAGTGGCTCCCTACCATGAGGACCTACTGGAAGAGGATGATGGCGATGACACCGATTCGGACTTTGAATACGACGAGGAAGATCTGGGCGATCTGAGCTTGACTCGCTCGCCATCACGCCAATCCCCGCCCGAGCTTCTCGCGGACTCTGATGGTGAATCGGAGGATGAAGTGACGCCGCCATCGCCGCCCCAGCCTGCGCTGGAGACCTTCGACGAGAAAGAGCCCACCACTACAGCCATTGCATTGGCTGATCAACCCCATCTCTTTGAGCAAGGGTACTATGGTGCACAAGAGCAGAGTATCATCGAGGCTTATTGATTAAGCTCGACCTACACGCCCCTTATTACGATTCCAACCCTCCTCTCTGCCTTGTGTACCATCATCCAGCGATACAAACTGTGATACCCCCGATGCTTGTTTATGATTTTGACCCCGTGTTTCTTGAGCGAAGCGTATATTTACACATCTCTCATCTTCTATTTTGGCGTTTGATCCTGGGATCACATTTTGGATATTTTTCATTTCACCCTGTCTTCAAATTTTTTTTTTATTTACATACCCCTCTCATCTCTGGCTATCTGTGATAGCGGCCCAACAGCTCTCCCTATGAAAGGTCGAGACTGTGCATTGGACGGGGGAAGAGACATTCCAATCCCGACTGGAAAGATGTACATAGACTCTCAACGTGTGTTGGAATTCCCCGAATCCAATAAAAACCTATATTCTGAACTACTCCATGTATACGTGCTCCGTACGAAGCACAGCACAGTAAAAACCGGCAGAATCCTATCTCCCAACTCCCCACTTCCAACGCATGTGACCCGTCGATCGGCGCCCCGAGCCCGCCAACTGGAACTTCAACCAGCACGCAATTGTTCACCGCCGGATAAGGAAGATAGATCAGAGAGATTCTCGCGATCATCGCGGTTAGCCCGGCATAGCACGCTACTGATGCTTTCCTGAAGGGGTCAACTAGTTTAATCTGTTGGGTGATCGGGCACTGCGAAGTGGGTTATAGAAGGGGAATTTTCCCTCTCTTTCGCTTCTTTCTTTCCTTCGGCCCAAGCTCATGAGGGAAACGTATTGGGCTAGTGAGTGAAAATCTTTTCTAGCTAAAGGGGGGGCTGGGGGCGAAATATTTTCGACTTTGCTTCTCGATGCGATGCTGGGGATGATTATTGGTTACTATTGGCGTTTCATGTTTAGGCTTCTCTTTCGCTTGGTTTCTAGACTCCCCCGTTTATCTGACAGATTGGTTCGGGCCCTGTGAGGTTCGGTTTTGCATGGATTCTACCCTGCGTTCTAGGCTTGGTGGGTCTTTTTCATTTATTTGTTTTTTTCCCTTCGTGGCTTGCTGTTCTACTGTTTGGCTTGTGGCTGAGACGTCGGTGAAGGATTGCCGATTTTTTATTTTGACTGCTTGGATATGCTATCGGTTCTAGACTACTTATCTTGCAGGTGGTGGATGGTGTACTCCATACCTACGGAGTACCTAATCTGTCAGACTCCGTTCAATTGCAGGATTGAGTTCATGTTTTTATCTTGTACGCGTCGCCCTTGATCAACCCTGTTTTTTTTTTTTTCGAGGCAAAATCATACGCATGTCATTGAAGTCTAGACTTTTGGACATTGCATTGTTATGATAGAAGCATCTGGCTTAGAAGTACGGAGTAGATACATTGATCATAGTTATGTCCTGCAAGCTCTCAATTGCCCAATTGTACTCCGTAGAGATCTCTGGCGGTGTGTTGTATACTCCGTACAACAGTTCCTAATGAAAGGGGTGGAGTGTGCCATGTGACATTGAGCTCAGCCACAATATAATGTGGAAAATTTATGCATTTTGACACCCTTTCCCTATCAAGACACGAACGAAGCTCCATAATCGACGGAATGGATGGGTTCCGGACGGATTAGGGCTGTGTCCATCAGTGGACCGGACCGACGTCGGCCCGGGAACAGCCATGACATAAGCGGATTAAGCTCCCTATCGATAAGCGGCCACCGCCTTAGCTCAACGGCCCTGACCCCTCGATGCATCCGTCATGCTCCCAGCTGAAGCAGGATGACTCGTGACCAATAACTTCCCGATCTTCCATTGAGTCTCTCCCAAAACATGATATCAAATCCTCACTTGGTCCTGTGGAACCCTGAACAATCCCATGGCCGCTGAGACACGCTACTAGCTATCATCATTTACAATCATCCTGGAAACACTAGCAGAATCAGTTCATACCCCTGTTCATTTTGCATATTTTGGATAGTCCGCCCCCAAAGTGATAACTTGAGATGTCTGCGGCGAACTCCCCTAGGCGCTCCTTTGAGGCTGACGAACGACCCGAATCCTGTGATCATACGATCTCACCTGCGGGGTCCGGCCACGCCCGCAGCCTGTCCGCCGACGTGAAGCCTACAGACCCAAGTCCACAGCGGAGATCGATCCAGTTTAGTGTCGGGCCTGCCGAGACTCAGCTACCGACTCGCTCGTTGAGCTTCAAGGACAAGAGACTATCGTATGGGGATACCCCGACGAGGGACATCGAGGAGAAAGAAAGGGAACACAAACATGTTCAATCGAGCCGAGGACCATCTCCCCCGCCCCCGAAGTGCGCTATGCCCAAAGAATATTTCTGACATGTCATATACTAATATATTGCAGGACTTACGAGCGGGGTGTCTCTTTCGACACCTTTGATAATTTCGATGCGACCGACTTCTCCCTCACATTGAACTACAAACACAAAGGATACCAGTGCACGCGTCGTAGTAGGACGTTTTTGTGCGGAACTGACCAGAACGATTACTCCGAGTTTGCTCTCGAATGGCTCATTGATGAGCTGGTGGATGATGGCGACGAGATCGTCTGTCTTCGAGCGGTGGAGAAAGATTCGCGCATAGCCAGCGATACGGGCATTGAAGAAAGAAAATACCGCTTGGAGGCCGAGAAGCTATTCGAGCAGGTGATTCAAAAGAACAGTCAGGATGAGAAGGCTATCAGCTTAGTTCTGGAACTTGCCGTGGGCAAGGTGGAGAGCATCATCCAACGCATGGTAAGTCTTCCGATGAGGTTCCTCATCTCTCTCAGCCTAACATACTCTAGATTCGCATATACGAGCCTGCCATGCTTGTCGTCGGCACACGAGGGCGCAACATGAAAGGAGTACACAGTCTACTCCCAGGATCTGTTTCCAAATACTGCCTCCAGCAATCACCCATTCCGGTCATCGTTGTGCGGCCATCGCCAAAGCGTGAAAAGAAAAAGAAAAAGCGCCGCGCAGACCCCTCACGGCGCAGCTACAACCATATTCTGGAACTGAGCGAGCAACGCGGCAGTCAGATATTCGGCGCCAGCTCCAGCAACGACAGCAGCACTTCGAAACTGCCTGACGAGGAGGCTGCAGTGGCCGAGGCACTCGGTCTCCCTGCTTCATACTCGAATGCGAACTCGCGCAGTTCCTTGTCGGTCTCGGACCGCAGTAGCATCAGCCATGATGATTCCGACACACTTTGTTCGGCTCGTTACTCTCTGGATGCGGTGCTCATGAATGATCCCATTATCCGAAGCCCGGCGGATAGCTCTCAAGAGAGCATCATTACCGGTGACGGCGCCCAGCCATCCCCTTCACTAGATGGAGCCGCAGAATCCCCTTCCCCACCTGCTGAAATCGACTCTTCAGCTTCCGACTCGTCTTCAACCACAGAGGCCGAAAATCCCGACGAGATCAATATCTCCGGCTCAATCAAACCCGTATCCATCCCGATGATCGAAGTCTCCGGCGACAATGAAAACAACACGAAGGTGTCCTGAACACACGGCCTGGCTTACCTCGCTACAGCCTTCCATGTCTGTCCATCCCCTTGGTCTTGGTTCCAGTGTTGCCCCACTACATGCTTTTGCGGATATTCACGATGCATACGAATCACCTGATTTTTATAGTTCATAGCCTCATGCTGCTTTTCTGGCTTCACCGCGCAAAGAAGTCATGAACCAGGTCGGTTCGCTTCGAGACTGATAGTTATACCCAGCCCAATACCCTTGCTATTATTGTCTGTCTTCTGGCGTCGCTACATGTTTCATTTATCCCAAGGGTATTGCTCTCCCCTCTTGTATCTGCAGTGCGAACTTGACGAATTTATACCTAGCCTTTTGAAGGATAGACATTACATCGTTACAAATGTGTAGATCTATTCGTAACTCTGGCTTAGATGGATTCAGGACATATCAGTTGCATCTAATAGTTCCACTATATAATGGTCTACGCTAGATTCCTGGTGTCTCGCAACTTTACGGGTTCATACAACCCCCGACTGCACCTTCATGCTGAAGGTTTACATACAACCAACAGCAGACGGTCCTGGCATTAATATAGACGAAACGTTCAATTGCATTATAGTTGAGAAGTGCTGCGGGTATTCAGAACACAAAAGCAAGAAAAAAGAAAGAAAAAAGAAAAAACCAGACTATGCAACGAGGAACAGATGAAAACGAGTAACGAGCAACCACCCACAACTATGATCAATCTCCTTTCCCCTAAGTTTCGAAATTCCCGAACTCCGCTTCACAGTCAAATAATCCTCCCTACTACCTAGAATGTGTACATGTGAATGGGAAAAAAAGACAAATGTGATTTGGAGCAAAGTTCCCATTTTGCAGCGAGTTCCTACTTTCGAAAAGCCGGGGGTTCATACCATATCCAGTCAGTCATAAGAAAGGGGGAATAGAAGGGGAGGAGGAAAAAAAGGAAGACAAGAATTGAAAAGATGTCAAGATTGTACACTATGAAGAAGAGTTCTCTTTTTGTTTTCGATTCAAAAAAAAAAAGAGAGAATAACGTGATAAGATGAGTCTCAGGGGGAAAAAGCCGACCAGTCGGAAAATGCAAAGCGAAGAAACTGAGACTCTCGTTAAAAAACAAAGACGCGAAAGGGGGATTTCTTTTTTTCCCAGGGGAAAGAAGGGAAGAACAATGGAAAATGACGAAAATGAAGAAATCTTTTTGTGAACCAAGAAAATGGAAAGCGTTGATCATTAACTCCTAAGTGTGTCTTTCTATGCTGCGGACTCGCCGTCCTTGACAGACGGGGTTTGGGAGGGACGACGCTCCGCTGCCGCGGGCTGCGACTTGGTGAGCATCGGGGAAGTGGGGTTTGATGGAGGCGAGGTTGCCATGTTATCCCGATCTTCAAGAGCAGCAAGGGCGCTAGAAAGAGAGTGTCAGTATTTGGAGATTTCCCGGAGTTAGTGTGTTAGGAGCACGTACCTGAAAGCATTCATAGATGAAGCGGCTTCCTTATCTTCCTTCTTGCCACCGGGGGGAGTGCCATTGCGGCTGCTGGCAGCGCTGTCGTCACTGCCACGGACCAGGTTACCACCGGGTCCGAGGTTCTTGCGGCCGCTGTTGGTGCGCGAACCGAGAAGGCTGGAGGGACCGAATGACATGGGCTGGTTGGTGTTGCGAGTCGCGCGAAGGCGGCGGAGATCATCACTGCCAACCTTGCTAGAGGCGTAGTCAGGGGGAGGAGCCTGGTTTCCGTATCCGAAGCCGCGGGCGTCACCGCGACCCATGGGGATGCGGCCACCGCCTCCGCGGTTGTTGGTCTGGCGTTGGCGCTCAGCCTCGGCGGCTTGTGCGGCACGGGCAGCCTGTTTTGAGGATCAGTGATATGATACAGTTAATCTCGGTGGTGAATGACTACTTACAGCCTCGCGAATCTCAACAATGGTCTGGGGACCCTTATCAGCGTCCTTGGAGGCCCAGCGTGCGGAGCGAAGATCAACAATATCCTGTATATCGTGTTAGTTTGTCACACTTTGCAAGATGAAGGTCCAGGCAGAGACTTACCAGAAGCATGAATCGGAGACGGCTGGGCAGGCCAGGGATCTCAATCATGAGGTGGATACGTGCGAAGTAGGCATCCATCATAGCAGGGCCCTTCTCGGAGGCATCGAGGCTGGCACCAATGGTGCGCAGCAGACTGGTCAGACTCTCAACCTCGGCTTCATCGGGAATACCCTCGTAATCCACAAGCTTCTTGACACACTCGTGCATGATACGCTCAGTAAGCATGCCAAGCTTGTACAGTTCACCAATGAACTTGACGAGACCGAGACCACGACGCTTAGCGGCAGCCGCGATGTAATATTCATCAGACATCATGGCAATCTAATATCGATGGTTAGTACACAGATAACAAAAGAGGACCATGTGGAGATGTAGAGATCCATACCTCTTCAGTAGTGCCCTCGGGCTTTTCAGGCAGGTTAAGCTTCCAGCCACGCTCGAACTCTTCTTGACAACGGTTAAGCAAGTACTTGCGGAACAAGCTTCCACCAGCAACAACGTTGCCGGATCGGTCACGAATGTTCTCATCCTTGATCTCTGCGCTCATGCTCTCCAACATGCTCTTACAGAACTTGGCGTACATGGGAGCCCAGTGAGCCTCGTCAGTAGCCTTCTCGAAAGTGAGCTGAATGACCTGGCGCAGAGTACGACCGTCGCTCTCGTCCTTAGACTGGGAGACAATCTCGAGGATCTGACCAGAGATACGGTCGAACTTCTCCGGAGTCATCTTGTTGAGAGCAGCCTTGACCTTGCGCTGCACGACATCCGGTGCCATGTAGCCAGTGTCACCACCAGGAGCAGGTCCAGCGGCGGCTTGTCCAACACTGCGAGGCTTCCAACCACTTGCGGTGGTTTGAATTGCCTTGAGCTCCATACCAGCGGTAAGGGGCATCGACTTGTTCTGTGCCTCGTCCTGTCGGCCACCGTGCTTCTTGTTCTGGCGGCTGTCGGTGCGAGGACCCTTGCTAGAGTTGCCACGAGCGGAAACACCAGCAGAGTTCTGGCGAATGTTACCAATAGGACCCATACCACCAGGGCCGCCTCGTCCGAATCCGAAGCCGGATGCGGTACGGTTGCCCATCTGTCCGCTACCCATAGGTGGCATTTGACCGGGACGGCTAGTTGCGAAGTTGCCCATGGCAGTAGGGAAGTTACTCATAGCGCCGCCACGGGAACCGCGGCCACCCATGCTGGGAGTGCGGGCTGACTGAGGACGGGAAGAGTCGTTGGCATCGCCAACTGTGTCGCGGAGACGAAGGTCCCAATCCACGGAGATCTTGTCCTTGAAGATGGCCTGGAATTGAAGCAGGAAGTCCCGGTCGTAGTGGAACTTACGGCCTTCGGGTGCAGCGGCGTTCAGAGCAGCGCTGGGAGGATTGATGGATGATGGGTATGTGATCTTGCTAAGATCCTTGAGGAACTTGGCATTTTGCAGAGACTTCATGCCGGGAGTAGGCTGCAGGGGCTCAGCGGGCTTGGGGGTATCAATCTTGAGGCCAGCGGGCTTCTTGGGCACAGCACTGAGGGGCTTGGCTGGAGGTCCCATGTCTGATGAAACAGGAGTGGCAGCACCGCTATCGCCAGGAGTGGAAGTCTGAGTAGCACTGAATCCACCCTTCTTGAGTGAGGCAAACAAATCCTTGTTCTCTTCCGGTCCGGTCTCGCCTTGGGCACGAGCGTTCTCGCGGGCAAGTTCGCGGGCCTCAGCCTCAGCCTCAGCCTTCTTCATGTTAGCCTCGTAGTTCTCAAGCTCTTCACGCTCTTTGCGTTCAGCTTCCTCCTTCTTGGCCTTCTTGGCCTGGTAGTATTTCTCCTCGGCCTCACGCTCCTTGGCTTCAATTTCAGCCATCTCACGCTCAATAGCATCGAAGTCAATCTCGTCTTCTTCGGGAGCAGGGGCAGGAGCAGGGGCAGTCTTGGGCTCTTCAGCGGCGGCGACCTTCTCGGTTTCCTCGACAGGAACATCCTTCTTGGGCTCCTCGACGGGAGCGGCCTTGTCCTTGATGCTCATGTCCTCGATGGCAGCCCGGGCAGACTCGGTGTCATCCTTCTTGGCATCGGTGGACTCAGCTTCCGCGGCCTTGCGAGCGGCCTCATCAGCGAGACGCTGCTTCTGCTCAGCCTCATCCTGCTGGATCTTCAAACGAACGGCATCCTTCAGTTCCTGCTTCTTCTCCTCGTCGGTCTTAGCAGCGTTGGCCTTGCTGTCGGTGCGAGTGTGCTCGGCGGCGCTGCCAGTGCGAGGTGGGGGAGTGCCTGTGGGGGGCGGAGTGAACTTCACGGGCGAAGGGGTAGCACGTGCAGGAGAGGCGGGGTTCTTTTCGAAGGTCTTGACTGAGCCACTGTTGGGATCCTTGATGATGATTGGGCTCTTCTTAGCTGAGGGGATGATGAAGTGGGGCTTAGGGGCAGGGCTGTTGGATGGACGGCTGCCAGTGTGGGTGTGACTGGGAGCAGTAGGACCGGTGGGTGCCGGTCCTTGACCGAGGCTCGAACCTGGACGATCAGTAGAGACCTGGGAGGGGGTACGCGAGAGGGGGGCCGCCTGAGGCATAGGGGCAGGGTATTGCTGTCCCATGAACTGAGGATTGTAGGGCATGCCAGCGGCGCGAGGCTGGGGGGATGGCGGGGTCATGAAGTATGCGCCATTCTGGTAGTAAGTGCCGTAGTTGGGATCGTAGCCGCCGGGATAAGACTGTTGATTTTTCACTATTGTCAGAATTTGTTCAAATTGGCCGCTTTCGGGCGCAAGGTCCACGGAACACTCAGGAGAGTATGTAGGTTTCTCCTTGCGCCTCCAATTGCTGTTGAGGTTCCTTGGAGTACCACGTCGGGGATCATTCCGGGAAGAACGGGAAGGGGGAGATCTCACAGCTTGAGGGCCCATGTGTTGGCCGTAGCCATAGGGCTGCGGGGGCATTTGGGGGTGTGCCATCGGGACCGGGTTCATCTGAGGAGTGGTCGGGTTGACGTTGGCCAGAGCAGGGCTGCGGTTGGCCTGGTGAGGCGAGTTCGGGTAAGGAGCCAACGGACGGCCTTGGTTGGGACCGTGGAATTGGGGACCCATGTTAGGACCGGCTCGTGGTTGGTTGGGAGTCTGACGGAAACCGGGGTTAGGAGAGTAGGGGATCTGCTGTCCCTGGTAGCCGGACTGGGAGTATCCACGACCGCGGCCACCCTGGGGAGGGTAGCCCGAGCGTCCGCTGCCCATGTGGTCGCTGTGGGTGGACTGGGAAGACTCGCGACGCAAGTGTTGAGCACCGTGTGCAGCAGAGGCCTGTGAAATCGAGCACAATCATGTGTAAGCAAAACCAGTCCAAGTCCAAGTCTATGGGGTGGGCGAAATGTCCCAAGTCGCGCACACATGCACCACGCTTGGTGTACAATTCTGCCCCAGGGTATCATTTAGAAGGTAAAAGATCAAAGAAAACTTACGTTAGCATCACCAGACTCTCCGAAGCTACCGAAGTTCGGCACATTTCCTTGCGCCTGGTAGGTCGATGGGGGTGGACGACCGCCGCTGGAAGCGGGCTGGGGAATAGGCGAAGGGGAGGTCTGAGGGGACGTCACACGCGGGTTGGGCGAAGGGGCACCGAGTCCAGCCTGCGCCTGGGTCGAGGCAGGCACAGCGGGAGCACCCATGTTGGGAGAGCTCTGCTGGAATCCGAACTGCAGACTGTTGGGCCGACTGGCTGGGCCGCCGCCGTTGGGCATATAGCCGGAGGTGCCGCTGGAGGTGATGGTCACAGAGGGCTTGCGAGAGTGATCGGAGGAAGCAGCTGGAGCGGTTGGGGCTCCATTGACAATGGTCACGCCCGAAGAGGCAGACTGTTGGGGTTGCATGGGTTTGCCGTTCACAGTAGATACGGAGCTCGACTGCCCATGTTGCGCTGAACCGCCCACGGTGACGGGTGCGGCGGGAGAATCCGTCGCGGACTTTTTAGTTGCGTTGGCGTAGGATATGGTAGGCGCCTGGGTGGCAGCCAGGGGGGTAGAGGTTGCGGGCTGGGTCGAAGCGGCGGGAGTAGCGGTGCTTTGTCCTTGGGTGCCCGACTGAGGAGGGTTCGAGCTCATTAGACAGGTTGGTATCGTCTAAACGCGCGAATAGGGCGATGAGAAGGATGGATGGTCGAGAAAAGGGAGCCGAAGTGATGTCAGTACGCGGAGGCGTGACAAGGCCACATCCAAACCTAACTGCGCAGGTTGTCAAAGGGATGAAAAGCTGGGGAAAAAGGGAAAACGAAGTTTCCAAATGCACAGAAGACCAGGTACGCAACAACAGTAGCGTTTTGGTCGACAGTGCAGATATGTAAAATTGTCAAAGAGGAGGGTGGTGGGAGGAAAATTCAAGTTGTTCGGGAAAAAAAAAATATTCGGGTTTGTGGAAAAATGGGCAGAACAACTGTCCAACTGTCCGACCAACGTACCTCGATTTGGGGTTTTATGATTGGATTCTCTTTGATGAGAGATAATGAAGTTTTACAGAAAGAAAAAAAAAAAAGACAAGTGAGAGTAAATTCGAAATACATAACTATCCGCCACCCATGACATGTGCGTCTCAAAGGAAATCGACCAGGGTCTGTGGCTTACGATAGGCTCCCAAGGACAAGGCAGACAATCCCCAGGGAGTCCAGAGGGCAAGGGGAAGAAAGGTATGACTCTACTTCGTGTTGCTGACTCTGAAGCCGTTTCTTGTTCATCTGGACCTGGGCCACCCTGATGGACCCTCCAAAAGCCCCATTTTCCCCGTTCGCCACTGTGGTCACCCCATACTGGGATGACCATCGACATAGATCACCATCGCCAGTTCGTGATGGCCTGGAATCCAAGGCAAAGAATTCCCATTCGGTCTGCGGCGTGAATCGCGATTTGAGGCCTCCCTTGGATCATTTTCAATAGGGCCTAAGTAATACTCCGTGCACTATATATGTAGGGATATCGAATATCAAATACCCTCCCGTCCTTGCAGTGCATCTGAATATCGCCGCATACGTCTTGGGCTATTTCTCCGATCGGAAGGACTCGGCTTGGGAGTCATACCTTGTCAGTTGCTGCCAGTAAAAGAATTCATTAATTCAATCTCCATTGAGCCAATCAACATAGAAGTCATATGTCTCCTCCCCCTTCTTTCCTTTCCAGTCTCTCTCACCCAGAGCAAAAAGAAAAAAAACAGTGTTCTATTTTGGTTTTGTTTGTCCTACTCTACGGAGTACTCCCTTGCTAACAATGGAACCTCCTCGCGGACTCATCGCTCAGACCCAGTGGCGCGCGACCGCGCTATCTCATTAATGGCCCGCGCGGCAAAGTCGGTGCCAGAGGAGCCCGAGGAATCCTGCTCGTTGCTGAACCAACCAGAGGACCACCCGCCACTGGTCTTTCGCTCCGGGCGACGTCCCAAATCCTCATCGTCAACCACCTCGAAGGAATTCTCGCTCTGATTCTTGCGCAACGGCAAGCCGTAGGCAAGGTCATCGGTCTCGGGCTCGCCTCGAGTGTTGCTCTGCTCTTCCCGTGCTAGAGTCGATCGGAGATGATCCAGCAGCTCTCGCTGCGAGGAAATGAACTGTGCCTTCTCGGTACCAGACATAGACTGCATCTGGCGCTGAAGGAGATTGCCGCTAGCTGACAGCTCTTCTTCGCGTGCTTCCCGAGACTTGCCAGGAGCGGTGACTGAGCCTACGGCGGCACTGAGCACCGAATACCAGTCATTCGTGGTGGCAGAGCCTCCGGATGCCCCGGCGGTGGGGATGTTGAACCGCGATAGCAGCGACTGCGCGTAGGAAGCGGCACCGGGCTGAGGGGGCGTGGCGGGCCGCTGCGGGGGGAGACCCAAGACCTTCACCCGGATCAAATCGATCGCTTGGTAAAAATACTGGAGACCCAACACCTTAGCCCGCTCGTGTGTGCGACCGATCACCTCTTCAATCTCTCGCTCATGGTGTGTCAAGAACGGATCCACATAGTCCTGGTAAAGCAGGCGAGCTCCTTGCGTCTGGGGAAGGACTAGATAAGCCATGAATCCGAGGCGGATCCAGCTGTAGAATGGGAACCTGCATAATTATCGAGTCACGATTAGCTGATAAAACTGGCTATACACGGATAGACTGGCACTGTACCATCCGATGATGAACACCGTCCAGGATTCAGCCAATAAGATGATTGACAGCACCACCCAGTACATCAGCCATGGTGCGAGTTGTGAGGGGTCAGAGGAACGGAGGGCTTTGTAGGAGGCGAAGACGGGGAAGAGAATCGTGAGCACCGAGCTATCGAAGAGACCTGCGTTAGCTTCCTGTCGGACCCGTTCTTTTTGAGAGGCTGGTGGTCTCGAACTGGAGACTTGGGGATACTTACGACATCAAGTCCGCGAAGATTCCAAACATGGTGAAGGCGTAGTGAACTGCAGAGTTCTAAAAGCGACTCGGGTTTTTTTTAGTCTTCAGTCAGCCCCGCTGTCTCGAACAAGTTGGGTCACCAAAAAAAAACTGGGGCTCAGAGAACAGGCAACAAAGACACCGTTCAGGGGTAGGTATAGGGGGGAAGGTTCAAGAAAAAAGAAAACCATCGACAGAAAATCACATCACGATAACGACTCCATTTTGAAGACGTGACCGCCCGCACGTTGCATCCATATCGGTCTTGACGTCACGCGAGAGACTCCATTGTCGGTGGTTCAGAGCTCCCCACGAGGGTGTATTGATGATAATGCCAATATGTCTGTATGGAGTGTTATGCAACATCTATATCTATTTAGAAATATACTCGAAAGAAAACTCATGTCATTGTCTACAACGTATGTAGGTACCCAAGCAAGTCGCTCTCTTGGCTACAATGGCCAAGGCACAAGGTACACGGCGTTACGAGTGGCCCAATCACCCGATGTTTTCCAGGTACTTAATGTCCCGTTGTGCATATGAATGGGCCGTTTCTCTTTTCTCTTCCCAGATTTTCTTTCTTCTACATCAATCCCTTACAGCAACAGATTCCATTCGGTACCTGTTGTGTCATCCGTAAACGCCGGCATTGTTATTCCCCCGCTCGACACCTCATAGATCCGGGGAACCTCGGGACTCGCAACAATGTGCATTGCATTGATCTCAACTGCACACCCTTCATACTCGTTGATCGTCATCAACAACAGAGATGTAGATACTCCTACTCTAATCCGTGGAAACCAAGCTGATATATCTAGGAATTCCTCCACCGTCCAACATCACCACCAGACTGGTGGCCGGAGCCAGCCTCACATGTCCTCGGCTCACGGGACCTAGCCCGTGCGACACACGGCACTTGGATGGGCGTCACCAAGCAGGGCAAGATAGCCGTTCTGACTAACTACCGCGAGGAGTCAACCAGCCAAGCTATCGGAGTCTACAGCCGTGGCCTCATCGTCAATAGCTGGTTGACTGGAGCCCCGGACAAACCAGAACCCACCAAGGAGTTTGTCCAGGGAATAGTGGCCAGCCCAGAAGCAAAACACGTGGGAGGTTTCAGTCTGGTGTGTGGGCACATCAACGAGCCCTTGGCTATTGTTTCCAACCGTTCCTCAGACATGGATAATATCACCTGGGTGGCAACAGAAAAGAACCAGACGCTTGGACTCAGCAACACAAGCTTTGATGACAGAACCTGGCCAAAGATTATCGATGGAGAGAAACTGATGGAGGCTGCTATTCAAGAGCATGTGGAGAAAGAAGACGAGGATGAGGATGCCTTGATTGATCGTCTGCTGCAGGTTCTCTGTTCCGATACCTTACCACGACTGTCGGAGGAGAATGCCACGATTGAATCCTATATCCATGTTCTGCAAAAGAGCATCTTTGTTCCTCTCATTGGTGCTGCAGACGATCGTGATCGAGCCGTAGAGACGATGGCTGCGGCTCGGGTAGAGGATGAGGTGGATACCCCAACAAACGGACCTCCTAACGAGAGTTACACCCGTGGATCCTACGGGACACAGAAGCAAACCATTCTCCTGGCACGGCCAGACGGACGTGTGCGATACTTTGAGAGGACGTTGTATGACAATGATGCCAAGGCGGTGCCAATCGGACAAGGTGATCATTCATTTGAATTCAACATCACCCCATAGCTTTCTATAACCCTGTCTGCATAGATAATCTCCATAATTGATTAATGAACGCATTCTCCAAGTCTCACCTAATTTCTAAGTACAAACCCGCCCATCTTGCCTTGGCGTGCAACCTTCCCAAGGTTGGAACGCCTAACGTTCTACCAGTGCACATGACCACCAAATACAACTGGGGGAACCGGTCGACAAAATAGGCAGGCGGTTACTTTCTGCCAGAAAAGTGAGGTTAAAATGAACTTTAAGCGTATCTCTTTCGCCCTTCGGGGCATATGGTCAAATGAAAATATACAGAGAAGATTAGCATGGCCCCTGCACTAAGGATGACACGCTCAATCAAAGAGAAGCTACCTATTTTTTTTTTTTTACAGATCCATATTTGAGGTTCGATGTTCTTTGGAGATTATACTACTGTAATTGACTCTACGCTCCTTGGAAATCACGTGGTCACATGTCGAGGGTTCGAAGTCGACTGACGACGACTTCAACCTTGATTCTTTTTGTTTCTCAGTTTGAGCCCGAGGGTATGCCCCACGAACATATTCTCGGGATGCAGCGAGTACTAATGATTGAAAGGAGATCTTGTAAATCTCATCGAAGGCAAGATATTTCATTTTTGTTTGGACTTTGAGTACTCTCAATTGATTTCCAGGACACGTCCACGCCCGGGGTGGACTCGGGACCACTCCGGTAGAAATGTGGATAATGATTGCTTATGTTTTGATATTACTATCATTCATTTCCAATAACCCCTGTCTCACAGATTAGCAAAGGAGCCTCCGAGTTCATTTTGGCAAATTATGCCGGGCATATGACGGATATCATGATAAACGCCACATCATGTTTCACCATGGGCATAACTCATTTGCCTGGCTCCTCATATTCGGCCACTACCCCAAATGCGGAATAGCCGATTCCGCAAGTGTATCAAACCAATCTCCGTTTAATTGCATCGAATCAAGGCCGAGACTCGTCTCTACTATTTGTCTGGGAGTCGGCCATGATTCCTGGGCTATGCGGAGATCTCATCTCCACATATCATCAGCCCATGAGGCCAAGCCTTGCTCGCAAATCTCCAGAAGATTAGGCTTTTGTGGGAGATATTGATTTTTGCACCAGTCTAGTTCGTTTTCGGTCACCTGCGGTCAAATCAGTGGCCCTTGAGCAGCAGGACCGTTTATCCGGACGCTCCGATTCTCCGTTAGTGGAGAGATCCACCGTCTAGAAGACATGGATTTCTGTGGCTGTCTGTGTTAGTGCTTTCCGGTATACCGGGCATAATAAAGCGGAGGATCATTTGGGTGGCTCTATGGGAGGCCTCGAACAGGTGAACCCACTCGGTCTAAGGATGCCTGTCAGTCTACGGAGTACACCAACAGCTATTCCGAGCAGGGGGATGGCTATATAATAACCAGCTATTGGCGCTGTGTCTTTTCTTTCGCTCAGTACATTCTCTTTCATCCAACTTCAAGACTGGCTCTTGATTTCCATTCCTTTCCTGCCATTCCTTTACATTCTTGACTGTCAAACTCGACATCAACCACACTCTCTACCATACTCTCTTTTCCATTTCACTATGAAGTTCACCAACGTCGTCCTGGTTGCCGGTGCCGCAAGCGTGGCCTGTGCATACCCCAGTGGAAGGGACGTTATCCCCAACAAGCAAACCTCTTCTCTCAAGAAGCGTTCCAATGGATTCACCTGGCTCGGTGTTAGCGAGTCTGGTGCCGAATTCGGCGAGCACAATGTCCCCGGTACCCTGGGCAAAGACTACATTTGGCCCGAGACCTCCAAGATCCAGGTCCTGAGAGACGCGGGCATGAACGTCTTCCGTGTCCCCTTCCTGATGGAACGCCTGGTGCCATCCACCATGACCGGCTCCCCTGATTCGACTTACCTGGCTGCTCTCAAGTCGGTACGTAATATGACTATTCAGGATATTGATTCCCGAGCAATTGCTAATCTTTCCAATCTATAGACTGTCAAGTTTATTACCGACAGCGGTGCTTATGCCGTCCTCGACCCCCACAACTACGGAAGATAGTAAGTGCATGGAAATGAAAACCACCCAGCTTCAATGGTACTAACACTCTATCTCTAGTGGTGGCAGTGTCATCACATCTACCGGCGACTTCAAAACCTTCTGGAAGACCGTTGCTACCGAGTTCGCATCCAATGCCAAGGTCATCTTCGATACTAGTGAGTCTGCTCTATATCAACCTCCATGGAATCATCCACTAACACCATTCGTTCAGACAACGAATACCACGATATGGACCAGACCCTCGTCCTGAACCTCAACCAGGCCGCTATCAACGGTATCCGTGCCGCCGGCGCCACCAGCCAGTACATCTTCGTCGAAGGCAACGCCTGGTCCGGTGCCTGGTCATGGACCAACAACAACGACAACCTGAAGGCTCTCACTGACTCCGAGGACAAGATCGTCTACGAGATGCACCAATACCTTGACTCCGACAGCTCCGGTACCTCGGAGACCTGCGTCAGCAGCACCATCGGCAAGGAGCGTCTCGAGTCCGCCACCAAGTGGCTGCAGAGCAACAACAAGCGGGGCTTCATCGGCGAGTTCGCCGGCGGTGTCAACAGCGTCTGCAAGGAGGCCGTCGAAGGCATGCTCTCCTACATGTCCGATAACAGCGATGTCTGGATGGGCGCCGAGTGGTGGTCTGCCGGTCCCTGGTGGGGATCCTACATGTACAGCTTGGAGCCGAGTGAGGGTCCTGCTTACTCTACCTACCTTCCCATCCTTGAGAAGTACTTCGTGGACGGCACTGCTCCCGTCCCTACCTCTTCCTCCACCAAGACTGCCGCTTCCTCCACCAAGACTACTGCTTCATCCACCAAGACCACCTCTTCCTCCACCAAGACCACCGCCCAGGCATCCACCACCACTGCCGCCGCCATCGAAGTGACCGCCGCCCCCAGCTCGACCAAGGAATCCGGCTCTACCGTCTCTGCTCCCGCTGAAACCTCCGTTGCCGCTCCCATTGTCACCGTTACCGCTCCCATTGTTACCATCACCAGCACTGTCATCATTAGCGCGCCCACCGCCACTGTCGCCCCGACCACCACCCAGGCTGCTCCTACCAACGGCCCCGCCACCGGAGGCGTTGCCAAGCACTGGTACCAGTGCGGTGGTCTCAACTGGACTGGCGCCACTACCTGTGAGACCGGTTACACCTGCCAGGAGCAGAACCCTTACTACCACCAGTGCCTTTAAGGGGTGATATTGTATAGATCTTGACAAAATAGGGGACTTGATTGAAATGGTGGCTTGGTGTGAAGATTTTATTTTCTTGGTTTGACTGTTGTTTACTTCACTTTATATATTACTTTTCTTCATTTTTCGATTTTCGAATATCATTTGGGAAAGCCCCTTTATAGACTTTACTACTTCGCTGTGCTTTTAGTAGTTTACGTAGGTCTTTACCTTCAGCCATTTACTTTTAACGCGAGAATACCTCAAGTCTCCTAAGGAATGAATCTATAGATATATCACCAAAGGCATAAAGAGAGAGCTCAAACTATTCAAAATATATTCGTAACTGCAGAAGTCATTCTAATCATAATAGGTGGGTAGCCCGAAGAATAGTCAATAAAAGACTGATAAAAATCAACATATCAAGTAGAGCCAAGTCTCAACCTGCAAAAGCTGGTCAGAAAAGGAAGGGCATAAGTAAAGAAATAGAATATGCAAATTGCTGAAAGAATCCCTAGTCAATAAAATAAATATAATCCAGAGATATACCATCCATGTAATAAGCACCTTAAGCATCCTCAGCCTGGTGCAAACGCACAGTAACCAAATCAGCAGGCGCACTAGTCAAAGTAACAGCCCAGCGAATCTTCCGGTCAGGATAAACATCCTCAATCTGATCAAAGCGCTGCAAAAGTCTCACAATCACATATCCAGCCTCCGTCAATGCAAACTGCTGCCCGATGCAGATCCGAGGTCCGCCGTTAAACGGAACATATTCCCAGCCAGGCTTGCGGTTTGTCCAGCGATCGGGCTTGAAGTCGTCTGCGTCAGGGCCCCACAGGTCCTTGCGGCGGTGCATGACATGGGTGCTGTAAGTGACGGACTGGCCCTTGCGGACATAGACGGGGTCTTGGCCGTCTGGGCCGCCGCCGCGTGGGATGGTCGTGTTTTGGACTGCTGTGCGGCGGTTGAAAGGGACTACTGGGTATAGACGTAGCGCTTCGTTCATCACGTACTGTAGGTACTGGCAGGACTTGAGGTTGGCGAAGGAAATGTTCTTGGGGTTGGAATAGGTGCCGAATGAGGAGATGATGGATTCGCGGAGTTTGGCAAAGACTGCGGGGTGACGTGCGAGCATGAGGAATGTCCAGCTGAGGAGGGAGGCAGTGGTATCGCGGCCGGCAAGGAGGATGTTGAGGAGTTGGGAGCGTAGCTCGACAGGGTCGCGGGTTACTTCGAGGAGGGCTTGCAGGAATACGTAGTTGGACTTTTCATCGCTTGAGGCTGTCTTTTCGTTTTGGGAGGCTGCGAGAGCGTTTGAGACGACCTTGTCAACATAGGCTTGCACTTGCTTGTCGGAGAATTTGGTTTCCTTATTTTCAGCCAGGAAGCGGAGGCTCTCGAAACGGCCTCGCTGGGCGCAGACCCATTGGGACTTGTCGAAGTAGTTGGCGAAGGAGTCTTCGGGCCTGGTCAAGCCTTGCAGTGCGCCAAGTTGACTCTCTGCGCTTTCGCCAAAGAGAAATTCTGTAGCGGAGTCGATTGTCAATCGGAAGAAGATGCTCTGAATGTCGGTGGTGGCGGTCCATTTATTGGCCGCGACGGGCAAAGCTTGCATAGCCTTTTGCACGTGCTTTTCTTCCAAATCCAGTTGACTGATCTGCTCGCGAGTGAACTGAGGCCGAAGCAGACCCCGAGATCTAGACCATTCCTCTCCATCGGCGGTGAACTTTAGACCAGATTAGTACGACTCTATATCTTTACGGCGGAGACACAAGAAAGAAGGGATAGCATGTGACTTACGACACCAGTGCCCAGCAGTGGATGTAAAGCAGATCGACGAGCAGCACCGAGCTCAAAATCCTTGAATTGAGTAGCTAGGATGGCTTGGATATTCTTAGGATCGATGGTAGATATGTGGGTGCGACCGAGGTTGAGTAAGGAGAATGTAGTGACATAGCGGTTCTCCTGTTCGCTGATAACTCTGTTCCGCCTCTCAGCAAGCTCTGGTATCAACTTGACCTTGTCTGCCGCCAGGCCCTGCTTCAGGGTATCAATTCCAAAAGGATCCTTGCACGGATACGCTGGCACACCCCCGCAGCCTAGCTTTGTAGCATTCCGTGAATGTTGCCACGAGTTGATTGTCATGCGAATGACCTGCAATACGATGGCCGCGGCTGCAAACCCCAAAATGAACGACAAAGCCATTTTTTTGCTCTATTCTCCTGGGTGTTCAGCTTGTGGGGAAATTCCAGGCGTAGTGAAGAGTGGAAATCAAGCGAATTATATAAACCTTGCAGCCTCGGTCGAAGCATTGTTGTAGGTGGGGAAAACCTCCGGAGTATATGTAAGGATCAGGCATGATCGGCGCAAAGCCAAGAGCCAATAGCAGGCGTGGTGGATGTCATATTCAATGGCAGGTGGGAATCTGCAATTTATGCCACTCCTATGTTGTAGGCCGATCTGAATCTCGGCGCCGTTATTCCGTATCTGGTCTGTTATGAACCCGATGATCCGTTTGCGTCATCTACCTGTCCGATCCGGCTCTTTTTGCTATCATCCTTTTCTAAGACGCATGTCGTTTGTGTGTCCCTACAATCCGAGGCTCCCTTGTGTCAGTTTGAATTCCCCTCACGGCACAACCGAGATGTATCAGCTGCCCGTGGTGGCTTGGACATCTCAGTAGGATACGGGCTATGTGGAAAGCCATTGAGGGTCTGTGTGCAGCTAGAAACTGAAAATCACGAACGGGATTTCGGCACTTGTGAATCTGGTTAATGATTTATGAATCTGCGTCTTGTTTTAGCTCCGACAATTGACGCCGTTGATGAGAGGTGGTTGGCAGGTTGTTTGGCGGGGAATCCCTGTCCGCACATTAGTGTAGTTGCGGCTTGGCCGCTAACATTAGACCGAGGCCGATTTAATGATGAGTGATCAAGAAAAGCCTCCAGTGCTGCATCTCCTCCACGTCGTTCCATGTATTCAACCCTCGGATTATATTATCTGGAGAAGTGTAGCAATATATCACACTTTCTCAGTTCGCAAGAATTGCATCCAGATGCAGGGACCCGGAGAATCCCCGATGTTAGTGGACATGTTGTCATCACGATCCTACCTGGAACTGTCATCAGAAGGGCAGGACAAGCCAGAAACATCGATAGACACCTCATTGCCCACAGGATTGAGTCCTGAGGCCAAAGATGAACAAGAACGTTGCCTGAGATCCCGAACGAGACATGCAGTATCTAAAGCACCGGGGAACCCCGACTTAATGCCTGGGCTCAGGGACTCGGTTGCTCCGGATCGTCCCGTGCGAAAAAGAGGCCGGCCGAGATTGGAAAGAGCTAAAGACGCTACTGCGATTGAGGTAGATCCTGAGAGATCCACTTGCGATAGAACACATTGATGACCAGTTCCACAGGAACGCCGTCTCCAGATCCGACGGGCACAACGTACTTATCGTCTCAAAAAGGAGGTCACCATCCAGAAACTCAAATCTCGTGTTGATGTGCTAGAGCAGACCCTAGAGAACATATCAGACCTGCTAGGGGCTACTCATCGAAATGCAGACCTCCTAAGCGTCGACCATCTCGCTCGCACACGAGAACTCATCCTCGCCGAGATAGACAAGACTCGAATCACTGATGAGAGTGACCTCCAACCCGAGCAGACTAATACTCTGCCACATGATACATTCGGGTATCAAGTCTCACAAACTCGACACACAGCACGCCAGAAGCGCCATGAGCTCTCTTCACACCGAGTATCAAACCGCGCCCGATCCCCCTCTCCACTAATAAACCGCATCCTCCCCACAACAACAATCTACACATATAGCCATCAAGAATCTAGTCTCTCTCGCCGCCTCCAGAGGTTCTGTCTCGAGCACACCTACCGCTGGCTAACAGACCCGCACACCGAGCCCGCCCAACTCGGTCGCGTTTTCGGGCTGGTCCCCTGCATCCACGATATGTCCGGCATTAGACGCCATTTCCGGCGCGTTCTGCAATCCGAAATCGGAAGCAATCTAGAATTCCAGAAAATCCCCTTCTACACTCTCGGCGGCGCGGGAAAGCACTTCCCTCGCTTAACCGCAGACGGGCTCCCCATCTATCCGCCAAACACCCGTAGACCAAAAAAGATTCTACGGCGAATGGTGCGGATTATCCAGCGGGGCGGGATTCAGGACTGGGATGAGGATTGGAGTGGGGACCGTGAGCCTCCGATTCTTACTGTAGATGGGTTGGTGGATTATGCGCAGGCGCAGATGAGTGAGGAAGAGAGGATCCGCGCGCTTGATCTTGATGGCGAGTGGTTTGATTGTAATGATGTGCAGGGGTATCTGCAGCATCGTGGTCTTGTGCTTGAAGGCTCGTCGCTGAGACTCGGGGTTCCAGAGTCTTTGGTGGGTTCTTTGTATGGATCATCGCCGGATCGATCGACTGTTTCGAGTTTATATGCTTCGCCCGATGGAGCAACTCCTGTCACTGCCATGGAAAGGATGGAACTGGATTCGCCGACCTCGGATTGCTATACCCTGGACGTTGAGTGTTTCTTTGATCGTGAGTGGCTGCTGTTTTGTGTGTTGGTTGTACCTTGTTCAATATCACTAACGAAAGATAGTCCTCTTAGCAAACCTCAGAATTCTAGGCCGCGCACCAGGATTCCGGGTTTGGGATGTCGACGCCGCATTACGAGCAGCCATCTCCCGTCGCCCCTTTGTCTAGCGGGGCCCCATGGAAAGGCCTATAGATAAATAATTCATCCATATAAGGACCACTTTACGAACCACGACTCGAATGACATCCACTCATATCACAGCGAGTCAAGTTGAACCCAAGAATTTGAAAAATGGAACTCCATCACTGCCATTGTTCTGGGGTATAAACATAGAAACATCGAGTACAGCACATGAAAACAAAGACGGTATTCATCAAGGACATCAACGCCAACACGGACGTGGTAGATTATCGTTCACTCTCGTCAGGCTGAGGGGGCTGTCCTCACATGTACGCATCGGCCACATCCCGTTCAAAGCCCGATCGTCTAGCAGCAAATATCACAGCACTCGAAACAGGCGATACCGGCGCAACTGGGCGAAATTAGTTTCTGCTTTGTGTTCATAGATTGGGCTTTTGCGCATGACCAAATGTGATTTGCGAATAAGCGAGGAGATAGAGAGTCACACGTACATTCCGCAGCAGATACCGCCGCCACCACCACCGCGCAACTGCATTTGTTCTTGGGAGGACTAGAAACGAGATTAATTTGGTGTTTTGGAAACATAGGGCCATTTTCTGGTCGCCATGCGATAGAATCCTCGTCAACATACCGGCTGCTCAGTGATGACGTTCTGGTTGCTTGAAGGGGCAGCGGGGCTAGTGGGCTGCATGGTGACGGTGTTGGCGTTCCAGGTGTTTTCGGTGGCGGCTTCGGCCGGAGTGGACTTGAAGAAGTTGAAGTTGAACATGGTGATACAGTATAAGATATACAGGTAGTAGAGGGGGTAGGAGAGAGGATAGTAGATGTATGGAACGAGGGCCGAATACAGAAGTGGACAAAGGAAATGGGAGAAACCGAGGGAAACGCCAGTATATGTACTTTCTCAAAAATGTGTAGGGATCGGCTTGAAATATCGAAACAGTTAGCGCCCACCGGTTTACACCAAATTACATACACCGTACGCATTCCACTCTGCCCCATCGGAGTAGAGGGCCTAACTATGTGGACAATGATGCTGCCTGGTGACTGGGGCTGGGGACCACATCACCGTGAGGCTTTGCTGTGGATTTAGGTATGGACCTGGCTACAAATCGGGGATATGTCCAGTACGATCGATTCTTTAAATGGGTCCGTTCTATATTTGTTTCTAGAACCATGGCTCTCTCGAGTCCGTAAATATGACACTCAAGTTTTAACCGGAGAGGATGCCTTGGTGCCTTGGAAGGCGCCCATCGCACCGCCTTCCAGTTCCTTCACAGGACCCTCACATAGCCAATCAGCATCCCCATCTTCATAGCTTCCTGGAAACCTCCATCATCTCACCATGCCTGAATCAACATGTCCGTGATCCAGCTGGGCTTGCCCGTGTTCAAGAAGCAGCATGTGTCTGCTTATAAATCCTCCATATTCCCTTAACTTCCATCTCCAGCGGGCGCATTGATCACCATGAAGATCTTTTGCCGGACTCGATGGGAGAGATTTCAAGAAATGATCCTGGTACCAAGGAAGGATTTTGCATCTTCGAAAGTACAGACCAGATTATAATATACTGTTGATTCCTTCTCAGAAATCAATTTATGCTGCAGCTGCGCATTCAGCTCATGGCGTCCTCGATTCCTTGTCGGGTTCACCCGCGATCTACCTTTAATCACTAACACTCAAGGGCACCCGCAAATGGTAACGCCTAAATACAGACCACGGCTCGCTGGTTGCGGCGCCTCTAAGGATGCCTTAGCCGAAATTTCCAGTATTTGTGACAGGATTCTACCATACGACGGACATTCAAACCCGGAGGAGAGGAACTGGAATATCGCCACTCACTTCACAAGCAATTAGTGAGGGAATTCAATATCACTGGGATAAAGAATTACTTTCTCAAAGTGTCTCTATTTTATGGGGGACCAAGAATGATGAAGACTCCGTATATGAACTTTCAGGTACGGAGTACAGCGTTATGCCTCGGTCTGATTTCCGACAAACCTTACCTTGCAGTTTGCTTCCAGAATTTTGAATTCCCCTTACCCTTCCGAGTTTTACTGCAACAAGATCATCGTGTTTAATTGAAGACAAGACATCGGCGCGTTTCGCATGAAAGGTGGATTTCTTGTACCACCAGAGGCTAGGTAGTTCCAAAACCTACAACATATGTGACGTGCTGGAAACTGCTATTTCCTCTGGCATATATCCTACCAGAGAGAACTACCGCAAAGCTCAGAAAGTCACTTTCCCGCGACCATCAATCAAACGTTCGGGTTCTCTTTTCCCTTCTATTGACTCTCATGATATCGGCCCATCTATTGAAGAGCTTTGCCCTGTTTCTATGTCATTAGGCCCTATGGGTTCGGCACTTCATCTCTCGGACTCGATCACAGAATCTCTTCAAATCGGCAGCCTCAATTGACATGTGGGTTAGCCCCTTCAGCCCTGAAGGTGGGGTTTGCCAAGCTCTTGGCAACAAGACCGGCTGTAATCTTGTATTGAGCAGGTAATCGTATGATGACGACACTGTGTGCCCGGGAAAATGTCATCTGATCTGATGCTTATATTGAAAAACAAGAAGTTCCTGAACCATCTATATATGGAAAAGTTTATGTATTTGTTATGTATTTTATGTATGTGCTATGTAGACACTGGCAGCCTAGCCTGTCTAGGTATCACCCCTACACTCCGTACGGAGTGCTCCGTAGAACGAGCATAACTCATTTGTCGTTTTATTACAAACCCATTTAAAAGCAACGCATGAAACCTTCCAAGGGTCTAAGGTTGTCATCTGTCATGGCATTCTCGTCGCAAACCTAATTGGTGTGCTGAGTTATTAAAGCGAAAGAGCTAAGTTCCTCTCGCTTGAATTTGGCATTCTCGCACCTGAGCCATTTAATCCTATCGTCCTCTTCAAATAGCCCAGGGGCGAATTTAAAAGGTATCCCAAGTTCGAAGGTAGATGTAATAGTGAGGTCTGTCGGGCACGAAGGTAGCAATATGACAGATGTTTACTTGGATTGCAGGATTCAGTTACAGACAGATCTATTGATGATCTACGCGAGGAAAAAAAACCCCCCATAGTTATAAGCCTAACCATTTCAATCTATCAGTCTATGAGCCAAGCCCTATAACACTGGCCCGCATCCCATGTTATCGCCCACGTTATCGCTGACGATCCATCAGCGGCCATTGCCCATATATGGACATTTATGTGCTTTGCTATTAACGTTCGCGCCTTTCTGGAGGAGCATCAACGCTCCAGCCTCCAAGGATCTATCTACAGACATGTGTAATGGGGTCCAGCCAGCACTGTCATATGCATCAAGATCTCAGCTGTGTTCGTACTTGGTGCGATGGTCGAGTAGATGCTGGAGTATCCCGAGTCTTCTGTGCAAAACAGCCCAGTGCAGTCCCGAGCGACCTTCGCGATCGTATTTCTACTCCTCCTGCTAATTATCAAGTTGAAAGGTCTCGTATTTCGGAGAATTAAGCAATGGTTATAACGGGATTTTGACAGAAGACAGAAGAGATGAAAGATGAGATGATGAATTCTTCTACCATAGACAAGATGGGCAAATTGCATCTCACATTTGGGTAACATGTCCAAAATTATCTATTCCTTATCCTATTTTTGGATAAATTCGTGGATTTTTATTCGTTACGAGGCTATACGAGAACCCTTTCGTATTGAAGGATTCTCATTGCAACAGCGGCAGGGGGGTCAGCGGTGAGAGGAATGAATATTTTGTGTCCTTTGCCAATGGGGATCTCTCGCAAGAAAAGTACATTGAAGCAAACTTGTGTGTTTAGAATATGTTGCATGTTGATGAGAGTCCGGTCTTGCAATCAGTTTTTGAACGCAAAATACAATACACTGAATCTAAAGACCTCGGGACATACATCTCTAACCACGAGGGCTGAGAATGATGGCATACCTACCTGATAATAAAAACAAAGTTAGCAGTTCAGGATAGGTGTCTTCAGGAACGAATTTGCACAACAACAGACTATCCGATTTGTGGCGCAAGTTGAACAAAACCCCGAGTTTGAACCGCTTACATTGGGCTGTCGGGTTAAACGAGGCACACCACTCGTGTTCGTGAAGAATGACCTGCATTCATTGAGGATCCTTAAAATAACCGATGTTCATTCTCATCACCAGTAATGTGTCATATCCTACAACTTCAACCCCACAAAGATGCAAAAAATAGCACACCAAGAACGGGCCCTCGCATTTACGAGTCTGTAGCCTTGGCATGGCTGGTCAACACGATAGCAACCCTCGTAATGGACATCCTTCGGGTGAGAATAATGCCATATCGATTGCAAGACACGTTGACAGATGCTCTTCATTTCGAAATTGGGATATTCGGTCAATACGATGTCACAAGCTGAGTGATTCGGGGCCCCTCTAGGTCTAGGAAGGGTTCGGACCTCGTCAAGAGAGATATTTAAACGACCACAGATCCCCGGAAAGTTCTGTTCATCAACTCAAAACTACATTTACTTTGAAACCTCCGCAAAATCATTCACACTGATCTATATATTTCCTATATCCAAGGATATCAAGCACCCAGAGCATCAAAATGAAGCCCCAGAGTGTTCTGTTTAGCGCTATCATGCTCATCGGCATGGTCAATGCTCTGCCATTGGTACCGGATGTAGTCAATGGTGAGTTGTCGTGAAGTGTCATTATGGTCTAAGCTGACAAGGCGTCATCATAAAGAATTGACTGAGAGACGAACCGATGTCGGTGCAGGCTGGGAGAGAAGCGTCGATAAGAGAGATGACGCCGATGTTACCTGGAAGGGCATTGCTGAGGGGGAATACGACGCCGATGTTGCCTTGGAAGATAATGTCCATGCCACCTCCGAGGACACTGCGGGTCAGCATGATGATGACGACGACGCCTCAGAGGGCAACCTTGAAAAGAGGAGAGACAACCATGCTAGCTCCGAAGACATTGATGATGGGGATAACGAAGACATGGAGGATAGCTTTGAGAAGCGAGGTGACGCCCACGCTACCTCGGAGGATATCGATGATGAAGACGACAACGACTTGGAAGGAAACCTTGAGAAGAGACGAGATTATCACGCTACATCAGAGGAAATCGTTGATGAGGATGATGACGAAGACTCGGAGGGCAACCTTGAGAAGAGGGGAGATATGCATGCTACCTCGGAGGACATCGCTGATGATGATGATGATTCGGAAGACAGCCTTGAGAAGAGAGACGACGCTCACGCTACCTCTGAAGATATTGATGATGAAGATGACAACGACCTGGAAGGAAACCTTGAGAAGAGAGGAGATAACCACGCTACATCAGAGGACATCGATGATGAGGATGACGACGACTCCACCTGGGATGGTGTTGCTGAAAAGGAAGAGGAAGTCTAATTCACTGGTATCTCTAGCCCCATCTTTTTTATAAAGCTGTTAGAGGAAGATACTAGTAGAAGTAATAGCGCTAGTAGTGAATATGAAGAAGAATTTTTGTTGATGCAACGCTCTCTAGAAGTTCTGTTTTGGTCTAACTTTGCACCGACTTTCCGATGTATAATCTTTAGACAACTGCCGAGTTAGCTTACATATTACAATTCGCGATGAGCCTTCGCCTCGTAGCACACTATTTCTTCCCAGATTTCACATGGAAGAATAGTATTCGACTAACCTCGAATGAACGAATGCCCCCAACGCCCCGATTAGCTCACCCTTATCTACGTCGATTCTGGGGCATTGTACATGACTACCTACAACAAATCGCTCAGCTTCTCTTTGGGCTGATTTTAAAATGGTCCGATGGCACTCGACTAGAAGAAGTCCTAGCTATGGAGGTCGCCAGAGAAGCCGGTTTGCCAGTTCCACGAGTTATCTGCTACGGGGAGCATCCTGATACACCGCATGCACCAGTCTCAATTTTGATCACTCGCATACCCGGCGAAGAATTAGGCCAGGTGGATGAGACACTCAGCGAGGACAAGTTCTCAGTTCTGCAGGAGCTGAACGACTACTTAGAGATTATGCGTGGATGGCAAAATCCATGGGATGGGAACAGAATCTGCTCTTTAGTGGGTACTGCCATTAGGAGCGCTCAAGTTCCTAGTCATTTTGCTGGCCCATTTGAGTCTGAAGAGGAGTTCAACGAATATCTTATCCGGCCCTCATGGTCGGGTAGCTTCCTTTCCGAGACGGTATATAAAAGCACACTTACTATCGCCGAACGTATGGGGGAAATGCCACATTGCATTGTTTTTGCTCACGGTAATCTCAAGCCCTATTATATACCTCTCCATAGTCGCTTTTGCCGGAACTATGATTTGCAATTTAGTATTGATTGTATTGGTGGAAGGTACGTTACCCTACCTAGGAAGGAATGACCTTCTCGATTCGGAAGGACTTGCCTGAATGGGATTAATCTCATTGGAGAATGGAGATCCCGGAACATTTATCAGTATATCATGCCCCACGAGCCTTCAGATCGAGTTCAGATCTTTCAATCTTTAGACACATAAAGAAACAATGGACTTATTTGTTGATATCGTCACTCCCAACGGGCACAGCTACAAGCAGCCCACAGGTCTTTTCATCAACAACGAGGTTGTATCCGCCACAGGAGGTCAGACCATCACTTCGCTGGATCCTGCGTATGTCATTATTGGTAACATTTGCTACACACAGTCCACTGATTTTATCTCACAGTACAGACAAACCAATTGCCACAGTCCAAGCAGCCAGCACCGACGATGTCGACCGAGCCGTGAAGGCTGCTAGAGCGGCGCTCATCCACCCGTCGTGGAAGAAGCTGCCCGCTACAGAGCGGGGCCAGCTCATGGCTCGGCTCGCCGATCTCATGGAGGAAAACAGAGCTCTGTTCGCTTCTATCGAAGCATGGGACAATGGCATGTTTTGAAATTTAGAGGATTAAGTGAGATAGTTTGCTAATACAGAACAGGAAAACTCTACCATGTAGCCTTTGACGAGGATCTCACCGAGGCAATTTCAACAGAGAACTACTATGGGCACCCAAAATTACTACGGGCACCCAGGGCGCTAAGCCTTTTACGATTTACTTCCCACTGGCCATAATTTGTTCACAGCCTGTCGTATTTAATATGGTACTCCCTTAGTATTTCGGACAGTCCCCGAATCTTATCTGGGCACGCTATCGCGAACATAGAATCTCGCACGCTATCTACACTACCATACAAAAATGAGGCTATTCGCAGATACTGATTTGATCAAGTTTTTTTCTACTGAAAAAGGGTTTGGTGCAAAAATGAGGCTATTCGCAGATGCTGATTTGATCGAGTTTTTTTCTACTGAAAAAGGGTTTAGTGCAAAAATAAGGCTATTCGCAGATGCTGATTTGATCGAGTTTTTTTCTACTGAAAAAGGGTTTGGTGCAAAAATGAGGCTATTCGCAGATGCTGATTTGATCGAGTTTTTTTCTACTGAAAAAGGGTTTAGTGCAAAAATAAGGCTATTCGCAGATGCTGATTTGATCGAGTTTTTTTCTACTGAAAAAGGGTTTGGTGCAAAAATGAGGCTATTCGCAGATGCTAATTTAATCGAGTTTTTTTCTACTGAAAAAGGGTTTAGTGCAAAAATGAGGCTATTCCCAGATGCTGATTTGATCAAGTTCCAGTGCAAAAATGGAGTTTTTTCCTACTAAAAAAGAGGGTTTAGTGATATAGGGTTTGATCGGTCACGTGATCGCAAAATAGAGGCTGTTTTTTAAAGATAGTGCTAATCGAGTTTTCTTACCCTAGCTTAGCCTACCTCCTAAACTATAAGCCCTAGTACGTATAGCTTCGCAAATTTTTACTTATATCTAATAGATATAGATAGACTAGACACTATAGACCCCTAACCCCCTAACCTTCCCGATACTATACCCCCTTTCTAAATAATTACGAATACTACCTCTATTAGTATCTAAGCCGTAAAAGCTAAAGCGTTAGATATCCTTAACTTATAGTCCCTCCCGCTAGGCTTCCTAATCGTCACCTAGCGTAGCGCACCTAATAAGATACGATTCTAATATAGCCGTAGTTAGGGTTATCGGACTAATCGGGCCCCCCTAAATAGATAGCGAAGGCGAGTTCGTTATATAACTTCCTACCCCTTTAAAGGTAACCTTCGACTTACTACCGGCGGTATCTAGTAGGTTAAAATTATTACTTCCTACTATAATCATAGTATAGTTAATAAGTTAACTATAATTATCCCCCGAAGGCGTAAGCGAAGGCGAGTCCTACCTACTATTATAACCTAGATTACCGATAGTATCTTTACCCGTTATATTATAAGTAGTGTTCGGGGGTAGGCCGAGGCCGAGAGGCGTACTTTATATCTACGCACCCGTAATATTAATAATATTAGGGCTAGTATAACGCGAAAATAGCTCGCTAGACGTACCCCGATATAGGCCCTTCTTATAGATCTCCTAAGGGATAGTACTTAGATTATTAGGTATAAGGTAAATACCGTTAATAACTCCTTTACTTCCCTTTTTTTAGTCTATAAAATTAGTCTCTAGCTTCTACGTATCTATCTATATATTTTATAAATAGACTATATATATAAGACTAATAAATAGAAGATACCCCTACTAAATATCGTAGGAGTATCTTCTATTAGGAAGACCTTCTATATTACCTATACTTTTTTAAGTAGTAAGAAGGAAGCTACTTATAATCGGGCACTTAGCTAGCTACGGGATATCTATATAGCTATTAGTAGTAGTACGAGTATACTAATACTTATCCGTACTACTATAGCTAATCCCCTAGAGTTAGAGTCTTTAGTAGCTAGTCCCCTAATACCCTATATTCTATAAAGTATACTCGAAAATAGCTATCTATCTAGCTTTATATTAATATATAACTTTAAGGATACCACTCTAGCTACTACCTCTTATTTTAGCCTATATACTATCTTAATAGATAAGGAGTAAGCTTTACGAAATATAGTTAAAAATATTAGTATCTTAACTATTATATAGTTTATATACTAACTACTAGCTATTTTACTAGGTTTTTCCTATAACTAATACTATCCTATACCTCTAGTATATCACTTATAACGTCGAGTTATACGTTAGGCCCTTTATCCGTCGTTATATCCTTAATAATATCGCCGAAGACGATACCTAAATACGCCTTATAGTTAATAATATTATATATATAATCACTATATACTAGGAAATAATAAAAAAGGACTAGCATTTTATTATCTTCGCGTATATAGTTAATAATATAGAGACTCGGTAGGCTACCTTTAAGGATAAGTATTAGCACTATCTAGGTCTACTAGTATATATTAATAAAGAATAGATCCGCGGTTACGGTCCCTATTTTTTACGATACTATACTAGTAGGTTTCTCTATCTTAATAAAAGCTCTATATCCCGCGTAGAATCTACCTATCGTTACCTTAAACTCAATATATAATCGGGTACGAAGGAGCTCTTCGCTCTTTATACCTAATTCGGAAATATAACTAAGCGTCTCGGTATTAAGATCTAATAGGAGCTCGTCTTATAGAGAGCTAGTCGGGAGATTAACGATAGCCCTCTATTTATAGGAGTTAAGACGCTAGTTACTTACTATATAATTAAAAAGGTACGATTAGTATTTAATTACTATCTACTATCCTATAACGAGAAACCTCCGATCCCACTACTATACTTAGGTATTATAACACTAATACGGGGGTATCTATATATTTACCGTATTAATAAGGCCTAGATAAGGGGTAAGAGCCTTACCTAGGCCGACTTTCACCTTTACTACTAGATCTAGCGAGACCTAGCGTATACTAATATAATTAATTACCCCCGGGTAATAGAACTCCGTATAGTAAACCCTTATATTATACGAGGGCGTAGTCGCCTACTGTAGTTATCTTAATAGTTATCTTAATAGTTATCTTAGTAGTTATCTTAGTAGTCATCTTAGTAGTTATCTTAGTAGTTATCCTAGTAGACAATCTTATTATCGCGAGTATCTTAACGCTTTAAGAGCTTAACCCGTTATAAGCTATCACGATTCGAGATTATATAAAGGGACGAGGAGGTAGCTATTCGTCGGTCGGGTCGGTAAAGGATAGCTAGTAGGAGGTATAATAATAATTAGACTATATAGGGGGAGATAACGGAGTCTAATAATTAGATCGTAGTTAGTAGTATTATAACTAGGCGGGGAAGGGGACGTAGACGTAGACGTAGACGTAGAAGAGGGGGCCCTTAATAATATTAATATTTAGTTTATATATTAGAAATATAACTAAAATTAGTCGAAATAACTTATTAAAGATAAAAGTTTTGCTATATAGGATAGTAGGAAACTAGCGTTAATAGCTATACTATCTCAACTATAGTGAGAAAACTCGATTAGTACTATCTTTAATAAATAGCCTCTATTTTACGATCACGTAACCGATTAAACCCTATCTCCCTAAACCCCTTTCTCGGTAGGAAAAAACTCGATTAAATCAGTATCTAGGAATAGCTTTATTTTTGCACTAAACCCTTTTTTAGTAGAAAAAAACTCGATCAAATTAGCATCTACGAATAGCTTTATTTTTATACTAAACCCTTTTTCAGTAGAAAAAAACTTAATCAAATTAGTATCTAGGAATAGCTTCATTTTTACACTAAACCCTTTTTTAGTAGAAAAAAACTCGATCAAATTAGCATCTGCGAATAGCTTCATTTTTGCACTAAACCCTTTTTCAGTAGAAAAAAACTTGATCAAATCAGCATCTGGGAATAGCTTCATTTTTGCACCAAACCCTTTTTCAGTAGAAAAAAACTCGATCAAATCAGCATCTGCGAATAGCTTCATTTTTGTATGGTAGTGTAGATAGCGTGCGAGATTCTACATTACTGATAGGGTGCCCAGATAAGATTCAGGGACTGTCCGAAATACTAAGGGAGTACCATATTAAATACGACAGGCTGTGAACAAATTATGGCCAGTGGGAAGTAAATCGTAAAAGGCTTAGCGCCCTGGGTGCCCGTAGTAATTTTGGGTGCCCATAGTAGTTCTCTTTCAACAATTCGCTATTACAGTGGATGGGCAGATAAGACTTTCGGCTAAACTATCAACACGACACCTCAGAAATTTGGTCCTAAAACCGGCCGAACAGACCCCCTTGAGCGCCCTTGTTCTCGGTACTTTGATTAAGGAAGCCGGATTTCCACCAGGTGTGGTAAACATCGTTAATGGCTACGGCCGCGAGGCTGGTGCCGCGCTCGCTTCGCATCCCTTGGTCGATAAGGTCGCATTCACAGGATCCACAGCGACTGCCTGAGAGATTATGAAGAGGGCTGCTGGCACGCTGAAGAATATCACTCTTGAAATCGGCGGTAAATCGCCGCTCCTCGTTTTCCCAGATGCGGATACGGAACAGGCCATCAAGTGGTCTCACGTGGGGATCATGTCAAACAAAGGCGAGATCTGCACTGCTACATCGCGGATTTTCGTCCACCGCGATATCATGGAGAAATTCACTGCCGATTACAAGGCAGCAGTGGAGGGAGTGAAAATTGGTGATCAGTGGGATCAGTCTGTCTTTCAGGGGCCGCAGGTGACACGCGTGCAATATGATCGTATCCTCGCCTACTTCCAGATTGCTAAGAGCGAGGGGGCAATTATTCTCACTGGAGGTGCGGCACATAAGCCAACTGATGCGAAGAACGAGAACGGGTACTTCATTCAACCCACCGTCATTATTAATGCGACCGACTCTATGCGCATTGCCCGTGAAGAAGTGTTCGGTCCGGTAGTGGTGATTTTCCCCTTCCATGATGAGGAAGAAGCTATCCGTCGCGCCAACGATACTACTTACGGTCTTGGTGCGTCTGTGTTCACGTGCGACTTGGAGCGCGCACACCGCATAGCTGCGGAGATTGAGTCTGGTATGGTGTGGATTAATAGTAGCCAAGACTGCGATCCGCGTATTCCTTTCGGTGGTGTGAAGCAGAGTGGTATTAGGCGGGAGTTGGGTGAGGCGGGCCTAGAGGCATATAGTCAAACTAAGGCTGTCAATGTAAATATGGGGACCACGTTATGAGGAATGTTCCTAAGGGGGGAACATTGATTGTAAAAAGACGGTGAGCTACCATGCATTGAAAGATACCCATACGTATATATTGGGAGATCATTTGACCATGACTCCCAGTCTCTCCAGCACTGCATCTTTCCTTCTTATCTTCCTCATGATCCATTATCTAGCGGCAGTAGTCAACCAATCCATTCTGTATCGCTATCCCTCCTTCTCTGCCTAGATTATAAACACCACCCGCATCCGTATAGGTATACTTGCACTATTCTAAGATGCACATGGAGTTGAAGTTTGAGATCTGAGGCTGGTGATCACTATCTGAATCAAGAGCTCATAATCCTTTTTGGGGTGACGACAGATTGAGGGATTCCGTAGTTGGCTAAGATTTTCTGGAGTGAGACTTATGGTTGAAGGAGAAATCGAAGATACTATCGGTGTTGTCCATAGATCTCTGGCGACTAAACTTTTGGGATGATGGAAACGGACGGGTCGGGTCGTGTCGCATTACTTTACCCCCTTTACCCCAGGATCATACACATAGTTTCCTTAAGAATTCCGCCAAAGGGATCAATGCAATAACAAAGGCTATCGCCTCTCGAAAGATAAACGGCGACGATAGAATGATATAACCAAGTGGTAGTATTCTACGGTAAGACTCGTGGGAAAGGGGAAGAAAGAGAGAACAGTCCACTCTTCTATACACAAACCTAGAACACAGTTTCTCCTCGACAATCAAAAGTAAAAGCATCCCACTAAGTGCGAGAAGAGCTACATAAAATAACTGGTACCTTCTCGATCTTGACGAGTCTTTCAAGGCGAAACTTGCCATATCGCTCCGGTGATATCATCACACGCTTGTACTCCAGGATCTTGGAAGTTCTTGAAGATTAGAATAGGCTTAGCAATTGGGAGACGACAAATGGCTTACTATAGCTCACTGCCCTTACTGCTAACCGTGATTCTTTGATTGTTGATCTTGCTTCGCTCCGCCCAGATAATCCCTTCCATTTCAATATCATCAACCTCTTTCGTAAGCTTGATATATCCTTCATTATCCAAGTCGAACAGCGCTATTTTGAGCCACAGACGACATGTAACAGGTGATATGACAGGGACAGCTGCAAGTCGATCCGCTAGAGGACCATGTAGACATGGGTCCATGATAGCAATTTTGAGAGCAACAAGCAAGGTTTTGGAATATGGGATACCGGTGTTTGTTTTTGTTTGGAATTGCCATCGATCACCCGTTTCACGGCTGTTGATTGTGTGGAATATAGTGCCATGTTCTGGACTGAGTGCAAGATAGAAACCCCAGTGATACTGGGACACCTCGCCGATGTCTGATAGGAAAATGTAGAGGCCATTTGTATCGAAGGAGATATCGTTGCTCGGCATGGTTAGGTCTGAAGGGGCATAGCAGCCAACCTTAGGGTCGGATAGAATTAAAATGAGGGGTTCTGCCTGAATCTGCCTGGTTTTACGCCAGCCAAAAATTAAAATACCTGGATTACTATGACAGAGTCAGACAGACTCCCGAGGTCCTCAACAGTTCAAACACCCAAGTTCAAAAGGTACTCCCTTCAAAACTAGGCAGGTGAGATGAAGCCTTTTATATAGGCAAAAAATCCCACGTGGCTAGATTTTAAGATATTTCACCGCTGTGAGGCTATTTCTACAATTACGTCGCTCTATTCAGCAATTGCTACCCATGAAGCTATCCCGACCGTGTAAGTCTCTATCTATAACTTATTTGAAGATTTATCTCCCAAATAAGTCCCTATTGTTTAGATGGTCAGATAACCATCCTCTATTTATCTCCCTAATCTCTTCCTAGTCTTCCTCCTTCTTCTATAGCATTATCTAGAGTAGACTTCCGCAGAACCCAGAAAAAACCCAACCTAACCCGGACCTAACCTAACTTAGGTTAGGTTTTAGGGCCATACCTTCGCACCGGGGTTAGGTCCGGGTTATAGCCTTCGACCTAGCTAGGTTATTAGGGCCCTAAGTTAGGTTATAAATAATATAAATACCTTAAATTATAGGATTTACAACTTATATAGATTTTCCTTATATATTTAAGTATTTACTTTATAATCCCTAATAGGTATAACTATTTTTTATATAGAATTATTTTTTAATAGGTCTAGGAATATTAATATTATAATATTAGTAGATAAATAGTATACTAATAATTAATATCTAATTTAAATATATATAATTATTATCCTCTTAAGTTTTCCGCTTTCTTTCTAAGCTCTAGATCTAGGTCGCTTTAGAAAGTATTAGTAAATTAGGCCTAGAATTAATATTAATATTAATTAAAGGGGTATTATCCTCTTAGATACTATCCTCTTACTTCTCTATATTACTAATTAGTTTAATCTTAATAATCTTAAGCTTTTTCTCTCTCTCTTTCTTTATAACCTTAATTTCTTCTTAGGAAAAGAACTTCTCTAAAAGCTTTAGTTTCTACTTTTTTATATTAAATCTAGTTATATAGAGGAATATTATTAGATTTTTAATAGTATAGGATTTTATTTTACTATAGTAATAATAATAAATATCCTAAATAGTATTAAATAGATATTTAATATCTATATTAGTTATTAGAAAAAAAAGTATATTATAAATAAAAGTAGTAATTACTAAGAAATAAGTATAGTTTTCTCTTTAGAATATAAATAGACTAATATAGATAATATCTATCTAGGTAAGTAAATTTTCGGTATATAAGTAGATTTTAGACTTACTACTATTAAAATATTAGATTATTTTATCTAAGACTATTTAAAGAGATATTTTATCTTTATCTAATATCTTATCTAGCTTTATATTTAAATAAATAATAAACTATAAGCTTTTTACTTCTTAGTTAGTAGAGAGAAGCTTCTTTTAATATAGAATTAAAGTTTCTTAAAATAATCTTTAATATATATTATATTATTCTTAGTCCTAATTACTAGTTAAGAAGAATTTAAATTTATTAATAGGTATAAATATAGTATTAATTATATATATATACTTTTAAATATTATTAGTCTAGAAGTAATACTTATTAAGCTTTATATATCTAGTTTTAAGTACTTATAATATATCTTTTTTCTATAGAACTTACTTACGTTAGAGTTAGATTATTAAATTTTTAAGATAGTAAAATAATTTATTATAGATCTTAAAGATATAATATACTATAATATCTTAGATCTTAGAGAGTTAGGTAGTATAATTAAAGAATAACTTAGTAATATAAAGAAGATAATAAACTTAATATTATTCTTTACTATAAAGTAGGAGCTTTTTATAATTATATTTTTAGTAGAATAAGATAAAGAAAGACTATAGTTATAGTACTTAATAAAATATAAGAAATATTAAGTTCTAATAGATTTATATATCTTAGATTAGAACTAATTTTACTAAGATTATCTAAAGACTATAAAATATCTTTTATCACTAAAAACTAATATTAATATAGATAGTAAAATAGCGAATCTTATTTAGAGTAACTAAGATATTACGTTTTTAATATTATATATTTATATAAACTAGCTTTAATTACTTCTTTATTTACTTTATTTTAGCTAAATTATTTAATAAAGATACTTTAATATAATTAAGAAGCTAGTTTAGACTTAGTTAGATAATATAGATAAAATAAGAAATTTAGATAATAATAATACTATTAAAAAGAGCCTATTAAAGAAAGTCTACTAAGGTCTTATTATTAGAGGTATTATCTATTATTAAACTAAATACCCTATTCTTAAAATTATACTTAAGTAGAGTATCTAGTAGAATAGTATTTAGATTCGCTTTAGTATATATACTATAAAGAGGCTTAAAACTAAGAAGTATCTTATAGTAGACCTAATTAGAATTAATAAAATAGCTAATAATAGTTATAAATACCTATAAAAAGAGAGATATCTAATAGTTAAGTATAATTAATATTTTCGATCTAAAAGGTAATAACTATAGGATCTATTAATATTAGTCTTTAACTATACTCCCTAATCGATAGCGAATAGTATTAGATAATAGAATTAATAGGTTAGATAGAGCTAAGCGGGTCTTAGTAATTATACGCTTAAAGGTTAGATATTCGATTAGGTAAAAAGGTAAGCGGTTTAAGGTAAGAAATTATAGGATATCCTTCTTCTAATCTTCTTATAGGAAAGGTCTATTCTATATTAAAGGATCTCCCTAGATAGTAAAAGAATTAGAACCTATTAGTACTATTAAACTTTATATATAATATTAGATATACCCCTTTTTAAAGGAACTTTATAATCTTAGATTTCTTTCTATCTCTAAAATATATATATATAGTAGTCTTAAGGTATTTTTATATTATAGATATACTATAATAATATATTTTAGTTATATTATAACCTAATATAGTTAAATAAAGATACTCTAATACTTTTCTATAGTATTTATATATAACCTTTAGTATACTATTTATACTATATATAACCTAATAGTAGTTTTACTTAGACTTCTATAGAACCTAGAAAAAACCTAACCTAACCTAGATCTAACCTAACTTAGGTTAGGTTTTAGGGCTATACCTTCGTACTAGGGTTAGGTCCGGGTTATAGCCTTCGACCCGGCTAGATTATTAGGGCCCTAAATTAGGTTATAAATAATATAAATACCTTAAACTATAAGATTTATAACTTATATAGATTTTCCTTATATATTTAAGTATTTACTTTATAATCCCTAATAAGTATAACTATTTTTTATATAGAATTATTTTTTAGTAGGTCTAGGAATATTAATATTATAATACTAATAGATAAATAGTATACTAATAATTAATATCTAATTCGAATATATATAATTATTATCCTCTTAAGTTTTCCGCTTTCTTCTTAAGCTCTAGATCTAGGTCGCCTTAGAAGGTATAAGTAAATTAGGCCTAGAATTAATATCGATATTAATTAAAGAGGTATTATCCTCTTAGATACTATCCTCTTACTCCTCTATATTACTAATTAGTTTAATCTTAATAACCTTAAGCTTTTTCTCTCTCTCTTTCTTTATAACTTTAATTTCTTCTTAGGAAAAGAACTTCTCTAAAAGCCTTAGTTCCTACTCTTCTATATTAAATTTAGTTATATAAAGGAATATTATTAGATTTTTAATAGTATAGAATTTTATTCTACTATAGTAATAATAATAAATATTTTAAATAGTATTAAATAAATATTTAATATTTATATTAGTTACTAAGAAAAAGAGTATATTATAAATAAAAATAATAATTACTAGAAAATAAATATAGTTTTCTCTCTAAAATATAAATAAGCTAATATAGATAATATTTATCTAAATAAGTAAATTTTTAGTATATAAATAGGTTTTAGATTTATTATTATTAAGATATTAAGTTATTTTATCTAAGACTATTTAGAGAAGTATTTTACTTTTATCTAATATCTTATTTAGCTTTATACTTAAATAAATAATAAATTATAAACTCCTTACTTTTTAGTTAGTAGAGAGAAGCTTCTTTTAATATAGAATTAAAGCTTCTTAAAATAATCTTTAATATATATTACGCTATTTCTAATCCTAGTTACTAATTAAGAAGAATTTAAACTTATTTATAGGTATAAATATAGTACTAATTATATATATATACCCTTAAATATTATTAGTCTAAAAGTAATACTTATTAAGCTTTATACGCTTAGCTTTAAGTACTTATAGTATATCTTTTTTTTATAAAACCTACTTATATTAAAGTTAGATTATTAAATTTTTAAGATAGTAAAATAATTTATTATAGACCTTAAAAATATAGTATACTATAATATCTTAAGTCTTAAAGAGCTAGATAGTATAGTTAAAGAATAGCTTAGTAATATAAAAAAGATAATAAATTTAATACTATTCTTTACTATAAAGTAGAAGCTCTTTATAGTTATATTCTTAGTAGAATAAGATAAAGAAAGACTATAATTATAGTACTTAATAAAATATAAAAAATATTAAGTTCTAATAGATTTATATATCTTAAATTAAGACTAATTTTACTAAGGTTATTTAAAGACTATAAAATATCTTTTAGCGCTAAAGACTAATATTAATATAAATAGTAAAATAACGAACTTTATTTAAGATAATTAAGATATTATACTTTTAATATTATATATTTATATAGACTAGCTTTAATTATTTCTTTATTTACTTTATCTTAGCTAAATTATTTAATAAAGTTACTTTAATATAATTAAGAAGCTAATTTAGGCTTAGTTAGATAATATAGATAAGATAGGGAATTCGGATAATAATAATACTATTAGAGAGAGCCTACTAAAAAGAGTCTACTAAGGTTTTATTATTAAAGGTATTATCTATTATTAAACTAAATATCTTATTCTTAA